TTACCGGCTATCATGGGACTGAATCTCCTAACGTTGTTCCATTGCTTCTTGGATTAGATCTCCATGTCTTTGGTTCATGATGTGGCCCCCTAAGAAAACCACGTGCTTCGGTTTGGGAGCAAGGTTAGTATTCTAGCCACAGGTCCTGGGTTCGAATCTCACGAGTGCGGGATCGTGGATGCGCACTGCTGAAGAGTCCCACAATATGACGAAACGGCCTTCTAGTGCTTCCAGGTTTTTCATGGTGGTCTAGCTCCAAATGATTCATGATCTCATTTCATTTCATTCTAATCACATATTAAGGATAAGATTAAATTTTATGTCCATATATGGAATGTTATATTTCATATTGAAATTCAATGTAGGCGATATAAATTACATCATAGTTATTATTTTCTTAATTATATATTTATATTTATCCAAATATTACTCATTATAAACAAATGTATAATAATGAATCATATAAACAGAATAATCCTACATTCTATAATGAATATTAGAAGGCGTTTATGTGGATATTATAGTAATGGAAGCTAAATTATCATAGAAAACCTGGAAGCATTCGAAAGCCGTTTCGTCCTATTGTGGGACTCCTCAGCAGTGAGTATTCACCATCCCACCTCGCGAGATTTGAATTCGGGAACTATCGGTCTCGCACATGAATGCTTGACCTCTAGTGATTAATTGTAAAGAATTCTTGGAGGTTTTAGTGAGAAATTGTAATTAGTAGTTTATAATCAATCATATTAGGAATGAAACAAAAGTAACACTCATAGGAATGTAACGGTAAATAAATCCTCTAAATCAATAGCTCTGTATGTTTTGACATTGTATGCTGACCACATTAGTCTTAATGAACTCACCTAGCTGAAGGCGCTCGGTTATGCATCGGCACCAGATCACGAGTGGAAACGCCGTGCTCAACATCCCCTGCAATTGCTAGTCAGATTAGATCAGTCGATCAACGATATATCGATAACCCATCAAATATAAGCAAAGATAGATAGTAACTAACAGTACAATCCAGGATGCGCGTTTCATCCTATTTGGGACTTGTCTGCTGGATGTACCTGCATCTGGGTTAATGTTCACTCTGGGACTCGAACTCAGTGTCGTTCGCTGCAAACAACATCGCGTTATCTACCAAGTGAGTTATGTTTAATATATTATGCGGACAATATGTGAAGTAACTAATGAAAGCCATTCGTTACGAACGACGGTCGACATTTTGTGATGATGAAGAATTGAAAGTGTATAATTGGTCGTGCTATTTGACTATCGATTTGCTATCCAGACAATTTTTAAGGAACTGAATTTGAGATTATCCGTAGACATGAATGAGATAAAAATTTGGGACCGGGAAATTAGTAAACAGAACGTTTGTAATAAATCACTGGATCATATCCCCTGAGATTTCTTATGTTTCAAGTGTCGAACGCGACGATTATATGAAGACGATTGAACATGAAACGATGAACAGTGATCTGGAGAGCCTAGCCTCTGAGGACCTCTAGGAATGCATCAAACACTGGTGACGGTGATAGAGCAAGTATATATCTACAAACAGGAAGCATTTCGAAGAAGCTATGATTGATATAATTTTGATTATGTGAAACGCACGTTTTATGATGTGAGTTTTGTATTTACCGAACAAACTAAGTGAACTTGTAAATATAATGTCGCCTAATTTTCTCCTAAGACTAATACACCTCTCATTCATTAAAATGTTAATTAGCTATCGGGTGTGATTGACAGCCCATGGTTATATACCACATTTTAAGTCCATTCATAGAATTAAGTGTACGGCATCTGTCTGATTAAACGACAGATAGAAAAACAGTAGTAGGACATCAAAAAACCTAACTAATCATAAAAAATTTCACTTATAGATGGAAGAAAACTAGAAACAACATTTGATTTGTGTGAGGGCTGTGATACTGCTCAGATGCCCAAACCGAAGCAGGTGATTTTCTTAGGGGCCCACACCCGGAGCCTTTGACCGAAAGATCTAATACACAAGGCAATGGAGCATCGTGAGGAGATGCAGTCCCATGGTAGTCGGTGACCAACGGGTGATTCATACGCCATTTGTTCCTTCAGGATACTGGAGTCCATGTGCATCATAGGTTTGGAATGAGGGTTTTCCAACTCCCCTAGGTGGACTCTCCGTGTCTACCAACCCGGTTAAAGCTCCAGACATTCGCTTTTCTTCCTCTCGATTTCGTAAACAACACCCGTGGTGCGAGAAGGCAGTGAGTAGGACTTCCCTGCCAGAGGCTATATACGCGTGGCCATGTGAGAGCATTTCGAGAGGGGGAGCGAACTCTCCACACTCTCGGCCGTACCAAGGCATTATTATTAAATAACAGTTATAATTGATGACAATTAGTTTTATTGAACAATATGATGATAATGTCTTATAATTTGATAATTATATAATCTTTTTTCAGGTGTATTAATCTGCCAAAATTGTCGTCATTGTAATATGTTCAGCTTTTTATATGGTACATTAAATAGATCGGGAATATGAATATATGTTAAAATGTACTTTTTAATTACAATACACTGACGTTTAATAAAATAGTACATGCATAATAGTTGATGACAATTTTAGAGGTTTATACATAGAAATATGACTTATTAAAACTTATAAACATATTAATAGTTTTGGAATAAACAGCTTCTCGTTTATAGTTTGTGTCTGTAAACGTGTGTAGGCTTATAATGTATACAGATTATGTATAATCAAAATGCTCTTACATGGCCACGCGTTATAGCCTCTGTCAGGGAAGTCCTACTCACTGCCTTCTCGTGGAGATGTTGTTTACTGAATTGACAGGACGAAAAGCGAATGTCCCGAGCTGTAACCGGGTTGGTGGACACTAAGGGTTTACCTAGGGAAATTGGAAAACCCTGATTCCAAACCAATGGTACACATGGACTCCAGTATCCTGAGGGAACAAATGGTGTATGGATCAGTCTTTGGTCACGGGCTACCATGTGACTGCATCTCCTTACAATGCTCCACTGCCTTGTGGATCAGATCTTCACGTCAGAGGCTGGGGTTGCGGCCCCCTAAGAAAACCACCTGCTTCAGTTTGGGCATCTGAGCAGTATCACAGGAATTGAATGAGATTTGTGTGACGCATATGTATCTGGTGCTTCCTTGTATCAATATTTCTGTGTTTAAATAAATAAAATAAATAATCAAAGATACGATGGTGATCATGCTCATATATCTCATAGGAGTTTATTTAAATCAACAAAATCATTGGATATGATAACTAGTTAAGGATATTGTAGATAGTGAGTTTGACACCTCATTTATCTTTCCACGTCGATCATCTTCCAAGTGACTGAATATAATAAATGAATAATGTACTCATGCGCTCTCGTAAAATGCTTAGAATCTATCAAGAAACTAATTATTGTAAAATTCAAACGCAAACATCATCATGGAGGCGGTCAGAATACTCTCCTCCACGTTTATCCCTTAATTCTACTACTCCGGAATTAATATTAGTAGTTACATCTCACTAAGCTTATAAGGTGTGATATGTTAGACCAGTGAGTATATATGCCAGGTTCTAGGATGAATATGACTGAAATGTTTGTCCTTAGGAGGAAAAAGAGAGGATTAGATTGGTGTTTGTGCTTTTAGTATGCAATGCAATGACAAATTCGCCACTGAAGTCAGGTTAGCTTGAAGAATTTGCGAATTAAGATCAATGACAGACTACCACTGCTGAGAAACATCATTATATATGTTAGTTCAGAAATTCCCAACTGGAATGGGTATAGGCCTGTAGGTTGTTGTATTATTGCATATTCTGTCCTCAAAAGTATTTAATGTGATAAAAAGTATGGTGTATAATGAAGGAAATACTGTCACTATATATACTAAATTTGAGTTTACTGTTTTATAATTACCAGAGGAATAAAGAATACAGTAGAATCACAACGTATTGGACGATAATACTATTTACATGAACGCATGTTTGACCTAGGATTTAAACTTTGTACTGTTCTTCGATTATTGGCGAGATGGGTGTACAGCTTTATTTCACTGAACTCTGAAGCTAAATACTTCAACTAATACTATCCAATAAACATTATAATCACTGACATAGTGCACACAGTATGATCAAAAGATTTTAGTCAGTAGTTGAGGTATAATTTGTACGCAAGACAATTCAATTACCAAGTGAATATTAATGTATTCAGTTCTAATCTACAGTCTTAGCACACAGAAACTTGTAAGAATGAGGAAGAATAGGGTTACAGCTTACTGGTTAGAATTCGAGTGTTTTAACCCCAGGTGGAGAGATTGGGTGATATGGCTAAGAATTAGCCTCATTGAAGCATTCATCCTTTGTTTTCCTCTAGATCATGAGTTTTAATATTATTCCATGCTTTTGCTATCTGGATTTATTCCTTCTTCATGAATCATATTTTCCAAGTTTGATATTTCTTACTATCATTGATACTACTAATATTTCAACTTATTCGGTGTACTGATGTGATGACTTAGAGCGAATGGTATTTGAGTAAGATTATGACTGACTGATTTTGAGATTATTGATCGTGATATGTAAGACAACCCAGCAAGTCTATTGTAGCAGATTTACAAAGCAATACCGTCCTAATATATGTAGGTGTGAAGTTAGTTATATTCATGTACTGACACCAAAAGTCACATTTAGGTGACGTAAATTTTATTCTTGTGTATTGTACTATCTCATGAAAAATCAGACGCCTCGCGGTTTTATTCGACATGAGACTTTGTTAACCAAAACATTGTGTCATAGTTTGTAAAGATTTGAAACGGTGTAATTGCTTTTTGAATCCTCGATACATCGTTTATGTCAATTTTACTAGTTTCTGGTTTTAAAATCACAGCAACCTAATGATACTAGAGAATTTAACCTAGAGGACTTTAGTGGTAAGAAACCCAATAATTAAACAATACATAAGCTATAAAGCCAATAAAACACAAACAACCGGAAGCTCAAGCGGTATATTTCTAGCGACTATATCACATAGGTTGTGAGGACGATTATAAAACTTGTACAAGTATTTGAAAAAAGTCTGAGACGATACTAGAAGTTTTATTTAACACGATAAAATTTTGAAAAGAGCAACCGGGTCAACAGATTTATGTACAGCTACTGAGGCGAATGTGTGGTTTTATTTCACTGTTTAACTAATTCTTCACGATTCAACTCAAATAGTCTAAGTGTTAAACGCTGATTCATTTTGGCGAATTTCTCTGTACATTTATCGACGCACTCGGTCTAGGAGATAAAAAGAAAAAGAGAGAATTACCCTCGATATGAAATAAAATCATACCTCCTTATCATTCAATTTACGTGAAGTAAAATTGCTAACGCATCGATCAAAGCATACTGTACTGCACCGAACATACAATTCAGATGTTTCTTTGATTTGCATCTACAAACAAACGAGGATAGTGGGGCAAGTATAGTCGTATTGCATTGTGACTGACTTATCAAAATAAATAAACTATGAAATAGTAATAAAAGAAATATGAAAAATCGGTTACATCGATAATAACGTACAATCTGGCAAAAGAAATAGTCATTCGAGTTGCATGGAAAAAGTAACGTTGATAAAGAATACTAAGATAATGGCGTCAGCTTTTAAGTAGACATAATAACAACGCAGCGACATAACGTTGAAAATGTGTACAAAATTAAAACCTTATTAAACACGTAATTAATCTTGAACTACAATTCATTAAAACTAAATATTGCCCATTTATCAAGTCAAGGTCTATGTCCCCAACTTCGAGCCATACTACATGTATCAGTTGCTTGAGATGGTGTACATAAAACCTGACCTTAACCTGAGACCTAATGATTGTAAGTCAAGTGATTGAGGTAATAGACCGCTCCACCGTCAACTGGAATTGCCAAATACACCTGGTGAACGTAGACCGAGATATAATGTTTTTTAGGCAATCAAAACCAACATTCTATGACTTCGTATACTGGTTAAACTTTTATCTAACTAAATGTTGAATATATTATGAGCGAATGGCAAATTAGCTTAACTGTAACAGTTAAATAGCAAAATAAATTCCTACAGTAAGATGTTCAGCAGTGATTAGTGAGGTTAAATGAGATTATTCGAAGCTAAAAATCTGCTACAACATAATTTACTTCGTATAAATGCTATATATAGTATGAGTATCTTGACTCACAAGGGGATTATCAGTCATATAGCTCAGAAAATGTGGTTATGGTTTACAATCCACAAATGATGTGGTATCATCTCCGATCAAGTTCCCAAAGCAACGTACTAGAAAATTATAAATAGACATACTCTACCATATAACCTGTTCTGTTCTTCTGCTCTATTACGGTTATATGAATTATCATATATCTCAATTAATTCTACCGATGTTTTTATTCAGCCACTTCTGTGACAAGCCGATCGAGTCACTTCGTAACACATGCTACAGAGTTCTGAAGTGAATCGATGCATTTGGCAAACGCCGTCAACAAGTGTCAAGACTGAGTGGCAAAAGAGGCGTATGCAAAAGGTAAACACGAACCACGAAGTGTGATTCAATAGGCAGATCTAGACATGACCTATTTGATTAGTTCGCTCCGACAAAAAACAGTAAGCTTCAGGTTGAATAATTAAGTTGCTAGAAAACCTAGAAAACTGTATTATATCACTTTCTTTTACATATAAGTATATTGCACACAGTGACACACCATTCCAAAAGTAACGAAAATAGGGAAGACTTTAGTATAATAAGTAGTTAAGTACTCAGTGAATATGCGGTCTACACTGTGCAAGCATTTTCTAAATAACTTGTGATAGTTTTTGAGTCGCCAAAAGTTTGGTCATATATATTAACATGAAAAAGCAATAGAACCGGATGGAAGAAGTTGATAATTACTTTGTTAAGATATTCGCTCATTTCATCGTCCATCATGTTTGACATTTAAATTTGATAAGAGATGATTCAAGAGCCGATTTTGGTTACAGCACCTCAGATCCACATGTTGTAGCACACAATCTCTTTTCGTGACCGATAGTAAAGTGTTCAATAAGTCGTAAGTGAAATAGGAGAAACTTTGCCAAATCAGCTTTACATTTAGTGGCAATAGGAATTCACGGATTCCGATGAAATTTATGTGTAAGTGGTTTAAAATGAACTCATGATTTTCCTTACTGCGCGCTATTTAAAAAGGTCAGTGGTATTTTACCTCTGATTATATTTTATAGTATCGATTGTTTAATTAGGCATCAAGACTACTGTTTGTGTCTTAATGGAATTTATTCCAGTTAAAGTAACCTTCAAGAGTATTATTTTTTCTGAAGAAGTATCTCATTCGTACTTTTGGGTATAGATACAATAAAGGAAACTGGTTTTTTCCACGTTGAGTATATTTTTTGGTATTGTTTGTATCCAAAGATTTTAAGGTCCTTCTCCATTTGCTGAAGTTGGATTTTCTTATTGTTGCTAAGTATAGTAATATACAAACCTGTTATGTGTGTTCAGTACCTATCACCTGTCAAACATCAAAAGACATTTATTCTAGAGATCAGTTTTCGCTGTTGTTCTTTTTGTGAGATCACAAAACAATTTTACAGTGCAAGCAAAACATTACTGTTGAAGACGTGCATTCTATTTCCGGGTCGATGATGGAATGCAATATGACAACTGTAAGAAGTGGTGTCACAATGTGTGCACCGTACTCACACCGGCTGCATTTAAAGGGTACTGTAAACCATTATCACGTTTACTGTAGAAAGCCTGATTTTTTAAAATGTCTCTGCTGGTTCTTGAGGCGATTGAGCTGCTGGAGCTAGAAAATTTCTCTCAGGTAAACAGGCAGCAGTAGATGACCGGAATTCAGTGTTCGAGGAAATAGAGAGAGTTATTATGAGCCCAGCTCTGGATTTGAATGTGACCATCGATGTGTACCCCAGTGAAGAAGTGGATAACAAACATACTGATATAGGTATTGTTACAAGGAAAAAGAAAAAGCACTCTAAGAAGAAACAAATTATAGGTAGTACTATGGCATGAGAATTTACGGTTTCAGTTCCGGATTCACATATCAATGCAAAACAGACCGTACGAGAGCAAAGTCTGAGCAAGCTACTCCCAGAAACTATTTAAGGAATTTTTTAGACTTAATACTTCATGTTTTTATGAGCGATGGTGTAAACAGATCTACTAATCTAATTTTCATGCTGCGTTTTCATCGAAAGTTTTGATCCTGATTTTATATGTTTCACGATGTCATAAGTTTAATCAAATGAGTTTGTGACAGCGTTCAAAATTTTCATAGATCATCCTAGAACCAGTAGACTGTTCATCCTCAGAAGTTAACAAAGCAACAAGGAGGAATAAATGAATTTGTAGAGTTATGGTCTACTTCGTTATTATTACTATTATAATAATAGAACCAATTTTAATATTGTAGATATGTCGTGATGTGACTGCCTAATCTATGAGATAAAATAATGCACTTAGTCTGAGTAGAGAAAAGTTATGCAGAATGACCACGACCGTAATCCTGGTCCATGCCACCTGATTGAATTGAATTGAGTATTCCCGCATTCTCTATTGTTAGCTTTCTCTTCCTGTCAATTGTTTAACATAAATTTTTTCCGTAATTATATGCTTGGCTTCAAAGGTCATGTGGTTTGGGTCCATTGCTACTAAATGTTCATTATAATTCATGAGGATTAAGGGTTCGGTTTGTGATAGTTAGTGGATTGGAAATGAAGATAAATGAAGGAGGCCCAGAGTGACCAAACAGTTTTGACACTAAGAGAGTAAGTTAAGAAGGCTAAATTTTCGTTGTTGTGATAATTATTGCATACTGATTGGGCTACTTGAGAAAAGGCCTACGCATGTACACATTTGTAGTTCGGTACTCGGAGACGTTAGCATTCCTTAAGTTAGGCAAACTTGTGGTCTTCAAGTATTTTGACAGATTCTGATTGCTTCAATTACGGCTAAGACCTGGTGACAAGATAACTGACACAACTAATGTGAGTAACATAAATATTTCTTGCCTCAGATTCAGAATTTAGTGAGCGGATATTCACATATTCCTTTCTTATGCATCTTTTTTTCTGGCGCCATCAAATCGGGTCGGATTCACCCGAATAGAATATCATCACAGAAGGTTTCAATAACATGGTTGATGGCAGTTATAACAATTAGCAACTCAAAAGCTGATAGAGTCAGCTGGTTCTGTCCAAGTGTGGTATAAACCACTCGGTCTATAGACGGTTCGGCATGTTTGCCACACAGCGTTTCGTTACAGTTTGTAAATACTACTCATGAACCCATCCTAGTCACAATTTTTTACGTATAATCCCTCCGAAAGTACTGGGGCTCTCACGAAGTAATTACAATGTCCAGAGAAAACCTATTAGTGGTGATGAAATAACCTCACTAAAACGTCTTTTTAGCTTTTAAACTACGAGAGCAAGCAATCCGTATTGATGACTTGGAGCCCGCTTTGTTCGGACGGGAATGTTGCGACCTTGTAGAATTGTCGTGAACTTGGGTATTATTACAATTATAATAGTAGACCTAATCCTAAAATTGTAGATATGTCATGGTGAGACCACGTAATTCATAAGATTTTAAGTGAGAGTCATGTGGTTGTTTACACTGTCTCATCCTATCATAATACTTAGCAGAATGATGTCTACCACATCTGAGGGGCGAATTTGAGCAGGGAAGAAGGTAATGTATTCGGTACAAAAAGAGAGGAGTTATTTGACCGCATCTGGATGACCGAACCATATCATTTCCATTAATTGTTGCCATGTTCACCGTTGTTGACTTTATCCTCGTATGACAGGTTGGATGTAGATCTTCTCAGCAATTATACTTTCTGCATCAAAGATCGTGTGGTCAGGAACCAATGTCGTTACAACTTTTAAATTTAAGTCGCACTTCACAGTTGAAACCCAACGCGCATTACTCTTTCACCGTATTCAGGTACTTTAGCTACTTTATTAACCATATGGAACGGATGTGATATTATTACAGTTATGTTTCAATCAAAGTAGGTAGAAGAGACAGAGTGCATCCACCTCATCATAGCCAGTATTTGGTAAGCAATTGACTATCGCATGTTAGTTTTCTCTCACCTAGGAGAAGATCGGTAAACTTTCCGGTATTCAGCCCACTATCTACCGTATGATTTGGCTAATGATAAGTAACATTTCACTGACCCTACAAACCTTTTTACCAATTTTCGCTCAAGCGCGTAAGAGAATGGATGAAATTATCAAAACTAGACGTGACAATACAACATAACTCAAAATAAGTGACCAGCCCCATTTTGCGTTTGTGCCAAAGGTATCAGCCCTAGTCAGTATTACCAACCAAAGAAATAACAATAGGGTACAATGTTGTTTATTGTGCTCTTGTATTATTTTAAGAATGACATACCGACTGGGTTGTTTTAGTCTAGTCAGTCGACCACTTACCATACCTAGGTTCCCTAAATACTCTCCTCTAATTTGAACACTAGACAGAAGAGTAATTTGCGGTCTTACAGTTTCCTCACCTAAAAAAGACACACCATCACATTCTTTTTTATACTTATCACATCCATCCTAACATTTTTCCATTGCATTTCCAAATTCTAAACCTCTAAAAAATATATACCCTCAGAATGACGTCTACTTTGCACATTCAGATCATATGTAAACTCTTGAAAGACTGTTTGGCAAAGTGATGACTTTAAATATTAGAAAAATTGACTGATTTAAAACAACTGTACTCAGTAACTAAGAAAATATATTATTCACTTGATGGACACAAAACATACTCAAAATTTACTAATTCAAGTGATATGCAGGTGGAAAATTAGCTCAGTTAAATCTCTTGTCATGGATAAAACTCCAATGAATATATTTTTACGCTATACAACGATATTGAAAATAGAAAGTAATTTCCACGACAACAGTCATATGGTACGTATTTAAAATAATACATTACTTTTCAAAGTGTTTGAATCCGTTGCTTTTTGACAAATAAATCAAAACGTTTTCGAATAAATAAAATAAGCGCCGTATATCTGTTTGTAATAAGATTTTGTCTTTTCAAAGTCTGGTCGTTACTCGAGTGCTTCACAACATTGACAAACATTTCAGCATTTCCTACTGGTCGCAACAAAATGCTAACTATAGGTGTTCTTTTGAGTTGAGACAAAATATTGGTATCTGGAGACTCAAATATGAGGTAGGAATAGATGTTTATTTTAAGAAACACGATATATCAGATATATATAACTTCATTTTATATTTTAAGAAGCGAAGTCAAATTATCAAGTCTTTATGAAAATCACTGGAACAAAACGATATGACCAAAAAGCATGTATTTTATACTCCAATGTTCAGTACTGTGATTATTGGGTAACTTAAACCATTTATTGTCATGTACGATTAAAATAAGCATAAAACTTATTGATCAAAATTCAAGAGTGATAAAGACCTTTACTACTAGAAATGAAGAGAACTTAAGAAAGTTCTAATGAGGCTTTTGAGGTAAATTCCAAAGGGCTATTTCGGTGTTAATTGTATGGCCTGCTTATGAATCAATGAACAAGGTTTCGATCACTGAAGCTTCTCTGTGTTTGTAATCGCTTTTTATAGCTGTTCAAAGCAATGGTACATTACTTTTAGCTACACAGTTCGATTGATTTTTACATTGAAAGTGTATTCACATCTGTAATCACATTTAGTCATGGTATTCTGTGACCATTAGAAAGAAACAAAAATTAGATTAAAGCTGTTTAATCCACCGACAAATATTGGTCATATGTATCCAATTCCAGTCAACAACAACGATCTCATTTTTGCCTTTTAGGCGTTCATTCTGTTTACACCATATTTTTTTCTTTATGTACCAGCTGACACTTAGTTCAAGATTTCGTACTGTTGGCCTGATCTTTTATTATCAAGTCACGGATTTAACCGTTAGGTTTAACGGAGGATAAATTATCTGAACTGTTCTTTAGAGATTTGGTGGGTGGAATATGCTGGTTGGTTTTGGCAGTCTTATGGGATGGCTTTTAGCTAATTTTATTTACTGTATACTGAAAAATTGATCACTGAATATATAGAGATTACATATTATTCACGTGCGATAAAAATGTTAATATACTCGATTTTTATCCCACATTAAAAAAATTATAAAGGAATGGATGTTAATAAATACTAATTCCTATAATCTCCTTGCGTAGATCACATATTCTCAAAGAATCTCATAACGAAGCACAACTCCGAATAGAAGCAGGCAGCAAGGAAGTAGTATTTTTCATGTTCAGATCTAGAAACTGTGGTTGATGTAGGAACAGTTTGTTCAATATAATCTGCAGGATTATAGTTCACTCAGTACGTCATTTCAAGGTGTTTTGGTATTTTATTGTATCCAAACCTTTGCAGCAGACATCGTTACACCCGTTACTTATAAATATATAGTGCAGAATGTGTAAACTTAGAGTTCGGAAAAGTCAAAAACTAATGGCTTTGCTCCTAAGTAAATTAAGTGAGTTGGAATCTATTCAGTAACGCTGGCATCTACTGGTACGAAATGCAGACATGTGCTGACTGGGGTATTTCGTTGTTTATGTTCTGCCACTTTTTAAGCCACTTGCTGAGTCAATTTCATGCAACTTACCTCCGATTTTATATTGTGATTAGCATCAAATATTTAATAGAGTTATTACTTCTCGGTTGAGAATGTAAAAGTTTCTTGTCAATCCGTTTCACACAATTAACAGTGCTTTGTTTGGTACTAATAAGCTCGTTTAGTAGAAAGTAAGTTCAGACTTCATAAATAAAGAAAGCGTCCCACACAATTAAAACCCTTTAGCCTAACGAACACAAGACTGACAAAAGTATCAACATGTACTAGATATAAGCAAAGATGGATAGTGGCTAGTAGTGGAATTCAGGACGCGCGTTTCGTCCTATTTGGGACTCGTCATCTGGATTTACCTGCATCTCAGAGTTGTTATTCACTCTGAAACTTGGACTCAGTGCAGTTCTCTTCAAATGCCATCACTTCATCCACTTAGCTACTGAGTCCTGATAGTCACCTGCTTGTGCAATGGGGTGAAGTTTAAATTCACTTGTACTTGTTTATTGATACCTTCCTATAGTTATTTAGGACTGCAATTGATCTTTTACCAACTGAATGTACTAGATATGTCCCTAATTATCAATGAAAGTTTGTCAAAATGTATGTTTCATTATTATTATTGCATGATTAGTTTCTTGTTTCTCTTTCACCTTTCAGAAGCTATAAGACATTAATGGTAGTTCAAGACTTCTCTATAACCAGTTTATCATGAATAGATTTTAACAAACTAAAATGTTTTTATCATTATTTTATAGATAAACATTTGGGAAAACAACAAAACATTCATTGATTAGATTGTTATAATTTTTTGGTGACAACCTTTCAGCTATCATAATAAACATACATATACCTTCTTTGGAACCTTCTGATTGATAATTCAATATGAGTGTGGAAGTGGAAATTCAATCTCCGAATTTCTGTCATATTGATGGAGAAAATGATCCACATGAATCACTTATTCCAGAAGATAACATTTCAACTGTATACAGTATGTTTATTGTTTTAGTGTAACATTCTTAGACCTAATTTTACCTCATTTTCTAGAAAAAACCAACTATTTCATTCACTTCATCAGTGTGTTAAGTAGTTGAAAGCGATCTGTAAGAATACCTATGTCGTTTAATTTTTGTGTTTATCAACATAATACTATTCACTCAATCCAGTGTTATTAACAAATGCACCTACTAGTCGATGAATGTTTTGATTTATTTGTAAGTAGATAATTTATTGGACAAATAAGTGACGATGAGCATGCACATTCCATTGTCAATTCCGACTAATTTCTAACACGCACTTCTATTGTTGCAATGAGTTGTACTCTCTACTCATATCATTTTTGATTCTAAAATGTAAAATTTGAGAAAAGAAAACAGCATAAACTTATTGAGAATTAACTGAAGAGCGTGATTTCAGACGACTTGGGGAGTTGTTTGAACACTGAGAATAGAGATGGAATAAGCGTACCACACATAATAAGGAGCACTTTGAAGGGGATAAAACTGACTATGTTTAGATCGTTACAGAGAACTACAAGAGGGAAGTCACAATCTGATGATTTGAGCCTTATCTGACAAAGTCTCAAGCTACCGAGCTCCAAATTCCCTAGAACTTCAACCAGGGAGTAATTAAGACACTTGCACAAGACTACCTTTCATTATTTTATAGATTAACTAAAGGTTGTCTTTTTGCCAAGTTTCACTTTAAACTGTAGTAGCTCATGTATTTTTTAAAGCGATCATGTACTTGTAGAAGACGAATACATGGATCCATAAGGTACACGTAACTAAAGAAGCTGTAAGTATATAGTAGATTAAGTTGAGACAGTTATACATAGTAGATGATTCTAACAAATTAAGGGAATTGTCTTCCAACAAGTAATGGATAATAAACTGGGTTCCAAAGAATTCTAAAAATGTTACGTTTGCAGTCACAGTCGAATGCCATGTGGTTAACCAGATGTTCTGGCTACACATCATATACAATTAATCTTGGTTACGATTTTTAAATTTATGAGTGATATATTACATTTAAGCGGATTAATCATACCTTGTCAAATCAACCAGTTACTACACTGGCATCAATTATTAGGTTGATCAATAAACCAATCATCCTCCGTTAAACGTGATGATTAGATTCGTGTTTTAGTTATGCATGTGAACATCTCACTCAGAGTTAAAAGACGTCCTGATTGATCAGAGCAATACCGCGAAAGAACTGTCTCTAATTCAGATCGATAAGTTTATTCACGTTTGGCACAATCTCTGAAAAAGTCAAATTACTGACTAAATATATTTTACAACAATAATAGACTATAAGCAAAGATGGATAGTGGCTAGCAGTGGAATCCAGCTCGACGGGCGTTTCGTCCTCTTTTGAACTCGTTAGCTTGATGTACCTGTATCTCAGAGTTGATGTTCACATTGGAACTCAAACCCAGTACCTTTCGCTTCAGACGCCATTGCATTATCCACTCAGCTACAGAGTCCTGTTGGTCACCTGCTTGTGCAATGGATTGAAGTTTGAATTCACTTAGTATTGTTTGTACTATTATAGTGTTGCGCAGTTTATTTAAAAGACATTACAAATAATTATTTTATCATATATAACAACGTGTTTAGTAAATGATCATTTCATCGGTTACATAATGAACTGACTGAAGATAAACAGTGATTGGAAATTAGGGAGCTGCTAAACAAATGTATTATTGAAGTATGGCACTCCTTGGTAGTGCTCATCTACGATCTAAATAAGAATCGAAAATGGAATATTCAGGTTTTTCTTCAGGGTCATGAAGTCTCCACTTATGGTCAGTCCATAATAGGGATTACAACTTGCACATTCTTCGCAACCGTTCTATACAAAAGACTCACTCTTTTGTTATCAAATTACACCAAATGTTCATTTTGGATTGTCAATTTATCGTGAAATCGGCGTTTTTTGTTTATTCTTCTATAGATGATCCATCTAATATCAACTTGGATTATAATAATAACCTAATAAATGATTCAAATGATCATTTACATGAAGTTCTTAATAATTTAGACATCTTAACTGATGAGTTAAAGAAACCATTAGCTGATTCATCCCCGACTGATTTATCTAATTTACCATATCCTCCTGGTTACTCAATTATAAAACAAAATGGCTCAGCAACGATGACTGAAAATCAACATGACAAATCGAATGAAACTGAAGAAGAAAATTCAAAGGAACCAAGGTATTTTATACTGTTTAATTTCATAGAATAAATCGAGTTATCCATTTGTAAAAGGGTTTTGAAAGTGACTATTGGTTTGCTATGACTTATTATTCAATAAGTAATCGTAAATAACATTTTCACGTAATCTGCTGTTGGGATTTGTTTGTTATTTATTTAAACACATAAGCATTAATACAAGGAAGTACCGAACAGATATGAGCTACATAAACCATCCGATTTGTGTGAGGGCTGGGATACTGTCCGGGTGCCCAGACCGAAGTAGGTGGTTTTCGTAGGAGGCCACAGCCTGAGCCACTGACTTACAGATCTAATCCACAGGGCAGTGAAGTTACGTAAGGAGATGCAGTCCCATGGTAGTCGGTGACCAACGATTGCTTTATACGCCATTTGTTCCTTCGGAATTCTGGAGCCCATGTGCACCATTGGTTCGGAGTATGGGTTTTCCAACTTCTTCAGGCGAACCCTTCGTGTCCACCAACCCAGTTAAATCGCCTTATTTGACAAAGTCTCAAGCTACCGAGCTCTATAATCTCTAGAACTCCAACCATGGAGTAATGATAGATCGGTAACCACTAGCGTTATACATCTGCATTAAATATCAACGTACCATGTAATAAACAAATATCTTATCTGCTTTCTCTACTCAATCTCAGCATCAACAAATAATGCACAGTATGAAATTCATGTACAATCCATTCACGTTTATACCTTAATATGAAGGAATTTCGATGAAAAGGCTGGTTATATAAATGGATCGTTGGGGATAACTTTATTTTATCAAAAAAAGTTCCTTTGCCTATTCGATCAATGTTCTAAGTATGATGAGTTTAACTAATACTTGTATCAAAGTGAACAGTATGCTCATTTATTATCAATGTAATAAATTTACTGAATGAAAAAAGATCAGCTAACTAGCTAGTAGTAGAAGTGTGATTTTTTTGTGTTATGACTTGTACCGACAATTGTCATATCTTGTACCCGCTTATTAGAGAGAAGTGATTAATTGATTGGACCAGTAACACACAAAACTCGTACGAGCAGTCTAGAGTACTAGACGGTCCTACTGTCTTCCTAACCCAGCCATTTAAGTCCAAAACACCAATAACAGCTTCCGCAATATGAATCATCATTCTCAAACATACTGAGTTTATATACCAAACAAACTGACCACTTCGTACCATAAAATAGAAAATAACATTTGTACAAGATTTGGCCAAATGTGGCTGTGAATAGGGGGAACAGTAATTAATGGACTAGGGATAACTCAAGAATGGTGAATCGTATAATAATAATCTATAGGTCAAAATAAAGCTCATAACAAGAGGGATGTGAATATGAATAGTTTAATTAGTTGACAATCATGCAATAGGAAATATACATATTACATTGGTCCATAAATAGTCCTTAGAGTTACCATTCATAAATCTCCACGGGATATAACATAATGGAACAGTAGTGATCCTATAGGACTGATGTTATTCAGTTGAAATTTACTAACATACTCGTTATATCGTTATGGTGATCTAGTGTATCTATAAAATGATTAGAAATTGATTGTTAAGGATAACACACGAATTGTCTATAAATAATCAGAAGGGGTTTTGTGTAAATTTTAGTATGTTCATAGTTGAAAGCGTGAGTCAATTGAACCTAGACAACCATGGGAAACCTGGAAGCACTGGACAGCCGTTTCGTTCTATTACGGGACTCCTCAACAGTGCGCATCCACGATCCCGCATCCCGAGATTCAAACCCAGGACCTACCAGGACGAAACGGCCGTCTAGTGCTTCCAGGTTTTCCATGGTGGTCTAGCTTCAATTGACTCAAGCTTTCAACTATGAAATATAAGTATTCAGTTCACATTCTAGTCCCCTATGATTGACTGAGGCACAGTAACATCAAAGGAAACCATCTGAAATGTGCGGATGAAGGATTATTGTTTGGCATAAATATCACTTTTTATTTACCTTCCTAAGTAAGTTAAAGTTGGAATGTAAAAATTATTGAACGGTCATTTCTGATGGGTAAATGGAAAAACAAACTGCCCAATAGGATTATTTACAAATCACAAAGTAAAATGAATGAAACTGTTGAGTCTAAAGATGTCTAACTTATCAAACAACAAATTCACCTAGAATTGTTTACTTGAATCTTCCCATTGATGTTTAGGACTGCAACTGATCCATCTCTCTCTTATTGACATATGTGCATACTGTTTGTATTGCCTCGATATGGCCTTAATTCATAAGCATTATAAGCAGAGATGGATAGTTGCTAGCAGTGGAATTCAGGAATCGTGTTCCGTCGTATTTGGGACAATTGAAGCGAACGGTACTGGGTTTGAGTCCTAGAATGAATATCAACTATGAGTTTCAGGGAAATCCAGCTGACGAGTCCAAAGTGGGACGAAACGCGCGTCCTGAATTCCACTGCTAGCCACTATCCATCTCGGCTTATCAACCAACAGATTACAATGTTTATTTCTTATTTAACTAAATGATACTATATTCCTTTATTATATTTTATCATGTCTTATAGCAAAAATTAAATTCAGATAAACACATTAGTGTTACTTATTAAACTATGAGTAGTATATCTAAACAGGTTTGGTGTTTTGATTCTTATAATCTATGGAATAGTTACTGAGTCTCTGACAGTATTAATAACCTGAGATATTTAAGTATACTTATAGGAATTTATAAATGTAAGTCAGTCTATACCATGTCCTTTTTCAGAAGAACAATGAAACCTCCCTAATCAAACCATCCAGTCCATCAAAATGATCCATCTCTGCTTTCCATGCTTGTGAATTAAGGTTATATTGAGGCAATACGCACAGTATGCACATATGCCAATTAGAGACTGACCAGTTGCAGTCCTAACAAATCCATGGGAAGATTCAAACGAACAATACTGAATGAATTTAAACTTCACCCCATCGCACAAGCAAGTGGCTATCAGGACTCAGTGGCCGAGTGGATAACGCGATGGCGTTTGAAGCGAGGGTATTGGGTTCGAGTCCTAGAGTGAACATCATCTCTGAGATGCAGGTACATCCAGCTGACGAGTCTCAAATAGGACGAAACGCGCGTCAAACGGGATTCCACTGCTAGCCACTATCCTTCTCTGCTTACCATACTAAAGAGAATGTTTTTTTGTTTTTCATTTTAGAATGACAAAAAAATTTTTAAAGCAACATTGTGCAAAGAATAAATTATATCAAACACCACAATTAAATGATATTCTATATCTACATTATAATGGTAAATTAGTATTTTTGTTTTTGTTAATTATCCATCTATTCTTTTACTTACTTATTTACACCTGATAATCCAAACGCAGTATAAGCCGCCGACTAGCGTACTCCAATCCGCTCTGTCCCGAACCTTTCTAGTTCTATCCAGTTGTTATTCATTCTTCTCATGTTTCTCTCCATTTCTCGGTGTAATGTGTTCTTTGGTCTTACACTTCTCATTTGGCCTTCAGGATTCCATGTGATGAGGGCTTGCCTTGTGACTCAGAAAATATAGGGATTTTATAGTATTTTAGAAGTCCTTGGGTATTCCTGAAAATTCTAGAATACTACTGAACATAGTAGCAGTATAGTAATCAGTCAGTTAGAACCTGTACATGTGACTTTTCATTTTCGTGATGCTTCTAGCAAAACGTCTAATCAAACGCTGATTGGATAGAATGCTTCCTAATGTTTCCTGAACCAGTCATGTTTATTGAAAGAAATTTTCAGGATCGTCCTAACAAAAACTGAACTATTGTTTGTAAGGATTTAAATTTTCCCGTTGTTTATATTTGGAACTTTATTGAATCAGTCACTTTAGACATGTGTAGATCCTTAGAGAATTATCTGAAGTTTAAAATAGGACGGAATATGGGACTTGGATTTCAGAAAATCGAAATTTCTGGGGTTCAAACCACACATATAAGATTATGGATGCCTACTGATGAGGTGTTCCATGCTAAGACGAAACAACCATTTAAATACTTTTAGGGTTTTTCCATAATGATCTAACTTGTTCTTCCTTATTAATAATTATTATTTATTCATCATTCACTCTAGATATTAACACCATTAGCTATTACCTTGATAATCTAAAAGTTTAAACAATCGCACACAAAACCGAAGTTCCTGGGGGGGGGGTTCCTAGCCTTACATGTAGGATTATGGATGCGTACTACTGATGAGGAATCTCACACTAGGACGAAACAACCATCTAACTTTTTATTTATTAATCATAACTACTACTTATTTAATCATTCATTCTAATGAAAAAACAAACAACTGAAATCTTTTTTTTTCATTCCTTATAGGTTTTTCTAAAATTGAAAATCTTGAAGAATATACCAATTTAAAATGTTTATTTTTAGAAGTAAATGGTTTATTAAAAATAGATGGATTACATAATCAAATTGAATTACGTTCATTATATTTATCAAAAAATTTAATACATAAATTAGAAAATTTAGAACATATGAAATATTTAGATACATTAGATGTTAGTTATAATATGATACAGAAAATTGAAAACCTTGGTAAGTTATTTTTAATGTTATTCTATGATGAATATAGTATTAGACATTAACACCGTTGGATACCAGCTCAGTGGTCTATCGGTTAAGGGCTTCGGCTCGAGACTGGTAGTTCCTGGGTTCGAATCTCGCTCGCGAGAGCAGGTTCGTGGATGCGCACTGCTGAGGTGTCCCATAATAGGACGAAACGGCCGTCTAGTGTTTCCAGGTTTTCCTCGGTGGTCTAGCTTCAATTGACTCATGCTTTCAACTATGAAACATACCAAATCTCCACAAAACCCCTCTCGAATATAGTATTGTTTTTTTTATCTTTACAGAATGAGATTGTTGAACTTCGAGTGTAGTCTATCTCAGGGAATTACCGCCGAGTCAAAAAGTTGAATAAAGAAGGAACGTTGGATATGGGGTTAGAGACCACTACCTGTATCTTCTTCTTATTATATTAGACTGTAATTGATCAGTCTCTCTCTTATTGGCATATATATGCATCCTATGTGGACTACCTTGATATTGCCTGAAATCATAAGCTTTTAGAAGCAAAGATGACTAGCGGCTAGTAGTGGAATCTAGTTTGACGTGCGTTTCGTCGTTTATGGGACAATCTGTTCATTTGAAAATCGGATAATAATTGACCACCGAACACAGATAGACAAACTGTCAGTTTACTGACAATTAAATGTGCGACTTCCTTACTCGCTATTGATTTCTACTCTAGACTTGCTGAGTGTAAAATGTTTGTAATTCTGTTGAATAATCTATTATCAGAAGGGGTTTTGTGGATATTATAGCAATTTTAATAGTTGTGATCATTAGTCGATTGAAGCTAGACCACCATGAAAGGGCTGGAGGGCCGTTTCATCCTACTGTGGGACTCCTCAGCAGTGCGCATCCAAGATCCCTCCTCATGAGATTTGAACCTAGGACCTATCAGTTTTCCATTATGGTCTAGCTTCAATCAACTCATAAATTCAACTACAAAATTACTAAAAATCTCCACCAAACCCCATTTGATAATAATATTTGTACAAGATCAAGCCGAAAAGTGGCTGTAGTTGTGGGAGACGATAATTTATAAACTGAACATAAATTAAGAATAGTAAATCGTGTCATAATAGTCTATAGGTTAAAATGAAACTTATCATAACAGGAATATAGATATCCAAAATCTAGTTACTGAATATAGAAGAACTTTCGTCTAAATTAGAGTGAATAGTTTTACAGTATTTGGGCGCCGAATGGATGTAAGAATATATTTGTTACATCTTACCAAAGTGAATTTGAAGTCAATTCAATTTCGAATGGCAATCTGGTTCAAGGAATTAATTCCTTGAAAAAGTTTGGACAAGATTGTTAGGTGAAACGTTGAATTGACTTGAAATTCACTTAGCTAAGATATTACAAATATATTATTCTTCCTATTGAATGTCTTACATCAACTTGGCGCCCAAAATACATGGAAACTATTCACTCTAATTTAGACGAAAGTTTTTATAAATCATCCGATATAAATTAAAGGGATTATATGGTACTTAATACTATGAGACATGGGGTTCAATGCAGATTATCTTATCGATTATTTGTAACTTAAAGGATTATTTATTGATTGATTATGTTGATTCTTGCAAGCTATTAGTACACCCTTTGATTTCTTACCACCATCTAAATATTAGAAGCAATGTTAATTTATGAAAAGCCTGTAGCTCCTCTGGGGATTACTGCCGGTCCCAAGCCCGGGTAAAGGAGGAGGGTTGGGCATGGGGTTAGCAACCCCATCCCATAGAAAATCAACTCGCTAAAAAAACGCTAACCAGAAAAAATCATTCATTTGGAGAAAGCTGGTCGGCGGCCTATGCTCCATTGGGAGTAACAGGCGTAAGTAAAGTAAAGTAAAAGTTATGGAGTGAAAAGGATCATGTCTGTATTATACATTCTAATAAAACTGAAATTGACTAAGTGCTCAATTACATATTAGTTGGTAGCTACATAACACATTATGTTGTACAAAACACACTGAATTCTTGAATGAACCATCATATTCCCACTGTAGACACTTCAAAACCTTAAATACTTCTGAGATAAATTAATACTTCTTGGAATACAAAACAAAAAAAAAGGATTCAGCGTTTAGATGCTAAACCTAATTTTGTTCATAAATTCTGAGAAGTAATTATTCTTCTTCTTGAAGGACAACTATGAACGATAAACGGGGGGGGATGGTTAGACATTACTACGAGATAACGACTTAAAAAAACCATACTCTTCTTTTTTGATTAGATAACTAATGTGTATGGGATTATTGTGTTATTGCTATCGGTTTGGTTTAACAAAAATGTAAACAATTGGATGCAAATTAAACTATTTGGTAGAACGGTAGACTGAAACTGAGTAGTTATGTAATAAGAATATATATATTTTTTCATAGTTGAAATCATGAGTCAATTGAAGCTAGATTATCATGAAAAAGCTGAAAGCACTGGATGACCGTTTCGTCCTATTATGGGAATCCTCAGCAATGCGCATCCACGATCCCGCACTCAGGACCAACCAGTCTTGCGCCAGAGAACTCCAAAAAACCCCTTCCAACCTATAATCATATGCTTACTAGTGACTGACTTCAAGGGATGTTTCTTTGAGTTCTAGTGGGAAGCAGTGACCAGTAGAATTCAACTAAGTCTGTTATAGAGATATCAACTCACAGAAGTTACTCATAATTTAATATTCATTAGGATATAACATCAATTTGTAAAGAATATCATCTATAAATTAAGTCATCCTTCTTCATACACACACACACACTCACACTCTCTATCACACACATTCACACTCTCACACGCACACATACTTTCACACACACTCAAAAAATGCTTTTCATCAATCAATAACTTTTTTTAATTTTTCTTTTTCATTCATTTAATAGTTACTAACCAGATGTTTTTCTTTTTTTTCTTTGATTTTTCTTTTTTATTATTATCCTATATAGATTTACTTCCAAATTTTACAAAATTAATTATATCCCATAATAAATTAACCGAAATTAATGATTTAATACATTTAATTCAATGTCCAAATCTATCAGTACTTGATATACAACATAATTTTATAAAAGATCCAAATGTAGTTGAAGAAGTATTTGCTAAAATACCAAATTTAGTAAGTTATGATGATTACTATCTTATATAGAGCATACAAATTGACCTAGTTTAAAGTTATATGTGGTGTATCTAATGAGGTTAGTCAGTCAGTCGATCAGCCAGGTACAACGTAGGACCAGGCATATAGATGAATCGGTTCAAGTTACCATACTTCATTAGAACAACAAGATGAACATCCGATTCATAGAAGTAGTTCATTTAATTGTGGTCATATATGAAAGAAAGATTGTATATAAGGATATAGTAAAGGAAGAAAGGCAGATATGAAGTGATTTAATCTCAACGTTTAAGGGAAGAGAAAGAGTGTATACACCTTTGACATTGTGTTCGATTCTGAGCTATATCACACAGAGTCTCCAACCATTGGTTACGATAGTCACATGAACGACAACCAAGTAGTTTGCATCTACCAACATGGATCAGACTAGAAGTTAGTGACTTCGTGGACAGATGCCACCTTTTGGTTTGGCCGCCCCTAACTTTCTTTCAACCATCTCCAATACTACTCAGCATTGAGTGTTGTGGTAATCGGTGTTCAAACATACATAACACGTGGCCTAACCATCTCAGTCGATGAAGATTCATCACCTCATCAATGGATTTACCATCGTTCCCCTAATACCCTTTCTGTGTCTAACCTCTCTATTACTTACCTGGTGATCCTAGTAAATGCGAGAAATATTTCTAAAGCATATAAACTGAGATATTTAAGTTATAAGTCATGTAAGACTTTTAAACTATTATACCAAGGAAACATACTTTTAAATTTGACTAGGTCTTTAAGCGAAATCGATTGTTGGTAAATCCATTTGGTCTGTTTTTCAGAACGGTTATATATTTACTACAAAAAGGAATAATATTATGCTATATGGTTTAACTAACAATTTGTTTGACATTAGAACATGTAACATAATGTTATCCAGCAGCTTGGTAAATATTTATTACGACTTATTATTACAGAGATGGTCAAGATAAGTCGATGTTATGGGTATGCTCTTCTGACAAGTCGAAGTTAAACATTAACACTTTTGAATGTTGGCTCAGTAATCTAGAAGTTAAGCGTTCGCATTCAAGACCGACGGTTCTGGGTACGAATCCCATGTGCAGGATCGTGGATACACACTGTTTTCAGGTTTTCAATGGTAGTCTAACATTAATCGCTTCATGATCACAATCAAAAAATTAGTTATAATAATAGTAACAATAGATTAGGTTTATCATAGTTCGATCTCTTTTGGAATACTACTGAAAACCAGGAATATTGCACAGCTGACTCATCCTAGTATGAAACACCCAAACAATGCGCATCTACGATGTCAGCTGTGATGATGATGAAATAAGTAAATATCATGAGTAGACACTATTGATAAGTCTCAACCTCGGTCGAAAACAAGATGATGCTGGGTGTCTTTCTAACTATCACAAATCAAATACTATCACACCATGGCGAACGTGATTTTAAGCCCCATAGACCACTGGATACATTTCAATGTTCTCATATGAATCCATTCAGAACTTAAATGAATTGATAAGTACGAAATTAGTAGCCAATCATTGATCAATTAATGTACTTAGTTACATCATCATATTTTTTCGAAACAATACTGAAATGAATACACCTTTATGCATTAAAAGACAATCTCTGATATCGATGTAGGTTTGTTCTCTGAGGTGGATGGTTTGGTCGTGGAGCTTTCCTAGTCCTTCTAAACAACATCATCAACTGATGGAGAAGATTTGTAGCTAAGGTTTGTGCTGATGAAATCGTTCAGAAGAACGATGAAAGCTCCACGACTAAACCATTCAGCTCAGAGAACAAACCTACATCAAAATCACCCACCTGAGCTACAAATCTTCACCATCTCAATCTCTGATATCAGTAAGAAGCTACTTAAAATTAATGAGTAGTATCTGATAAAACAACGATTTACTTTAATAATAACCCATATGTTTTATTCTTTACAAAAAACACATTTCCAGCGAGTTTTATACAATCAAGGAAATCCATTTATTCGAGAAGTGAAGAATTATCGTAAAAATATTATTAATCAATGTGTAAGTTTATGAACTAATGTAGTTTTATATTAGTAATACGATTATATAATCTATCCAATGAATTTGCCAATGGCGATAGTAGCTGAGGAGCTTTGTCGTCGTTATCGACACATCATCATCAACGTCTACTTTGTAGATTGGTCTGTAGGTTAAGTGTTCACGGACGAGGCCTAAGGTCCTGGGTTCGAATTCCGAGTGTGGGATCGTGGATGAGGACTGCTGAGAAGTCCCACAATAGGACGAAACGGCTGCCCAGCGCTTCCAGGTTTTCCATGGTTGTCTATATTCAATTGACTCATGAATTCAGTTATCAGATTAGTGGATTAGTCGGTTCATCAATAGATTCATAATATTTTATCAATTTTTTATCTTCTGTTCCAGAAAAATCTGACCTATTTAGATGATCGTCCTGTTTTTCCAATGGATAGAGCATGTGCTGAAGCATTGTAAGTTTATTATTGTTACTTAAATATATATGTCATCATTTAATTAGTTATGCAGAGGGAGTTGAAAAAGAACGTGAAGTTCGACAACAATGGATTGATGCAGATCAAAAAAAGATTTTAGATAGTGTCAAATGTAAGTTTACCATTGTTATATTATACCTTCTTATGGCCAATGTAATTGTCTGTGTAATAGATCTTAAGTTCAGGTGTGCTTATCATTTGCTTATTCATTTTAGGGTTATCTAGTAAGCGTGAAATCATAGAAGCAAGACGTCGTGAAGCTGAATTGCGTAAAAACGCCGAAGAAGCTGGCTTACCAACTGATAACATACACGTTACACCAGGTGATGTTGACTGGTTATATGGTGATGTAGATAGTGCAAAAAATGAAAGTGATTCAGACCAGGAACTTGAAGAAACAAATAATAATGTAGAAAACTCAGCTGTTACTTCATCCAATGCAAAGGATGAAGAACTTTATACCATAACAGATTCTGGAACACTAGAAACTCAACTATCTGGAAAATTATGTTCATCAGAGATAGTAAACTTAGAAACGGATAACACTGAGTTGCATATTTCACAGGAAAAGAATAATGCAGAATTAATTTTGGACGATCATACTGCTATAAGTGAACAAAATAATGATTCTAATGAAGATGAACCAAGTGCAAGGGAGTACTTTGGGAAACCAAAGGTAACAACTTCATTTGATGATTAAATACAACCATATAATAATTGTATAACATAATAATCTTTAAAACTGCTGAAATCGAAATGATCTTGTATGACGATTGACGGTGTAGAAGGATGTTGATATGTCTATCGAAGCCCCCAAATGCCCTGGTACGGCCGAGAGTGGAGAGAGTCCGCTCACCGTCTCGAAATGTTTTCACATGGACACGCGTATATGGCCTCTGTCAGGGAAGTCCTACTCACTGCCTTCTCGTGACCGGGGTGTTGTTTACAAAATTGAGAGAACGAAAAGCGAATGTCCGGCGCCTTAACCGGGTTGGTGGACATGGAAAGTTCACCTAGGGGAGTTGGAATACCCTCATTCCAAACCAATGGTGCACATAGGCTTCAGTATCCTGAGGGAAAAAATGACGTATGAATCAATCGTTGGTCACCGTCTACCATGGGACTGCATCTCCTTACGATGCCCCACTGACTTGTGGATCAGACCTTTAGGTCAAAGGCTCGGGGTGTGGCCCCCTGAGAAAACCACCTGCTTCAGTTTGGGCACCTGGGCAGTATCACATCCCTCACACAAATCAAATGAGGTTTGTGTTGCGTGTATATATCTAGTGCCCCTTTGTACCAATATTTATGTGTTTAAATAAAATAAATAAATAATCGAAGAGTCCAAATCACTCAACTAAGATACGCGCAAAATCAAAGTTCACAAAACAACGATTTGTCTAAAATAGCGGTTCTTTATTGAACCATATACATAAATTAATTACAGACCTCAACTTGTGAGGTGACTGTGGCGTTTACCGTGCCGTTTTTCTGAAATGAAAAGGCTTCGATAGTGCAAAATGACAGTCATTTGTTATGTTTATCAATAAGCAAAAATTGAACCAAGAGCAAACAATATGGAGGCGGTTGCGTTTAAATAAGGATGAAACGACTGTACAAAACTGCGAATAACTCCTACAGTCATTGAGATAAAGTAATTATAATCATAAATATAATAGATATTATAAGTATATGTAAATATTTCAGAATATTACACGACAAAATTGAGTCACAACATAAGCATAGTAATTGTTAGGAATACATTTATTTACTGGAGTTAGACATAAACACCATCGGATGCCGGCTAAGTGGTCTATCGGTTAAGTGCTCTGGCGCGAGACTGGTACTTCCTGTGTTCGAACCTCGCGAGGTCGTGGGTGCGCACTGCTGAGGAGTCCCACAATAGGACAAAACGGCCGTTTACTGCTTTCAGGTTTTCCCTGGTGGTCTAGCTTCAATTTACTAACGCTTCCAACTAATAATAAGTAGCATAAAACAATACACAAAAGAGTCGCAAGGGAATTGAATAAGGACAGAGTATGCAAAACCGATTTAACATTGTACTATATTTCCTACTAGTTTACAGGTAACGTCGTATCGTGGGAATAGGGTGCTAGGTAAGGATGGCAAATAGATTAGTGAGGTAGTAAATCTTCATCAACTGAGGTAGTTAGAACATATCTTACATATGCCTAACCACTACTTTAAAGGTGACTAAAGGTTATAGACAAACTAAAAAAACTGTTATCCAAGAATAATTACATGAATCCCTTATAACAGAATGGGGATTTGTGAAGATTGTAATAACTCGTTTAAGGTTGTAATCAGTAACGTTCTGTTGCCAGTAGAATCATGATAGGTACTATCACTGACACATTTCATTATAAAATATATATAATATACCCTAATTTTTATTTTTTCTGGTTAGCGTTTTTTAGCGAGTTAGCTTTTCTACGGTATGGGGTCGCTAACCCCATGCCCAACCCTCCTCCTTTACCCGAGCTTGGAACCGGCAGTAACTCTAGAAGAGCTACAGGCGGAGTTAATATACCCTAATGGGCCAGGATAATTTTGCATTGGTTTTCAGGAGAACCAGACACCATCCAGACTTCCACGTGACAATCCAAACAGTACAGCTCAATCCCGTTTAACAGGATAGCCAGACACTGCCCACGTTTAATCCGAGCAGTACAGCCCAATCACGCCCCACAGGAGAACCAGGAACTATATGGGCTTCAACGTTACAGTCTGAATAGTACAGTTCAATCCTGTGGTGCAACCACATAGGTACCAAGCACCTTGGTGGACCATTCATTATAAAATAGCTTCTTGGTTATTATTTGTTACTCAATGGATACCATCCTGGGACAAAAACGATATATAGTGCATAGAGATAGAAAGAATAGTGTAGTGTGGTAACTTAATGGTCAAGTCATTCGATTGTCAATCAATAGGTCTCATTTTCAAATCCTGTACAATCTAGTTCTGTTTGGACATCATGGTATTATCACTTAGACCTCACACAGTATTAATTCAAGTTGGTTAATCTGATCTACAATTATGTCTACGGAAATAAGGATTTATAAATTTGAATGATTTTTTCTGGTTAGCGTTTCTTTAGCGAGTTGGTTTTCTTTGGGATGGGGTCGCTAATCCCATACCCAACGCTCCTCCTTTATCCGGGCTTGGGACCGGCAGTAACCCCCAGAGGAGCTACAGACGGAGTTACTACAGGATCAGTGGTCCATCGGTTAAGTAATCTGGCGCGAGACCGATAGGTCCTGAGTTCGAATCTCGTGAGGCCAGGTCGTGGATATGCACTGCTGAGGAGTCCCACATTTATAAATTTACTACTACTATTCTCATAGTAACAAATTAACCAAAAATAAGTTTTACCAAGTTACCATTTTGATTTTTTCTTTGTATTATAGATTGAATCAGTTTCAGTGAATGAAGAAATACCTTTTGTCAAAGTTAATGAAAATAATTCAATTTTTAATCATTTAAATGATGATCACCGTGGTAACAATCAGAATAGTAATAATAGAAGCAATTTATTATGCTTCTTAAATATTACAGGTAAATAAAATTTCTATAATCTATTCATTCATTTGTTGTTATGAATATGCATAATATGAATAATCATGAATACACTAACCTTGACACTGTTTACTTCAATGGTTGATTACGTAATTATTACGTAATTACTTACGCCTGTTACCCCCGATGGAGCATAGGCCAAAGACCAGCATTCTCCAACTCACTCTGTCCTGTGCCTTCTTTTCTATTTCTATCCAACTTTTATTCATTCTTATCATGTCTGTCTCCATTTCTCGGTGTAATGTGTTCTTTGGTCTTCCTCTTCTCCTTTGACCTTCAGGATTCTATGTGAGGTCTGGGCTTGTGAAACAGTTGGGTGATTTACTTAATGTGTGTCCTATCCACTTTCAGCTCTTCTTCCTGATTTCTTCCTCCAATGAATGGAATCTGGTTTGTTGTCTCCCACAGTAGCTTGTTGCTGATAGTGTCTTGTCCACGGATCCAAAGTATTTTGTGTAGAAAACTGTTGATAATACACCTGTATCTTCTGGATGATGACTTTTGTTGTTTTTCAGGTCTCTGATCCATACAGTAGAACTTTCTTGACTTTTGTATTGAAAATTCTGATCTTGGTGTTGGCAGTAGTTGATTATCTGAACTGAAATTCACCCCTTTTCAATCTGAGCATAAGAAATACCGGCCATATATCTTGTATAATTTATATTATCCGCACTCAAAATCATATGTGATGATATTGTGGTTTATGCTACATAAGTAGTATATAACGTTAGTCAAGAATAGAATGTCTGGCAACAGAAGGTAAAGGAAATCAAGGAAGAAAGAACGAGGACAGAAAGCAATTGGTATGGAAATGCAAGAACAATGAAGTCTAAGACAGTTGATTGTTGTTTGCAAAATGAATAGTCAAGTTTGAGACAAGTGATTGAAAATGATTGTAAATAAAGTACTTACTGTATGGTTTTCAGATTTCATTTAGAGACTCTGTAATTTTGTGTTCAAATACATTCGATTGTCCCCATCTATGTTCTCGTTCACTACAATATAAATAAGATCTATGACCACAATGTACTATGATTAGTAAACATATAGATAATCAGTGAATTTTTAAGTAATGGAGGAAGTAATGGACTGTCTGTATTAATACATTTGATGTATTTTCTTCTTCTTATAAAACTAGAGGTGAATATATTAAAATCTAATGGTTGCTAACTTATTATTCAATGTTGTAATTGCCGACAAACATCTTAGTGTTTTTTCCTGAATACATATAACTGAGATACACATATTGTAGTGAACGAGAAGACGAGTGGAAACAATCGAATGTATTTGAGCACCAAATTACAGAATGTTCCAGTAAAATATGAGAACCATATATTAAATATAAGCAAAGATGGACACTGGCTAGCAGTGGAATCCAGGATGCGCGTTTCGCCCCACTTGCGACTCGTCAGCTGGATGTACCTTCATCTCAGAGTTGAAAATCTAGAGTATTTTAGATGGCATTGGGCTCCTAGACATTTTTGTAGCAGTATAGGCAATCAACCAATCAAAAATGTGACATGTGTGTTTTTCACTTTCTACATGATTCTGATAAAACTTCTAATTGAATGCTGGTTGGATAAAATGTTTCTCAAAGTTTTCAAAACCTTTTTTTTGGCTTTCTTCGAAGAGTTCTCTGGATCCCTTCAACAATAACAACATAAATGAATTTACTATTGATTCTTTTCTATAAAGGAATGTGATTATGATTTTTAAATGATTCAATCTATTTAACTTCATACAAATGAATTGATACTGACATGAATATTCATTGCTCTGTTGTTTATATTCTTTCTAGGTAATGATGATGATGATGATGATAATGATGTGTCCGATCAAGAGATTGCAGATGATTGCACAGAAAGTATTGAAATAGGTGAGGAACAACTGTACAAATGTTTCTGATGTGTGGACGAAAAAGATGATGATCGGTTGTATGTTTAGTTAGATTTATAGATAGTTTGATAGGTACTAGATGAGTTATGTCTTTCCCTACCCTTATTATTATTAATGTAATTGTTGTCGGTTGTTGATGTGAAACTATAATTGAGTTCTAGTCAAGTTAATCATGTATTCTGGATCTGAGTTGTGTTGATGTCCTGTAGAATAGATACTAGAAGGGTATCTAGTGTAGATATTTGTCTAAGGCATATTTTTAGAAGGGGTTTTGTGGAGATTTCAGTATTTTTCGTAGTTGAAATCATGAGTCAATTGAAGCTAGACCATCATGGAAAACCTGGAAGCACTGGAAGACCGTTTTTTTCTATTGTGGAACTCCTCAGCATATTAACGTTCCATACTTGCAGACGAGGAACACTTGAATGTCATAACAGTTTCTATCTTATTTTTATACTTTACATTTACATTTCCTTTCTCAAAGTATAGAAAAAAAATAATCTTCTACAAAAGTATGAAATCCGATCAAACTATGGAACTAATAAGATTGTATTATTCATTTCATGACATTCACTTAGTATTGTTTGTTTGAATCTTCCCATTGATGTTTAGGACTACAGTTGATCAGTCTCTCTCTTATTGGCCATATGTGCATACTGTGCGTATTGCCTCGATATAGTCCTAATTCACAAGCATTATAAACAAAGATGAATAGTGGCTAGTAGTGGAATCCAGTTTGACGCGCGTTTCATCCTATTTGGGACTCGTCAGCTGGATGTTTGTTTGAATCTTCCCATTGATGTTTAGGTCTGGAACTGGTCATTGCACAAGCATGTGGCTATCAGGACTCAGTAGCTCAGTGGATAACGCCATGACGTTTGAAGCGAAAGGTACTGAGTTCGAGTCTCAGAGTGAACGTCAATTCTGAGATGCAGGTATGTTCAGCTGACGAGTCTCAAATAGGTTGAAACTCGCTTTCTAGATTCTACTGCTAGCCACTATCCATCTTTGCTTACAATTTAATGACATTGTTTACTAACTCAACGTATTAATTCGTATTTAGATGATTTGGCTATTAAAACAAGAAATATGAAAACTTCTAAGAATTTGATAACAACAATCGATAATGGTGGTAAGTTTCAATTTTTTAATAACCATTACTCTTTCCCAATAAAAGTAAAATTTAGGTAAGTGAAATTTTACAGAAGATTGGAAAAACTACTTATATACTACTTACATGTTGATTGTTATTTATCAAGATCATATATATTGAATATGTAAGTCATATTAAATAAGATAAGCATATCAGTGTTGGATGTGAAGACTGTGACTATAGAATCATCGAACGACGGCTGAGACGTCCCGTAGTAGGGCGAAACGTCTTTTCTGTATTTTTTGATTTTCTTTAACCATTGTATAACGTGGTTAGTGTTTTTTAGCTATTTAGTTTTCTACGGGATGGGGTTGCTAACCTCAATGTCTAACCCTCCTCCTTTACCTGGGCTTGGGACCGGCAGTAACTCTAGAAGAGCCACAGGCGAGGGTAAAAGCAAGATTCTCAAATACAGCACGGAGAACACCAACCCAATCACACTTGATGGAGAAACTCTGGAAGAGGTGGAAACATTCACGTACCTGAGAAGCATCGTTGATAAACAAGAAGGATCGGATGCAGATGTAAATGCGAGGATCGGCAAAGCAAGGGCAGCATTTCTACAATTGAAGAACATATGGAACTCAAAACAACTGTCAACTAACTTCAGAGTGAGAATCTTCAATACGAACGTCAAGACAGTCCTACTGTACGGAGCTGAAACATGGAGAACTACTACAACCATTGTCAAGAAGGTACAAGTATTTATAAACAGTTGTCTACGCAAAATGCTCAACATTCATTGGCCGGATACCATCAGCAACAGCGTTTTATGGGAGAGGACAAACCATCTTCAAGCTGAAGAGGAAATTAGGAAAAGGCGTTGGAAGTGGATAGGACATAAATTGATGAAATCACCAAACTTCATCGCGAGGCAATCCCTAACTTGGAATCCAGAATGGAAGCGGAAAAGAGGAAGGCCAAAGAACACATTTCGTCGGGAAATAGAAGCATATATGAAAAGAATGATTATTAACTGGAGAGAAATGGAAAGTATTGCCCAAGACAGGGTTGGATGGAAAATACTGGTGTGCGGCCTATGCTCCTCCAGAAGGGATAACAGACATATGTAAGTAAGTGATTGTATAACATAGATCTGCTCATGAGCATAATAAAATTCAAAGTTGTTAGAATTAAACGAAGTCTACATTAAAAGATATAAAGCCAATCTATGCATCTAAAGACATGCTGTTTTAAGCTTGCTTCTTACCTAATCATTACTTTAGCAAACAATGTTCTTTTGTGATTGGTTTATACACTTTCTTTCTACATTTATTGCATTCTATTCAGTAATAGATGTTTATATCAAATCTGAACTTGACCAAAACGTTTCTGTAAACATGTTCTAAAGTATGCTCATTTATTATGTTGTTAGTAGCTGAATAAAGAATTTGTGAAATACGCTGAATTCATTTAGTATCGTTTGTTTGAATCTTCCCATTGATGTTTAGAACAGCCATTGATCAGTCTCTCTTATTGACGTATGTGCATACTGTGCGTATTGCTTCGATATATCCTTAATTCACAAGCATTATAAACAAAGATGAATAGTGGGTAGTAGTGGAATCCAGTTTGATGCGCTTTTCGTCCATTTCGGGACTCGTCAGCTGGATGTACAGACATCTCAGAGTTGATGTTCGCTCTGTGACTCGAACCTATTATCTTTCGTTTCAAACGACATTGCGTTATGCACTCAGCACTCGATTCCCAGAGTGAACATCAACTATGAAATGCAGGTATATTCAGCTGACGAGTCCCAAATAGGACGAATTGGAGCGCATCCAGGATTCCACTGCTAGTCACTATCCATCTCTGCTTACAATACTGAATTCATATTATTATTATTATTATTATTATTATTATTATTATCATTATTATTATTATTATTATTATTATTATTAGTAGTAGTAGTAGTAGTAGTAGTATTAGTAGTATACTGATATGATTATTCTTGTGCTGTTGAAATGAATGAAAATGAGAGAGGGATTGTTAAAACCTTTCTAGAGTTTGATTTTTGGCAACAATGAATTGATTTAATTTAAAATATTGATTATCAGTCTGATTACCTTTTTTTCTAAACAGATCAACTTGATGAAACTATCGTATTAAGTGAAGAAATAGTGAGTGCATTTTTTTGTTGAAAAAAATTATCCAAATATTTACCGCATGGTTACTAATTTTTATTTATTTATTGTGAGTTACTTTGAGTTTCTAGCTGATAAGTACGTATCGGTAGAGAATCTTTGAAATATTGAGAGAACTGATGTTACCTAGGTAATTAGAATTTACTCAGTTTCATCATTTTTAAGTTATCTTTAGTATGTTGTTCTAGATGCTATTGTAGTGCCGCGATTCGTTAATCGTTTAGTTCGATAACCGTTATAATTCTAATCTTAACGGCGCGTAAAATCAGAGGACAAAGGATAGCAGCAACTACAGTTTATTGTCGAATAACTCAGGTTCTAAAGTTAACAACACCTGAGCAAATATGAACGAGCAAGTGAGCGGCAAGCGAGTGAGCGGTAAGCTAGAGAGCGAGGTGAAAGATGATGCGTATTGGAGATGGCTGGGAAGCCAGCTCGATTTAAGCAAGCGTTAATCAACACTTATAGTCAGACAAAAATGAGTGACTGACATATGATAAGATACGAAATGTACACATATATGCTCATATAAAAGTGTAGTCAAGGTTAATAAGCAAATGATTAACAAGATCAAAATATGACTCATAATGGATAAGCGAATTAGCTAGGCCAGCAACTAGAATAAAGTATATGGGCTTAACATATAAACTGATACTACACTATTGATTTACCTTAGGAATAAAGCCATATTTATCATGGACATACAAAATCTTGTTAACTGAACTAGTGGCTATATTACAACATATCCTATGGATTTATATAAACACTTTGGATAAGACAATAGTGATAGTGTAGTGAATGAGAACACGAAATGGGGACAATCGAATGTATTTAGGAAGAAATCACAGACTATCTCCCTAAAATCGGATAACCATACAGTAAACAGTTCATTTGCAAACTAACAATTAATTATCTCAATCTTGACTGTTCCTTCTGCAAATATCCGTCCATAGTGTCCGATTATAATTGTTCATGCATTTTAGTACCGATTGCGCTTCATTCCTGTTCTTTCCTTATCGATTTTCTACCAAAGTTGATGTCTAACCATCACTTTATACTACTTATATGGATATAAGTAGACCACACTACAATACCTATTGCCTTCCGTTCTGGTTCTTACCTTATCAATCTTCTAGTGAAATACACTCTATACCTGACCATCACTATATACTACTTATGTGGATATATGTAACCTACACCACAATAGTAGTTACGACCTAACAATCAATTAATGTAGTTACTTATACCTCATAATCAATATACAGTTTTTAGATGAATGACTGGTATGTAGTCACTAGATTTAGAATATGAATATTTTCCTAGAAATTTCAAATTATCATTATATCTAAAGACAACAGTTGGCAGTAAAACTGTAAAGAATGCTCGTTGTCTGAAGAGTTACTTTAGTACCATTGATCTGAAATATATTTATTAGTATTTTAAAGCTAAGTGCTTGTACACAACTATGAATCAACCTATCAAGCTTTATTATGAATAAAGTTAGGTAGATTGAAGTTTTGGAAATATACTATTGGGAAGCAAAGATGGACATAGGTTAGTAGTGGAATCCAGTTTGACGGGCTCCACTTCGTCCTATTTGGGACTCTTCAGCTGGATGCGCCTGTATCTTAGAGTTGGTGTTCACTCTAGGACTCGAAATCAATACCTTTCGCTTCAAACTTCATCGCGTTATCCACTTAGCTACTGAATATTGATAGCTACTTGTTTGTGCAATGGGATGAAGTTTGAATTCCCTTAGTATTGTTCATTTGAATCTTTCCATTGACGTTTAGGACTGCAATTGATCAGTCTCTTATTGGCATATGTACATACTCGGTGTATTGCTTTGATATAGCCTTAATTCACAAGCATTAGGGAGGTTTCCAAACAGTTATGAAGCTTTATTATAAGTAGTTCTATCATAAAATGATATAGAAATGAAATATTGGTCTATTCCAAGTTGATAAAACAAATATTAAACTTTTTTATAATATGATGGAAAAAGTTCATTATTAGTTCACCAAGTAAATCTCTCTCTTTCCTTTCCTTCTTTGTTTTTTGAAACTGTCATTAGGCTAAAGAAAACATATCTCATTTTCCAAAAGTGAGTTTTGGGTTTGAATAAATCAATATTTATTATGGTCTTCAAAATGGTAACTATCAATGACAATCCTAGCCCTGGGAAGGAGGTTTTGTGGAGATTTAGTATTTTCATAGTTGAAATCATAAGTCAATTAAAGCTAGACCACCATGGGAAATCTGGAAACACTGGAAGGCCGTTTCGTTCTATTGTGACACTCCTCAGCAGTGCGCATCCACGACCCCGCCTCGCGAGATTCGAGCTCAGAACCTATCAGTCAGGAATAATAATCTAATGCTTTTCAAGTGAAATCTAGTCTTTTTCTATCTTTTCTAGTGACTTAGACATCTAGTCTGATTAGTTGCGAATCATATCGTCCTTTCCAAGAATTTATCATTTAATTTAAATCTCCAAAAAGAATAAGAAAGTAGTATACACTTCACAACTTGACAATTAGATCTTTATATTTCTTTGCCAACAGACTATTGAGTTCACTGAAATAGTGGACCGATCAATGTTAAATCACCACTGAACGATAATTTCATCTTATTATGCGACCTTTTATTAGTCCATATCCCCAAACTCGTACTCGAGAATCAAATCTAGAATCTTTATTCTCGCATGAGAATACTTAATCTTCACATCACTGGACTGCCATTCAACGGTGTGGAGGCTTTCTTCTAAGCTTAATCACAAGCTGGTTTAAGAAGTAGTTCATTTTACGAAGACTAAATGGTGATGGTCTCTCATGTAGATGACTTATTGAAGAAAATAACATTTCTTAAACAAATCAAGTGAACAATAAAAAGAACGATACTAAGTCACCAAGTTATTTAACTTTCAGGTTTGATAAAAAACATTAATCCTGTACGGTTAGCAGAGATGGATAGTGGTTAGCAGTGGAATCAAGGACGCGCGTTTCGTCCTATTCGGGACTCGTCAGCTGGATGTACCTGCATCTCAGAGTTGATGTTCACTCTGTGATATATCTTATAGGTTGAACGCTATATTCAGATCCTAAGCTATTCGGATAACCCCAGGACTAGCACTACTCAGCGACTTGAAGACCAGTAAGAAGACACGAGTAACGAGAAAATGCTTTATTGCAAGGTTCATCTTTGTACAGAAAATCGTAGGTATTTATAGATGTTTGCTTACGTTAAATCAACATCCTAATTCAGCCAATCCACTTAACGACATAAATTGCTACTGACCAATGATAGCGTGCCACGTTGGAACTCCAGAATGTTCTGTCGTGCTCTGATTGGTCGGAGCTCTTTTTGAGCCTCTGGAGGCTCTGTTGGAGTTCTCTGGAAACCGACTTAACACCTCCCCTTTTTTGAAGAAGCGGTGTAGGTATCCAGACTGCTTTTGCTGACTTCAACTTCCCCCACGAAACAATGTTGGGTCCCCAACTTTTGACATAGTGCCGTTGTTGCAGATTGAATTTATGGGACGATCTAATAATTTCAGCTTTTCTATCCAATCAAGTCCCAATAAGTCGAGTGCTGGCCGTTCTGTCAAAAATATTACTCCCTTCTTTGTAAGCTCTGCGACTGTGATTTTACAGTGAACCTCACCAGCAATGTTTATAATCCCCCCAGATGCGCCGTGTGCTGTCTGATAGGTTGAAAATATTCTCGGCCTCCCAATTTTCTCCCACGTCCTCCTGCTTATAAGCGTTATATCGGAGGCTGCGTCTAGCTGTAAGCGGGCATCGTACCCGTTAATCTTGAGGGAAACATACTTTCTACGATTATGGGAGCCGATTCTGTTAGCAGCTACCGTCACCTTGGCTGTGCGTGTCTTGAATCTTTTAGAATAAACTTTAGGTTGACGGCGTTTTCGGGTTTTGCAATGACTTTCTTTGTGTCCTTTTCTGGAACACGTAGTGAAACGATGACTTTTAAACGGACAAAACCTTTTGAAATGCCAACCTCCGCATAACCAGCATGGGGATGATGGCTTACCGCTGTCATTTCGATAATTCTGTATGCTGGAACCTTGCTCGACTTTCCTCTCAACAGCATTAACGTGGAGGAACTGGTTAGTGTTTTCTACCATCGAGGTATCGTGCTTCAAATTCACTAACCTTTGACATTCATTAGTCACTTCCTGCAGGGTCATGTTGGGACAATGCTCAAGTTTGCTTAGGATTCTCGTTCGGATGTCAGCATCCTCAGGTGAACGCAGGCTACAGACAAATACTAAGCATTTAAACTGGTCTTCAGACATGGAAGACAAATTGAACCTCTCGCATTCTCGGTTCACAATACCTGCATGTTTCACCCAGTCATCTCCTGGTTCTTTCGTTATCTTCAAGCACTGGTAACGGATATTAAATAGAGACGACTGTTCTCCAAAGATTTGAGACAGGGTTTGAATTGTTTCATCAAAACTAAAGTCTCGTGGGTTCTTCAGGAGAATAAAGTTACTATAGCGTTCATTTTCTGTTGTCCCAAGCTTTCTTAGAAGTATTCTGACTTTTGAAGCGTCATCCAGTCTGCAGAGATCAATATGAAACAAATCTTCATACTTCTTAAACCAAGAGTTAAAAGTGACACCTGCTGCACCATCAAAATTAAATTCATGGATTGCATTAATAACTGAGTCAGTATGAGATACTTGAAATTCACCAGCAGCAGAGTTTTGTTGAGACATACATAATTTCTGCATAAGAGCTTCCATGACTCTGATTTGAGACTGTTCAAACCGTTTTTCTTGACGCTCCATATAAGCTTCAAATTGCTCTAAAGAAATACTCATTGTCATTTTTTTTCTCGTCGCCAGTGATATGTCTTGTAGTTTTTCCCCGTCGCCACTGATATATCTTATAGGTTGAACGCTATATTCAGATCCTAAGCTATTCGGATAACCCCAGGACTAGCACTACTCAGCGACTTGAAGACCAGTAAGAAGACACGAGTAACGAGAAAATGCTTTATTGCAAGGTTCATCTTTGTACAGAAAATCGTAGGTATTTATAGATGTTTGCTTACGTTAAATCAACATCCTAATTCAGCCAATCCACTTAACGACATAAATTGCTACTGACCAATGATAGCGTGCCACGTTAGAACTCCAGAATGTTCTGTCGTGCTCTGATTGGTCGGAGCTCTTTTTGAGCCTCTGGAGGCTCTGTTGGAGTTCTCTGGAAACCGACTTAACACTCTGGGACTCGAAACCAGTACCCTCGCTTCATTAATCATGTACTGTCTTTGTTACTGTATGATTGCTTTTTAATTTATTGTCCGAATGATTTCTAATGTAGTGAATTCGAAGATATTGTTGGTATAAATGATTTTAGCAGAGACTTTACAGAAAAGAACGAACATAAGAACAATGAAATAACTAAAGATTTTAACTTCTAGAGCCTTCCATAGATGTTTTGAATAAGGAAGCAGAGATAGAACATGTGCTTTTGGAAATTGATGAGTTTGTTATTGAGATTATCCAAAAAAATTAAGAAAATGTTTCGTCCTAGTACGTTAATCTTCAGAAGTGCACATCAACGACCCCGTAGCTAGGAATCGGATCCATGACCTTACGTCTCGCGCACGAATGCTTAAACTGTAGATCAATGAACTGGCATTAATTAGTTTACATGTCTAACTTCAAGCAATCTGCGATATCATATGATCATCGTTCATTGTCTTCAATGGATACCTTCTTTACATCGGATATGGTTGAAATTTGATCTATTGTAATCTTAGTTACAAGTTTTAGATCCGGAAGAAGAAATAACTAAAGATTATAACATCTAGAGACTTCCATAAATGTTTTGAATAAGGAAGCAGAGATAGAACATGTGCTTTACAAAAACTAAGAATTATTTTGAAAGAATATAAGAATGACACTACCTATATTTGATAAACCTGAATTTTTGTGGCTTCAGTTGGCATGTGTATTGAATACACTTTCTCAATCAAAACCCTAAGCTTTAAACAAGACGACTCTGAAGCGAGTTCTAGTACTTTATGTGTATTATACGATATCACTGTCTAGTTCCGTCGAAGGGTTTTGATTCAACACACTGGTTCCATAAATTCTATTGATGTTATTCCTTCGCAACTTTGAACTATGTATATGTACTTTTTCTTTTAGTCTGCATTCATTGAAGAATTATGTAATGAAGCTTATAATCTGAATACGTCTTTCATGAACACAGCATTAGATGGAAAAAGAAATCCTACAAATTCCGAAGAAATAGATGGTCAAGATGTTATTGAAATATGTGAAGAACAGGGATGTGAATAATAATGTTTCTTCAACACCCTATTACAAGATGATGAACAAATCAACCGGTGTGGACAATACAGTTATGACACTCTGATTAAGTTATCAAGAACGATAAAAAATGAATCATTCGTGTAATAAAATAAATTTACTAATTATCATTGTTTTACTATCACTAAGGGGTGGTATACAGGACGATTACTTTTCATAGTCTAGCTCTTCAGGATCCTGAGAAAAACTAATTTTATTTCACTTGTAAGTGTTCAAATCTTCACGTTGTTTATGATATGAACTAAAATTGACCAGTTCTTCTTAGTATATGTACTTCGTGAGTAGATTGCCTCGATCATTTTGAAGCAGAGACGGATGGTGGCTAGCAGATAAATTTAGGATGGGATTTTCGATTTATTTAGAAATCATTGGCTAGGTTGTCCTGGATACCACCGGGACTTGAACGAATAATTATATAAAAATCATATCATTTCGAAAAATTAGTGGCCATCTGGATTTAGTAGCTTATTTAATGACATGTCACGTATTTTCATCAAAAAGTACTGGGCTAGAGTACCCGTGTTGCGGTGTATGCTACTTATTCTGACAGATATGTGGTCTGTAGCGGTAATTGAAAGTGCAATTCTTGCCAGCAGAAGATTGAAATGAAGAGTACAGGAAAGGAATCGAAGAGCAATCAAAATAACAACATAATTAAAGGAATAATTAAATATTTAAGAGACAACACAAATAAACTGCGCAAATGATGTATTTATTGTATAGTTCGCATATTTTACTAAACCACTGCGTGACAACTCAATTAATAATTCGGTTTTCTACATCTGATTTATCGTTCACAAATTGTGAACGCCAGTAGTGGTATGCATGCACATCCATTTAAGGAGTCTCAAATATGACAAAACGTGAGTCTTGGATCCTGCTACTAGCCGCTACCAAAACTTTGCTCAACAATCTAATTTAGTTCAAGTAAAAATCTGATCTAGACAGTAAAATATATATATAACCGCTTTCAGATGCCCTGGTACGACCGAGAGCGGGAAGAGTCCGCTCTCCCTCTCGAAATTCTCTCACATAGCCACGCGTATATAGCCTCTGACAGGGAAGTCCTACTCACTGCCTTCTCGCATCACGGATGTTGTTTTCAAAATTGAGAGGACGAAAAGCGAATATCCGGTGATTTAACCGGGTTGGTGGACCCAGAAAATCCACCTACGGGAGCTGGAAAACTTTGATTCCAAACCAGTGATGCACATAGGCTCCAGTATCGTGAGGGAACAAATGACGTATGAACCAACCGTTAGTCACTGACTATCATGAAATTGCATCTTCTTACGATGCCCCACTGTCTTATGGATTAGACCTTCAAGTCAAAGGCTCCGGATGTGGCCCCTTAAGAAATCCACCTGTTTCGATTTGGGCACCTGGGCATTATCACAGCCCTCATGCAAATCAAATGAGATTTGTGCGGCGCATATATATCTGTTACCCCTTTTACTAATATTTATGTATTCAAATAAATAAATAAAATAAATTAGTATAGATCATAAAGAAAAATCTAACGAAAATTCATTTCAATACATGACAATTTTTATTTTATTTACATTAAATTTATATAACACTTTTAATCATATTAAATATATATATATATATACGAGCATTGTATTTATTAATTCAACGGAATCACCATGGTAACTGATTATTCTTTAAGACAAAAATTAAAAAAAATTATTTGGATCCAATTCATGAATTATATATGATCTACAAAAAAATTGAAAAAAAAATTTATAGATCCGAAGGGGGTTTTGTAGAGAATTTAGTATTTTCATAATTGAAATCATATGTCAATTGAAGCTATACCACTATGGAAAATCTGCAAGCACTAGACGGCCGTTTTGTCCTACCATGGGACGCCTCAACAGTGAGCATCCACGATCCTGCACTCGTGAGATTCGAACAAACGACCTAGCAGTCTCGCGTCAGATCACTTAACCGATAGACTGCTGAGCCGGCATCCAACGGTCGTCCAGTGCTTCCAGGTTTTCCAATGGTGGTCTAGCTTCAATTAACTTATGATTTCAACTATGAAAAATATTTATTTATTTATCTTTATATATTACTTATTTAATTTTAATTAAACTTACATACACATTTTTACTGTTTTTTCTTGAATTTTGATACGAAAATTATAAAATAATTCTTTCCAATTTATTTGTTCAAATTTTTCTATTCTAACATGTAAAATTAAAAAAAGAGGGGGAAGGATTACGCAATAATATTGATTGAAACGAAAAAAGAGAACTAAAACAAACATTATAAGCAAAGATGGATAGTGACTAGCAGCAGAATCTAAGATGTGCGTTTCGTTCTATTTGGGACTTGTCAATTGGACTTCACTGCTAGCCACTATCCATCTTTGCTTATAATTCTTGTGAATTAAGTCTATATCCAGGCAATACGCACAATATACACATATGCCAGTAAGAGAGCGACTGATCAATTGCAATTCTAAACATCAATGTGAAGATTCAAACAAATAATACCAAGTGAATTTATACTTCACCCCATTGAACAAGCTAGAGGCTATCAATATTCAGTAGCTGAGTGGGTAACGTGACAATGTTTGAATCGAAAGGTACTGGATTCGAGTCCCACAGTGAACATAAACTCTAAGATACAGGTATATCCACAGATAAGGAGTCCCGAATAGGACGAAACGCGCGTCCTTGATTCCACTGCTAGACACTATCCATCTCTGCTTCTAAAAGCTTGTGAAATAGGGCTATATCGAGGCAATAAGCACAGTATGCACATACGTCAATAAGAGAGAGACTGATCAATGGCTGTTTTAAACATCGATGGGAAGATTTAAGTAAACAACAATACCAAGTGAAAAACAAACAATTAAAAGATATCTGACAATGATACAAGCATATTTTTACAAGTAAATGGTTAGAATCAGTTACAAGAAATACCTATTAGACTACATATATATATATTTCATCAGTGAACTATGTTTTCAATACTGAATGTAAAAATTAAATTTTTAACATCTTTATCTAATATTAATCTATATTGTATATCTTACAATCCTTAGATTGAACATTTCTTAATAGTGTCTGCATAAAGTAATGTGTCAATATATATATTATCAACAAATCAATGAAATAATAGTCTTTTTGATGGAGTTTTGTTCTCTGAGCTAGACGGTTTGGTCGTGGAGCTTTCATCGTCCTTCTGCAAGACATCATCAGAACAAACTTTTGATAACAGTGAAGTGTTCGAATTTTTTCACATATGGTTCACAGCTTGTCCTGTACACCTCGATGTTGATTGGTTTTTGTTGACCTTTAATCTGTTAATGATTATTTCTTTATTTTGGCTGTATCTCCCATCGGTTTGATTTTTGTTCCTATGTTTGTCATAATTTTCCTGGTTGCTGGATAAATTGGATTGATTTCAATGTGTTTGTTTATTGATGATTGACTTGAGTGCCAAGCTTCTAAAAATTCCCTGGTGTTTTTGGGATTGCCTCTATCCAAAAATGACAATGACATTTTAAGGTCAGCAAGAACCAATCAACATAGAGGTGTAGAGGACAAGCTATGAACTACATGTGGAGAAATTCAAACACTTTACTTCTAACCGAATTTTTTCTTGATGATGTCGTTCAGAAGGACGATAAAAGCTCCACGACCAAACCATCCAGCTAAGAGAACAAAACTCCATCAAAATCATCCACCTGCGTTATAAATCTTCTCCACCATCTCAAAATAATAGTCTTGTATAATAAAAAACTTTTGGTCAACAACGATTTTGATACCTATGCAGTTAAACAACAAGAAGGGGGTGTGTTATCCAGTTTTTAAAATCCCGAACAGCACTTTGTTCTTCTGAAAACTAGAGTAAAATTACCCTCTTACAGAGTTTATTTATAAATGTGGAAATGATAAAACACTTCTGTTTTTAATTTGGGAAATGAAAATAAGTTGATGAGTACATCAAACAAGAAAACTAAGTAAAGACGTTTATTTTTGTGAAAAATGGGCTATGGAAACCCAATTCTATGTAGTGGAATTTGTCACTGTTCAGCATCTATTATTACTATTAACAGAAGGTGTACTAATCTGACTTTTACAGTCACACAATCAAGCTACGTTCTCAAATTATCAGATCTCTGAAAAACAAATTATTTTAGCTTCAAATGAATAGAGAATGGGATAAAGTATGTCTTTTTTGATCAAAGAAATTTTTAATTTTATAAAAGCTTTTATGGTTCAACTCTATTCCATATGGTTGTATAACTAAACCCTCTACTTTAGAGAAAACCATAACTAACACGTTATACGGGATTGGTCTTACAATTAAGTAGTCAAAAAACTTCTGATGTTCCAAGAGACTTTACAGCGTGCATGCTGTTGCAGAGTCTTAGGGTAAGTGAGAGATCCAAGTATCGGTGGGCTATTGTAGCTAAATTACTTATCTAATCAAGATCCCCTCTCACGTGGTTCTATATGGCTCATTTTAGACACATAAGTACAGAAGGAGCATAAGGACTGTTATTAGGCTATGGGAGTAATCTTCTCAACTTATATTTGGCCTTCCTCCGTTCACATTGTAGGCTGACAAAGAATTTTGGTGTATTCATTAAAGCCTTGGATCTCAGAGGACGACTATTATACTCAGCATGCTTCAAATAGTGACATTAAAAAACTTATGTCTGCATCTCAATATTTCGGCAATACATTTGTTTCTTCAACTCTTTTAAAGTTACTTATTCTTAGCTCCCACAACGTATACCAGCCAAATTCTAAATCATTCAATACTTGACTCAATTCAACATATTGTGAATGATACATACTCAATAATGATAATCTGTTAACCAGGATACTAAATATCTACTTTCATACGTCTCTAAAGACAAATTTGAGACAACAATGCAAGCACAAGTTTTTGAAATTGCAACTTTGAAGCGAACGGAGCGTTAAAACTCATGGGGTTGAGTAGATTGGATAAAATATTATCTTTGAATAATTATTTGGTATATACTTCACTGTGTATCCTATAGTTTCTGATCACAAAAGCAGTGTCATCATAGTTCAGTCACCTTTTCATTTTATTTTGTGTAAATGCATATGTAAATGGGATGTTTTAACTCATTACATTAAGTCTACATTCACTAACTCACAATCAAATCATTACAGTAGACGTCACTACCTACCAAAAGTGTTTGCACTACTGAAACCCTCAACTGTATCCTTAAACTCTGTGTATCAGTCCACCTCACAAGATTGAAAACAAGTCACTCACTTTTTCTCCAAATCTTTAAACTCTTTTGCCAAACATTCAAAGTCATCCTCCATTTTCTTCATGAATGAATGAATGTTAGTATAGACAGTGTTGTTTCCATCTGTTTCAAGTGAGCATGTTTCTTTCAACAATAAAACGGAGTTGTCAATCCGATTTTCTTGTGGAATACTTGGAACTATCTCAGGACTACCAAAAAAAACCTGAAAAGTAGAAGTTCATCCATTTTCGCGTAAGGTTTAATAATGGTGAATTCAGCGCTCGTCGTGCAGCGTATATTTATTGAATACGTCCCTTATTTTGGAACAAATAAAATATTACCTACTTTCCTAGATTTTGATACAATTATACAGCCTACTAATTTTCATAGACGTCTGAAGACATAAACTTTATAAAAGTAGAAATCTTCATTTGTGACTCATTTACTTCATAGGAATCATGATTCGATTATAGGGACGAAGCTACTAACTATCGAGATCTGTAGACATATATGGGTTATATGTTGATATAAGTTTCTAAGGGATATCTCCAGTTTTAAGAGTAGTGATGCCTCTCATAAGGCTTAAATCAGCGTCAGAGTTAGTGGTGTTACCGCTGAGATACTCGATTCACAACTGAATTTCTATAGGACTAAATAATTATGTTAATTGATTACTCAGCAGTAACTAATGTCAAGTGTTAATTGATACGGTTAGTTAATCAGAAGTAGCCTAATGAGAAGGTCAATAGATGGCAATCAGAAGTGACCTGTAGGACAACAGCATTTCTATGGCTAAGAAATAGACTGATTTCCCAAGGGGTAGAGTTGTATATATCTGTATATATATCTGTATATCTGTATATATCTGTACGTTTTATTTGGTATCGCAGTATACTTTCTCGCCCACTCTTATGTTTTCGTTCAAACAGTTGAGGGAGTTAGTGCGTATTACACTGTGTATCAGTATCAGATTTTGGACACTGCCAGTCACAACATTAATCAGATTCTATCGGTCATGCTGCATCATCGCCGCCTGTTCGAGTAACCTGGTATCCCTGTCTGTATGCAAAATTCAATCCTCTACCCATCCTGCTTTCATTGGTGTTAAAACCAGTGATCATACAGCCCAGTGCATGGTATCTTATCCAGACATAAATAACGTATGACCTGGCACAAACATTCACGGCCTTGAGTTGCCTCACCACAGGACAGTCACATTGATAGGGAATATATCAAAGGACTGGCAATAAATATATCATCAATAATATTATACTTCAATCATATATAAAGTAATTTTGTTAGGAGCCTTTAATATGTTTGTAAACATTTTAGGGAGACCCACATTCTACGAATAATCTTAGAACACAGACCAGATGGACAATGAAGGTAAAGAAGCCGATAAAGAACCCACGACATTCCTGAGTGGAGGTTCAACGTTGAAACCAATGAGTCAATGCCTCAGTAACTTTAGACGTCCCTCACTTGATGTGGTTACTCAATAGATCAGTAGGCGCATAAATTTAATGTACCAAGTCCAAATGACTTGAAAATCATAACGAATTTTATTGATGAATAACATGTTTCTACTCTAACTAGCAGTCACTATAGTTAAATAGTATTCAAATTCCAAGAAGCTAACCCATTTCAACAAAATCATAAAAGGCTTGAAAGTGTAAATAAAGCTCTTGCTTATGAATGAATTTATTTCAAAATGAAGTTTTGTCTAATGCTCTAAGCAATTTAAATGCTTGGAGAATAAATTGATGAGAAATAGTAAATAAAATCAATTATCACGTCAGCGTGAAAAGAAGTTGTATATTATATTCGTTATCTAGACAGTTAAAGCACTTTTATCGACAATTTAATCGGATTAGAAAGGGTTTGCACTGTTTGGTCAGTAAAAAACCGATGAAAATGGTTTACATACACCGATGATATTTGAACACACCGAAATGAAAGTTTATATATTTCAGATAAGTGAGGCATTTTAACACCGAAAGCGTAACAAAACTAATGAGGTTTAGTAAAAAAATGAGGACTAGATAAATGGGTCAGTTAGAAATTATTTTCAACTTATTAAGAAGATCGCCACTAATAATTATCTGCTGAAAGGATGACATGTAACTCTAATTAAAGATAAAAACTATGATGACTTGTTATGTATTGTGTAGGCAAGTGTTAATATCGAATTAATATTTATTTGTAAGCGAGTATAGTATAGAGAGTATAGTTAAACTATGCTGATTTCAGAAACTATCCTCTAAAAAAATAATATTACCTTTGAAGATGCAATTTTAATTCCAGGTGATCGGCAAACAATTTGATTTTGTTTTAGTTCCTCACTCTTTGGCAAATTAGATCCAAGCCAAATCAGTAAAGATTCTACTTCTTTTTTCACTGTTTCGCGAACTTGATCATCCAACCCTTTTAGGAAAGTCGTTCAAAACAACATACGTCTAACATAAAAATTTTACATTTTAAAACAAATATTGCACTTTATTTCATGGTTGTCAGATATTTTTATCCAGACATTTGAAATGCTTTTTCAAAACTCAGATTTGTGCCTAACAACGATTAAGAAATTATTCACTTCGTTGTGGAGTCTAAATGTTTAAGAAATAGGGAGTATTCCATTTAGATTATGTTAAAGTTGGTCAAGCGAGACAAGATCAGTTTTCAAATTTAGTAAGCATTAGTCGCAACCCTAAATAAGTTAAATATTAAACAGTGTTGCAGAAAAATTTGGCATCCAGTTTATGGCCAGGTTTTAATGCACTAGTAGGTTACTGTCTACTAGTAAAACCAATGTATTTTGTGATGAGATAGTTTTTGTTTCCTTATATCAAATTTATAGCGCTACTAACGATACTTTATCGAACATGTACACAAAAAGCAATGGATCTTTGTAATGCGTTTTGAATGCCTTTCTACTGAGTGTTTTGTTTATGTAGGAGATGTGTTAGTGATGCGTTTGAACAAAATATGTTGATTTTTCAACCACACATTGTTTTAAGTACCACGTATTTGTAGCTTTACTCAAGCTTAAGTGCTCCTGTCTCAAAAACTCTGTATTTATTATGAACGGATCCTGTCTAAAAGTCTTATTAACTTTATCAGTAAGATATTGTGGTACGTGTGATATCCATATTAAATAGTAAATACCTAATTGTTTCCCCAAAAGTTGGTCTATGAAGACAGAAACATACAAACCTTAAGTTCATCTACTAAAATATTGGTAAATGAAACCACTCAAGATTTTTTTAGAATTGTATAAGTAGCTTATAACCTGTTTCCAAGGAATCAGTATTAAGTATTAAGCAAAAGTGTCCAAGAAATAGGATAACTTGCATGTAAATGATAATTTAGTTGAGAAGAGTATATCTGAGCTAATTCATCTCGCTGACATCCTCATGAAATGAAAGAAGTGGGTAACTATAAAGATTTTTCCTATTTATAAAAAAGGATTACTTAAGAATATGTGTCGCGTTTCTTGACAGACCATAAAAACAAAGCAGGTACACGAAAACCTGAATTGATAAAGTAATACGGATATTGACAGCTGAAGTTTGAAACTTGGACTTCTAAAATTAATTTTTCAAAATAGAATATCTCTTCTGCAGTCATTTGAAGAATGAGTATAATGGCTTGTTTCACACTGAATATATGGATTAGTGTATTAGTCTGCTTGTTCGCCATTAACAGCCATGTGTCCAAAAGTTTTAAAGAGCTACAACAACAACACTTTGCCCATGCTATTAGTGTACCAGTTTGCATTGAATCCAAGTATATGGATTGTTGTGGACTGCTCAAATAGTTTAGTTTAAACTCCTGAAGAGTTATTAATCCACGTTGTTCCCATCCTTACTTGCTTGATAGCCTCATACATATTCTTTACTCCAAACATTTCATAAGAAAAATACCTTTAGGTTAGACATAAACGTATTTATAAGTGTTGAATCATCATAATCATCGAGTCCACAACAACTGACAAAGAGTGCTGATGAATAAATTCTTTAACATAGGCCACAGCATGTTTTACTTACCTTCTATCTCGGAAGTGTTGGATTTCAATAGGAAATCAACCTGCAGTTGTTATCGCAAAAACACAGATTGTTACCTGCGACCTTAACAACTTAAGATTATTACGGATGAGAGTACACTGGTTTCTAAGCCCATGAAATTAAACAATTAATTTGTTTACTTTATTAGACTGTTATCCAAGTAACTCCGTTTGGTGGCTTCCTGTGAACTCAAAAATGACGTATTTAGTGAACCCGAAGATGATTCAGTTAGAGATGTTTTAAGGGAATCACCACTCTGTCACATCACAAAATTCCATTATTAATGTAATATGCAATTCCATACCTTATTCGAACCATTATCTTTGATTTTTGACCAAGACTTAGTATCATCATTTTCTTCATCTTTAGCATACTCGCGTAGGAACTTCGAGAATCTGTCAGACAGTGGTGAGATGTTGTTAAATGCTTGAAAAGAGCGACTGACTGTTACGTTCTTACGTGAGACAAATCAAAACTTACATATGTCTTCTTGTGAATAAAACGAACTCATTTCCACGATTACAGAAAATACTTTTGAATAGCCGCACGTAGTCGAGATACAAACACACTGAAAATTGAAGGAAACTATCGTAGCGTTGATTATTTTTTGAACGACATTTTCTCAGAGTAAACTTATGTACCGGAGATTTGAAATTTTAGACAGCGTTAGAAGAATCTATGAAGAAATTACAGCACTTGAATCTCATGAGATGTGGCGTAGCAGTTTCCGGTTTCTAAAGGACGGCAGTCCAGTAGGCCTGTGTTAGTACTGGCAATGGTGGCTTCCCACTTGATGCAACTTTATTTTGAAAGCGTCGACAGATGGAGCTTCAATCACGTGTTGAAGTAGTGGATCCCATTCGTGGATGACTCGGTTGGAAAGTCGATAATCAGCTGAGGAGTAATTTGTTCTAGGTTTGTGATCTATTTAAAAGTGTCCCCTCCAATTCTCTGTTTTGTAAGACAAGAACCGTATAAGCACATCAGATGCAAGTTTGTCACCAAGTAATTTAAAAACTGTGATCTAGTCGCCTCTGGTTCTTTTATATGACAACCGAAATAGGTTGAGTTCAGCCAGTCGCGCATCATACAAGAGCTTTGCTACTACGGGAATCAGATGAATTGCGGTTCGTTGGACCTTGTCAAATTCGCCACTGTCTATCTTCTGGCAGGGGCTAGCCGTTTGTATGCGTTACTCAAGTTTAGGACGACCGAATACTGTATACGAATTCAAAAACTTTTCGGCATCGACTTGGGTAGAGGCCATTCGTATTGACCGTAGGGTTCCAAGATCTCTGGTGGCTGTTGCACGTCAGTGTGCAGTAGTTTTTAGTTATTGGTTAACGATGGCTTCTTATTCATTGTATGTCTGGACAACAGGTAGCTGACTGTTGTTGACCGTGTATAATTGTGCCTCAATGACCAATATGCATCATAATGCGCTTGGAAGCATTTATGAACAACTACCAAATTTTAGACTAATCAGATAGTTTCTCCAGATCATTTCAAAACTCTTAACTATCACCTTTACTTTTCGTTGCTCTCCATATCTTAACATCGTCAGCATATAAAAAACCAATGACGACAGAGGTAGTTCGGGAATATCTGAGCTTTAACATAATCGTCCTCTACTAATTATGCGGTACTACTGTCTCACCATAATGATGGGACATTTCTTCTGGCCTTAGCGCTTTGGTTTATGCACGAGTATAAGCATTTAGGTTAGTCTATAGATTCTTTAGCAGGCTTTTCTTTGTACAACGTTCTAGACATGCGGAAGGTCGAGGCATAAATATATCAAGCTTCCCGATATTGAAATTTTGTCTGGTCACTACCCAGTAACCTGAATTCCTCCCTTCTTCTCTTACGGAGAAGGGTGCAGGTCTCCCTACTGAACTACAATGAAGAGTTCCTCAAACCTCTTGTTGTAGTCCTTGGAATGTGCAGTGCAATGACTTTCATGTACGAGTTTCGGAATACAACCCAAGTCTTAGTTTATTGGTAAGTCTACTGAGGATGCCGAGTTTATAATACCTTGTATATTTGCTTTTCAGACCTTCGGTCGGGCTTGGGCTGACACACCCTTGTTATTCACAACTATATGGATATCAAGGATGATGATTGTATAGACACTTTTACCTAAGGGTGGCATATAATGAGGGTTTGTGACGTCATCTTATTAATGGGTCGATATAAGATGTAGTAAGAATGATTCGTAGATCGGGCCATACCCAGTTGCTTTCTACACATGTTGAGATGGGGTATATGTGATAACCACGTCAACTAGTTTCTGTTCGAAAGAATTTTCTGACAGTTTAGTTCTCAGATTTTCCCGGCCTACCGTGGGTGCACAAAATCAAACACCAACCACTCGATGACCAAGTGTTTAAACAGCATAATTCTTTGTCGAAGCCTCATTATCTCATAAACCACAAATGTAGGTGTTTGTCTACAGTATATAACCTTGGCTTGAGTTCTTTTTTCAGATTGTCATTTTTTCTAAGATCCGCGAGCGACAAGCCTATAAACTCGTGACTCAGTTAGTTTATGCCCATTCTGTAGTGTTGAGTCCTTTTCATTGGGAGATTTAAATGCTGCTTTCAGCAGCCTGGCTTGATTTTGTTTCATGTCCATTTGGCTAACTAGTCTATAAACCTTTAATGAGGTGACTACAGAAATATCCTGAGGCATTAGCTGGTTTATTAGCTGTTTTGTCAACTCAATGTCATGCTTAAGACAAGTTCTAAGTTGTGAGCTGTCACTCTCCCTGACTCGACGAAAGACAACTATCCCGTCACCAAGATCAGTGTCCAGTTTTTCAGTGACTGTTTGAAGGACTGGCTTTTCTTGAACAGCATCAGGTCGTTTCTTATTTTTGGTCTGTACCCATTCACCAACTTTCATTGGAGTGACAGTCACATCTCAGATGATCGTCGATGACTTCAGTAGTTATGTTGTTGTTTATCGTGCTAAAAGCAGGCCTAGCTATGCGACTTCGTCTTCTAGGCGTTACATTCTCGCTGCAATTTGAAGGCAGGGACAGATGAAAAACATCTTTCCCTGGGCTTTTGTCTGACAGGCCTCTTTACAGACTGTCACTTCTCTGTTGGCCTGTGTATGTCATTAGACTCCAAGCTTGTTTGAGGAAACTTCACACCAATTTGTTTCTCGACCGTGAAAGTACCTTTTGATTTGCCTCGAATACACTTGTCAATACTGCTTTAAAGAACATTCACCACTGCAATGACTTTGAAAAGAAAGCTGTTGGCGTCCAAACAGCAATGCTGACATGAGCACATGCAACCGTCTTTACTAAACCGTTTGGAAGCCAAAGGCTACGGACCAATGTAAACTTCTTAGTATCATCTTTTACACTTCTTAAACCGCATGCCACATTCCACAGGGTGTCGAAAGAATGGGCTTTAGTAACTGCTGTCCGGTTATCAATCAGAGGTTTACAAAAAGAAGCTAGACACAAACAATACCTCTGGACAAAAAAACTGATGACCAGAAAAAAAGTAAAAAACGTAGATTGTTGGAACCAAAAGTGCGAACAACTACAGTAAGAACCAATATACACAAAATTACAGATGATAAATTACTTTTGGAAAGACGATACTTTTGATGAATAATCTAACTGGAATAAACTGATTTAAAACAAGAACAGTAGCACTGATGCGCATTAAACGGTCAAAACAATAAAAATATCACTGTCCTTTTCAAATATAGCACTTCTCAGTCTACTTGAAATTCTTATTCTCAATTATTACAATATCTTTTTGTTACCTGAGCTTTGACGTTCTTGTTCTGATCTCAGTTTGATGGTGTTTTTTATTACTCAAAGCGAATTACAGTAATCTCTCTGAAATTAATTTCTAGACCTTTCTGTTATTTTTATAGCAAGACAGCCGTCTTTGGTAGCTTTAAATTTCATAGTCCAATTGTATTTTATCATCCACTTGCCAAATTTCGGCGTCTGTTTTACACTTTTGTGTGGATAGAAATCCATGTGTACTTGGGGATGCGTATTCGCACAAAGCTGGGATTGGTGTGATTAAGACAGATTTCAACGTATTAGTATATTTAACAAAAGTGGTGAGAATTATTTATTTAAGATATAGTTCAATATGAAGATCAAATACCCTATAGGCACGACTTTTTTGAAAAGATCTACAATGAATGTATGGAGAAGACCTAAGAAAACTTAATCATTGGTTTTCTGCTGCCTCGGAATTCACGCTGAGTTTGAACTGCGACCGGCGAGTTGAACCGCTCCTAATATTGTCACCGAACGTCTTTCAAGTGACCAGGTTAGAGAGTACACAGAGAAAATACAGTCTTCCACTCTGTCTAATATAGTCAAATGAAACCTCTATTCGTTATTCTGACAGAAACTGGTTTGAGCAATCTCTTCGTTCTAAGAAATTAAATAAACGGGAGAACAAACTGATGTGTAAAGAAGAGAGAGTAAAACAATAGTAAGTGAAATGGATGATTTTCGAATTGCCTTAAATTTTTCTTGGTGCGACTGCGTCGAGTAGTTTTGCTTCCATTCTCTTTCAAGTAAGGTACACAAATGACGAATTAATTGGTAATGGTCGAGAGAACCCATAAATACTGAGAGACAGAAACTGACGACCACGAGAATACACCAAGCTCATCTGGCTTTGGTGGTTAATTTATAGTACTTACCACCTAGTTGAAAGCCCCATGATACAATTATCTCGAAGTTAAGTAAATGAAGAAGAGAACGGTTAACATACATATACCAAATAGTATCATGGACATAACAAAATGAATCAATAAAATGAATTAATTACGTTTATGTAACTGATGCAATTCCATGACGTACTAAGTATTCACGAGTTGAAGTAATCGAACTGACACTCCGTTTGGCAAATCTCAATCCTCCTGATCAATAAATACCACCAATTGAAAACCTTGTCCGTCCGACATGGCTGCATCTCTCTTATTAGCTAGCTTCAAAAGGGGACTGGAAAGACACATGTAGATTATCATCTCCTAGGTGGGCTAAAAGTACCTGATTCATTCTCTTAGTCTATCTGGTGTTATCATTACTACATACCATCAGCTTTTTCCTAGCTCGCTTTCTATATTTCATTCTCTCTTTTGTCCCTACACTTTGGTCTCCTTATATTGTACGCATAATCAAATAATTAACTTATTTGTCTACTTAATACTTGCAACAATCGTCTACTCGTAGCATTCAAATTTTCTTCTTATTGCTTTTTAGATTTTGGTGGATCGCGCCCGACCTGGCAATGTGATGTTTACTGGTTCGGGAAACTTTGATGCATTGAGACAGATTGTTGTAAGATATAGAAGCCAGCAAATAACTATCGTATCATAGAACACGGAGTGACCTTATTTTGGCATTCCGTATCTTTACTTACGGCTAGAGTGTTAATATCTCTAGTCTTTTTACCCCCTTCAGCAATAATAATCTTCGATGCAGTAGAAAGAAGGTTCAAAAACCGCGATCTAATAAACTCATAGTGGAGTTCTGTGTTTCTCATTAAGTGGTCAATAACTAGAACGTCATACCCTAACAGGCGGTATCAGCCTAGTCAGTGAACATTCTCAAGGAGAATTTGGACCTTTGTTGAAAAACAAACGGTAAGGATTAACACGGGTCCATCAACCTACCATCTTTATTACTGAAGACCAACGCAACAGAGTTGTTGGCTTTCTGACTATTAGACATTGTGAAGAACTTCCATACGCACCAAAAGACGAAAAAGAACAATCAGTTTATACAATCTCGTCCTAGAGATATTAGATACTGGATATTTATACGCGGAAGAATTGACTTTACAAGGTTATATAAGCGTTGTCTCACTATGCATAGTTTCGAGGATGTGCGCGTATTTACACCATCTCAGTCTCTAGGATCCAAACGCCTAAACTTCGGTCAACACCATCTCAGATTCCAGTTACGCGACTCGGACGTTATTGTAAGTTAGCGTTTTAAGTGTTGAAGTGCGAGACTGAAACATGTTTTAATAAGGTTGAATCATTACTTGTTTATGCAGAACTAAATACCGTACAGTGTAATGACGAGACCTTAAGTAAAAGTTCGTTCTGGTTGTACTAAAAATATTTTCCGACTCCACCCAAGCAAACAGAAGCGACATTCTATGAGTAAATGTTATGTGAATTTGAGAAAAAGTGCTCCAGAATGTCACCTTTATCATCTGCTCCGGCGGACAGTGAGATTTTTCCCACAAATATTTTCTTTAGTAGAGAACATCAAAAACCACTTTTTTATTTCAAATAGTCTCCTCACTCAAATCTGCACTAGATTATTTGCTCCTCAGTGTGTCTACTTTTCAACTAATTCTACACAAATTAGCTTCACTTCCTCCCAAAAGTCTTTTTTTGACCTGAAACTAATTCAAGTAGTTTTAAGTCCAAAGTGTTTAAGCCACACGTTTCCGTCGTAATTAACACGATTATCTACAGAAATCTTAGGTTTATTTAAAATATTGTGTTTTGTATAAGTGTCTCCTATTTGAATTAAAATAATACTTCAAATAAACTTTTTGCACTTACTTGTCCCAATACGGCAGGCACGAGCAAAAATGTTTGGTAATACATTTTTATTTCAGCGTAAAAAATTTCATAAATATCTACCTCTAGGTCTCGCATCCCTGTTGTCATTAAGGAGAACAATTTTCCCCAGCTGAATTTTGAAGTTGAATAACGGTTTCTTTAAAAAAAACAATGAACCAACAGTTTTTTGTTGAAGAAGTATCTCCAGCCCTTCTAGTTTCTTTTCAGTCGACAGAGGAAAGTAGGACTGCGATAATCCTGCACTCAGATTGTTGGACACGCTATCAACTGTCATATTTTTTTAGAAATGGAGGTCGTCAGACGTACTTTGGCAGACGAGTCGGATATGACAGTTAGAAGGGTTGGTGCAATGCCATGCATTCTAGTTAGTCTTTAATATTAAAGGCAATTTCACGCATTATTTACTCGATATCAGTTCTACTTCTAATAGGCGTTATTTAACATTTTGACAAAATTGATGGGTGACCATCTGACTGTCATGCATGCTAGTTGTATTTTGGATGTTTTTAAAATCAGTACTTAAATTACATAATTATGCTAGGAGTGCTGTGAGAATATGTACCAATGTTGAACTGAAACTCCAGCAGTTTTGTCTGTTACTACCTCGGGGTGAGAATCATTCCGTTAAGATATGCTGGACTTCGGTTGTGCATTTTTGTATTTTGTTCACCAAAATTACAAATTATCGTAGGTGAAATAATTCTAATAAATCAAATAAAAAGTCGCGAACTATATTAAAACATTTTGTTGCTCCTATCTTTAGTGATTTCTTTATGATGGGTATCTCTAAAGAAAGCAAAGAACCTGGTAAATTTAGTGAGATTTCCATTAGCACTGTTTCTAAAGTAAAAGAAATGGAGGACCTCAGATTTTATTGCCCTAATTTTAGCAAATATATAGCTGACAAACTGTTCGATGTTAGATGTGACACTGGCTTGTTCGGTTATTAGTTACATAGTTGATCACAATGGTACAGCAGGTTGTGATAAATATGAATATAGGGGGTTGTTATTTAACTAAAGGATGACTTTCCTTAGTTTCGTACATGATTTGCGAGGTGGTGAAAGTGTTGGTCTCCTGAAACTAAATGTCCATGAATCAGGAAATTCTGACTTCGTTCTGCCCGCAATTAACATGGTGTCAACCTTCGTCTTAGATCCTATGCATATGGGCATACTTAGATGTAATGAAGAAATTAATTGATTTATGCGTAGAGATATCCAATAAGGACCTTGAATATATGGATAAAATCATTACAGCCATTAGTAAATATATTCTGCTTCGCTCTAAACGTACTGGTTCAATATTTCAACGGAAATGTGTAGCATCTTGGATATCTTTGAAAAATAAATGAATGTGGATTATTGCTGCTTTATTTAGGACCCGTGGTTTGAACAGCCAAACATGTCATGCAGGCACGGAGATCGTCTGAAAGTAAAGCATATCCACCAGGATTTCGAATTAGGACCTCAGTGTTTGCGCAGGATTACCGGATCAATCGTCACCGATGGATAGAATGGGACATAACGAAAACATAGGGAAGGTGTTATATGAATCATCTGTAGGAAAAGGAAATGGGTTCGAAATTTTGAATCACTTATGTAAGAGAACTACTGCTAATTTCACTACTATTATAAGGATGCAACTAGATGTTTTGCCCAACGTCCATGAGAAAATTAAAGCATTATGGACGCCAGAGTTAGATTTTCGGTGAAGACGGGCATTCGAAGCCAAACGACCCCATAAAACATAAAAGGTATTGTATACCCAAATACGTGTGCGAAAGAAAACTAATCCTAATTCCACATGTCGATTTAAGGTAATTTCCACTCGGTAAACTCAACATATTTTCATGAATTTTCGTCATTAATTTTCACTGTATGTCAGTTGTATTTAGTTTGATTTCTAACGCATCTTTCTTGTATTGGGCGCTTCATCATAGTTTTAGATTTACTAGCAATTACTCAATAAAACTGCGTAATTAATAATCACTCAATTGATATATAACTGAATTAACTTGAATGTAAATTCAACCATTCTTTGGTTTCGTTCAATAAATGTAAACAAGATTAGTCTTTTGGGGTCTGCGGTGGAGGGACTACGGTTAGTAGAGCTGTTCTATATCGCAATTGTCGTTAGGGTCTTTCCAAAGTATCTTACACCTGTAACAGTTTCTCCCTCTAAGTGCAAAATATCTTCCAAGGCCTAATGTGTCACTGTGCAGTTTAGCCGTACGGGGGTGAACTATTGCAGATGACTGCTTGGCTTATCTTGTAAGTCTTACAAACCCTGGAGGCTGAAGAACTCTCGGTACTATTGTCCTACCTTATTTGGGTTCTGTAAACGTGTTACCTGTGACGTAGATGATATATTTGTCCGTTAACCGAAGAGTGGGTACTCTGACCTGAAGTTTATCCATTGCTTTGTGGTTGTGAAAATGGCCTTTATAGGTAGGAGACACTCGATGCTTCATTATTTATGTCTGCAAAGCGTTGTCTACGTGAAATCATTTCTGTACAGTGAATTGAAATCAGTAAATCCTAGCATAATATACGTCTGTAGTCTGAATTACGTTCTATATTCCATTGTTTACACAATTCATCCTTTCCCCCCAAGTAATTACTTCTCATTATCTTTAGAATTATCTATAATTTTTCCTTTATTTCGTAAAGATTATGTACAGAGCAATTGATGGGTTTCGTTTGTATGAATCACCTACTGAACGTCGATTCACACCATCTATATTAACTGGATATACGATTGTTTTGTATACGAAAGATTTTCATATTTATGAATTGACTGTTAACAGTCTTTCTGTTGCTCGTTCACTTGAACAGTTATTCGAGGCAGTATCCTCAATAGGTAAGTATCTTGCTTCTTATTTATGACCTCAACTACGTATGTTTTTACTAATATTTTAAGTTTTTATTTAGTCCTCTGTGTCTTATTGCACTTCGTTTATAGCTTGTTCAACTCTTGGTTCAACAAAACACTGAAAGAATGAGCCTAAAAAGATGGAACGAGACCATATTAACTCAGAATGTAGAAGGCAAAAGGTGACTGCATCTTGGCTATTGTGACAGTTTCTGAGCCATGTTACCTAACATCTCCAACGATTGATTGCATTGATCAAGCTGACTCCAACTAGGTAGTCTGTACCTGTCAACACGCCACAGGATACTAAAAAAGATGTTATTCGGTTAGGGAAGTTCAAATTATCTTTACGAAGAATGTAATAGAAAACTGCAGTGAAGTCATCACTTGCTTCCATTCTAAGCCACATTTGATGATGTGTAGTTACCCCATTCAACTAATGTATTATGTCTGCTCATTGTATTTTAGACATTCATTTCACTTTGCAAATTTATGTGAGTCTGATGGTTGTATATGTTGAACAAGTGGATTTCTGATTGCAGGTTTTTTATGTTGACTAGCTTCAACCACCATCTTAGATCAATCTGTAAATGTTTTTAAAGGTTTTCTATCCCGTATATTTTTTCTGACAGATGACGTAACATTGCTTTACCCATTCGCTTATAAATCCAACCAATCATCACTTTTACCTGTAATAACAACCACTGATTGGCCTAACAACATCAAAGAGTTATTGTCTGTTGGGAGTTGGCGTATAAGTCAATTAAATGACAATTATTCAGTAGGTAGTATTTCGTTTTCTTTGTAGTATATCTTAACGTGAAATATCCTCTTAATATTATGTTATATGTATAGTATTGGGAAGGTTTTGTGCGTTTGGTTGAATGCTCTGTAGGGAGTTATTTCTACAGTGTGTGACTGATTCGTAGAGTCTGTACTACACTCAACGACTTAGACTGAACGTTGGTTACGACTGATTGGCTAATAGTCGAATATTGTATTGACGCTCAATTTGAGGGACCTAAAAAGGAACTGGGTTAGTCACGTTCTTGACGATTTGGTGTCGTGACCACGAAGTCCAAAAGACAACCGCTTGACTTGATCACACGCAGCCTTTTTGTAAATAGTCTTAGGTAAGCTAGCTCTTTATTTACAGCCCCTGGTGTTGGCAGAGGGAATCCATGGGGAAAAGTAAGGTATGCCGTCCTTGAGATTGACCTTTTATAATCCCTTTTTACTTTTTGAGAAGACTATCACTTCAGATGCTGGTTGTCTGAAGGAGCACCTTACTGCTATTACATCCCTGTCCAAACGACAATACGACCTTGTTTTCAGACCTTACTTTTGTTACTTCTATTCTTACTGCTCCCCCGTCGATCTACCTGGAATGGTTGTGCATAAAAAAACAGTTATCCCCTGGAGTAAAGTTCGATTGTATTGTTATGATAGGCGGGCCTAACCACTACGTCAAGCTAGCGTCTACAGTTGGGCAATGACGTTACTAATGTGAACCATTGCTTGGTAACTCAATGGTCTGAAGATTAGGCATCCAAACCGAAGCCAGAAAGTTTGACTCGTTGTTTACGCGCACTACCGAAGAGTCTCATCCTGTGACCAGACAGTCACTCAGTGCTTCATGGTTTTCATTAATGCTCTATTTAAAGTCTGTTTGTGATACAAACTACATACATTATTATTTCCATGACTACTACTATCATTAAGGTAATATTTTTAAGACCGCTTTGTATTCATTTTATTTATCTTCCCCGTTCTAGTTGTGCAATTCTTATCCGAAAACATTTATCGTACCTGTTAAATGTGATGATCAAATGATTGCAGAAAGTAGCCGATTTCGTCAAGGTGGTCGTTTTCCTCTACTGGTATACTATCATAAGCCAAGACAAGTACGTGACAACTATGTACAGATTTTCATTTTTTGTTAGTTGCAATTTTGTATTATAATTTATTTAACAAGTATGAGTTTCTTTTTTCTAGGTATTCGGCTTTGATTCACATTGTTGTTGTGTGCTGAAAACCTATAGAGATACTACTCACTACTTCCGTAGACCTAAATAAGTGATTTGTTCACCGGTCTACTTTCCCTTGTGTCTGTCACAAGATCACGTTTTATATTTTGTACAGTTTATTACAGGATTGCTTAATGTATAGTATGTATGTTTTAACCCTACTGTTGGAATCTCTAATGTCTTCATGGGATCATTTCTATGAAATTTGGAGTACTTCAATCTTCTTCCAAATACTTCTAGTTTCTGACAAAACATTTGTTCTGTCAGTTTATGTTGTTTTAAATGTTCTCCAAAGTCAATCTCGATGTTATGCTCGTTGAACCATGATTCGTCACTAGTGAATATTCCAGAAAAAGATAGGATTTTTGAGAGACCTCCAATCTCACTCAGCTTTTAGTTCAGTTTCAACAAATGTTGCGCGATTCTCGCACGTTTTTCTCAACTTAAAATATTCTGATCGAACTCACGAAATGGCCTAGGTTAGACAACCACTGAAAACTTGGAAGTACTGGATATCCGTTTCCTGGCATGAGACTCCTTAGCAGTACCCATCCAAGACTCCGCAATCAAACCTAGGACCTTTGTTTTCGGGCGAAAATCTTTCACCTGTAGCTCACATTTAGATCAAATAATTTGCCGAAATGATATACATAGACAGGTTATTCGAAAGAAAATTTATCAGTAATCATTTAGATAATAAATCCTTCAATCGATATACACAAAAAACCATATACGTCCGACGATTTCGTAAACACAATAGGTTGATGATTGTCCATAATTAACAGTATTAAAAGAACCGGTCATAAAGTTTTGATTTTCCAGTCTCTTAATCCTCAATCCACAATAAATTGTATTTTCTTCCGTTAGTCCTAGTCACTGCCTTCTCGTGGCGGGGGTATTGTTCATGAAATTGAGAGGACGAAAAGCGAATGTCCGGCGCTTTAACTAGGTTGGTGGACACTCCCCGTGTCCACCTAGGGGAGTTGGATAACCCTGATTCCAAACCAATGGTGCACATGGGCTCCAGTATCCTGAGGGAACAAATGGCGTATGAATCAATCGTTTGTCACCGGCTACCATGGGAATGCATCTCCTTAAGATGCTTCACTACCTTGTGGATCAGACCTTCAGGTCAAAGGCTCGGGGTGTGGCCCCCTAAGAAAACCACCTGTTTCAGTCTGGGCACCTGGGCAGTATCACAACCCTCACACAAATCGAATGAGATTTGTGAGGCTCATATGTATCTGCTGCTTCCTAGTACCAATATTTATGTGTCTAAATAAAAAAGTATCTATTAGTCATCTGTAATGTAGACGCTCGGTTTCACTGAATGACTCTAATGCTTGAATCCACTCACTTATTACCTCTTTTTCTAATCTATCTTTTAGACTACTTTATTAATAACTGCTGAACCATTGATTAACCAGTCTACAATCACAAACAGTCAAAATACCACTCCTCTATTATCATCTAATTCTAGTTTAACTTCATCAACCAAATCGAATAATCTAATTCTTAATTCATCTTCGAAAAATTCCATATTACCATTTAGTTCAACATTTAATACTGGTCGATGTCGTTCAGATGAACAATTACTTTCTTGTATATTACCAGATAAATGTAGAGGTGTTATATTGGATTTAAGAACACAAAATGAAACAAAAAAACCTCAAGCAACAAGTGAGTTATGTTGTTTTTAATATGAAGTTTCACGAACTGCACAGTTACGCGAAGTCAACCGGCTATTCGAGTAAAAAGACTGAGAATGAGAAGGTTGATTGAGTAGACTGAATAGGCATATATGTATACTCATTCATAGATATATCTCTCTATCCTTTAGAAAGTTAGACCAGCAATGGTGTATCCCATTCCTCGGAAATGAAAGTCATTCCTTGGCCAATCGCGTGCACTTGTCATCTGGTTGATTTTAAATTGACTCATTGTATCAATTATTTTGTTTGTTGTTAAGCTTTTTAACATCAATGGTCTCACTTTGAGCTGGTACTTACTCTCAGACCACTAAATCCACTCGATCTGCGATGTAGCAGTACTATAAACTGATTCTATTGACAGCGACTAACCTTCTACCGTGGTGTTAGGACTTCATCTATCACAATCATCCATCGGGAGTCTAGGAACTCATCTTAAAGCTAGACATCATTATCTATATACTTTTATTTTAGTGACTGATGTTCAATCATTGGTGAACAACAACCTATAAATTAAACTAATCTCCACAGGTCCGTCAACCATTCAATTTGTTCGTTAGTTTTTCATGTTGGAAGTCTGTATTATTGCTAGTGATATAAAATTCAAATAACACTAACCTCTGTTAACCTTTTTTCTCCTTCCCAGGTGGTCTTGTTGAATTCGAACAATATTATCCACAATGGAGACGAGTTTCTAGACCGTTAGAATCTACGGGTAACTTGATTGTCACTTTCAGGAAATTCATTTATGGTAAGATGTTTTTTTGTTCGTTTATGTATATCTGTGGGTTTTGACCACTAATTTTTTCTTCCTTAGAAAACGGTCGTTCTACTGATTCTGTTAGGGAATAATTGTGACGACTTAGCTTAAATGTGACTAACGCTCTATAAAATTTTGGACTTAACAACCGTACCGCTCTACTACTGCTATGATAGTGAGAAATAATTAACGTTGATAATGCCATTCTATGAGGCGAAATGAAATGATATGCATGAAGAATACTGAACCTGAAGATCCAGAGGAAGATAAAGAGTTCATCTGTCCGACTGTTACTGTCACCAAACGTCGCTAATTACTAATCGAGGTGATTACACAGCCATTTATCAAGTACTCTGCACATACCTATAGGGCTCATATCAAATGCCAACGACTTCATGGACTGACGTCACTTTTTAGTTTGTTCACTCAATAGCTTTTTCCCAATCTATTCTAATACCAGACATCATTCGTCGAGGTAGGCGGTGGTTGGGAATATCTATAACATGTCCTAACCACAGTTGATGTAGATTTACAACCTCATAAACAAACTTTTCTACTTGCCTATTATCCTATACATAATTTCAGCATTGTTAATGCAGTTGTCTGGTGATACTCGAGCAATGTTGAATAAAAATATCCTACAGCCTAAGCAACTATTTGGTGTTCATAAGGAAGTTAACATATGTGTTAACTGAATTAATCGATACATTTTCTAGTTTCGATTTCGACTGTACAACTGACCACAGTTAGGTGTTCTCCTTAGTCGTGAGATATTGTTCTGGCTATGTTTTACTTCTTAACCTACTTTTTATATCCCAGAAATCCATTTACATTGATCGTAATCTTGTTCGTTGTTGAGTGTGTGAACGGCACATATCTTCTTTATTGACTAGTCTTGTAGTATTATTATAGTTTTCGCAGTTATAGAACACCCTGATATTGTTTAAACTATGCTGTTTTCTTCTAATCAATAAAAGCTTGTATATCTTGTGGTCGTTTAACTCGATCTTCAAGCAACACAACATTTGGTGCACTTCAATCTGGAATCAGTGATTCTATTGGAATGTTGTCCAGTGCCGCATTAAATCCAATAGGAAATTTCGGATTACGTAACTCTGTGGCTGCATCAATCCCATGTGATAATTCAGTCAATTCACTCGATGATAATGTTGTTCGTGAACAAATAAATACGTCGAGTAAAAATGATATAGTCTCGAATTTCGGTCAATTAGATATTCAATCTACTAATTTAACTACTGAATCGGATTTAAGTAGTAATAATAATGTCAAAAAATCAAAAAAACTTTCAGCTTGGTTATCATTGGTTCGCGAGGCGTTAGCAGCTGCTGTTGCTGGAGCAACAGCTTTGGACGCTTTGGATGCATTCGCTCAACAACAACTTCAACAAGAACAATGTTTGTTAGCTGAAAAACAAAGAAGAGCATCAAAGGATCAAAGTTTAGAAGAGGCTAAATTACGTGGATCATGTGTAATAGTGCAAAGTCGAAAAGGAACTGATCGAGCTATTCTCGTGGCTAGTTTAATTCAAATCATATTAAATCCTGAGTCTAGAACTATACAGGGGTAATTGCGGTTAGCTTGTTTGGAGTGGGTGTTCTCATAGTACTGTTTACAGTATAATTTTCAGTTTATACTATTCTCTGTGAATTGTAACAGCTGAAAATAATTTACTATCCCTAGTTCACATTAGTTTTCAGTTCAGTATATACAAGTTTCATTCTTCCTACTCATAACATAAGTTGATAATAGCATTTCTATCATAACAGTCTAAAGAGGTTGTAGTATCTGTTCAGTAGAGAACGTCAGCTATTTTATGTACCAGTTGTTTAAAAAAAATCCATTCACTGCATTTTCTCTTAGTTACAGCTTTCGTAAAAAATCAATAATTGATAAGTTCATCCCCGTCACACAAGCCAATGTCTATCTGTGCTCAATAGCTCCCCGGATAACATGATGGACATTTGAAACGAAAGGTACTTGATTTGAGTCCTGATATATACATCGGAGCTGGGATGTTCATACGTCCAACTGACGAGTCCTCATTGGGACGAAACGCATATCCTAGATTTCACTACTAGCCATTATCTAACTTTATATAAAAACTTATAACTTAATGCCAATATCGAACTAATTCACTCAGGATATGAGAAAAAAAAGAATAATCAAAATTTAGCCCCTAGCATCACTACCAGGAAAAATCAATCTCTTACAAACAAGTAGTATAAGTCAACGATTGGTTATCTGCTCACTGTTTCTGAAGGAGAAACACTTCTATGTTCTGTCTTACTGCATCGATTTGGTAGTATATATATATGCGATATGTCACGTTTCTTTTAAATGTCAAAATAAACTTAATTGGGGTTTGTATGCTAAAAACTCAAAAAGTTAAGATAATTAATGATCACTTTTTGTTCAAAGAAACATTCGGTAGCAATCGCGGTTGATTGTAATAGTTTTTGATAATATCTTTCAGTTATCGCTACTTTCGTCGCGCTAATGACGTATGCTAACTTGAACTAATGTACAAATGTCCTGGGTTTATTTTATTATTTATTTAAACACATGAATATTAGTACAAAGAAGCACCGAATATATATGCACCACATAATTCACTTGATCTGTGTATGGGCTAGAATACTGACCGGGCGCCCAAACTGAAGCAGGTGGTTTTATTAGGGGCCCGCATCTGGAGCCTTCAACGTAAAGGTCTGATCCACAAGGTTAGGGTTAGGGTTCACCATTGGTTCATAATCAGGGCTTTCCGACTTCTCTAGGCGAATGCTCCATATCTGCCAACTCGGTTAAATCGTCGGATATTCGCTTTTCGTCCTCTCGATTTCGTAAACAACAGTAATGTCACGAGAAGTCAGTGAGTAGGACTTCCCTGGCAGAGGCTATATATGCTTGGCCATGTGGAGCATTTGGAGAGGGAGAGCGGACTCTCCCCATTCTCGGCCATACCAGGGCATTTGTGGGCAAGTGGTTTACGTCTACCGGGAATCGGGTCCGGACCGCTCGCGTGGCAGGCGAACGTTCTATCATTGGAAAACCGACGCAGTGTTGTAGGTTTTGCACTGCGTATTATTCGTAAGCCTTTATGACCTGATGTTCTAACTATGAAGCCTGAATATTGTAGGTTTGATCCTTGTGGGAGTCTTTGGTGACGAGCATCACTGAAAATGTAACAACTAAGGTATACTATATGGTTTTATTATGCTGTGATTAAAGCTATCAACTAAAAACCTGAGAACACTAGACACCACTTTCGTCTTAGTACGAGACTGACTCCATAACACTGCGCATCCTTGACCTCACCTGGGGTCGGACCTAGGGCTTTCAGGACTATTGAAACTGCCTAGCCTTTGGATCACTGAGTTGTCATCTATTGGTTTACATTTCTAACTTTAGTATATTCATAATATAACGTGACTATCATTTGAATCCTTGTGATATCGTGGATACACATTACTGATTAGTCCCGTACTAGAATGTAATAGGTGTCTAGTACTTTCTGCTGGTTCGTGATATGAAACTTTAAGTACTAATTTATTTTGATTAACTGTTATATATTTTCGCTTAATCCTATTGTGTTCACAACTATTTAGATTTCAAACACTTATCGACCAAACCTGGTTAAACGCCGGACACCCATTTGCAGATCGTTGTCGAAATTCCGCTTTCTCTATTAAACCACCAAAGGATGAGAGTCCAGTGTTTATCCTATTTTTGGATTGTGTTTGGCAAGTAGGTGCGTTTTTTTGAAAAGATTTCTTGGTATAATTGAATTCGCTTTATGTGTCGCATCAATTCTTGTCTTTCTTTAATTTGAATACGGTCTTCTTTCCGTAAAGTTTCTTTATAAACGTTGACATATGTACGTTATAATTGTTAGACATTGATCTCAGCTACGCTCCTCTTGAAAATCAATAAACGGTAGTGATTTCAGAGTGTTCTTGGGACTATAATGAGAAGTAGTGAATGACGTAGTTTAAATATATCAGGAATGAGACAGCTCTCACCAACGACATTGGATGATAGTTAGAACTGTGCTTGGTTTCGAATCTCGTGAGGCGGGATTGTGGATACGTACTCTAATTCTGTTACAATGGATCATCATAAGATTTGCCACACAAATGAAGCGATAATATTGTGAAAAATTAGAGCAGAGAAGGATAGTTACCATCACCATCAGTAACGAAGTGAACAAAACTGGTATTTTATGTGAGATATAGTTTAGTTAAAATCACAATCAGTGAGATCTCTATTTAAGGAAGTACATTTCATTATTATGACGAGTGTAAGAGAACGTAAGATTGCCACAGGCTTTTGTTCTAAACCATTTCTCATAACGCATCAAGCCATTTTGATGCAGTCTCTAGGACCCTAATCAAGGAGTCGTGATGGATCATCGAATGTCAGCTTCCTATACAACTATCTTTCATACCACACTGCTGTTCTACAGATTGACCACTCATTCTTTATGTTAATAAATAACCTTCACCAACATTGTGTTTACTCCTGACTACTTAGAGTTAGTGAAGGACTATATTTTTCCAAAGCCTGATATAATCGAGTATCTAATCTCTTTAATTTAGGTTCCAAAAAATGTAGAATATCGAAACTGGACATATATATTATTTCATACAGTCAGACGTAAATATTATTGTACGAGGAAACAATACAATACTACTGTTATTGATTTTCCTTAATATTTACTCCTCATACTTGTGCCTGATGTTAACAACTTATCAACAATTTTGACTGCATCTCTTAACGTCACTCCACTGTATCGTGGATTAAATCTTTAAGCCAAAGGCTTGAGGATTGCCCCCCCCCTAAGAAAAACACCTGGTTCGGCTTCGGCACCCGGACAGTATTCCAGCCCTCACGCAAATTGAATGACAAAGTGTGACGCATAGATATTTGGTGCCTCCTTGTACCACCGAGAGAGAGAGTCCGCTGTCCCTCTCGAAATGCTCTCACATGGCCACGCGTAAAGAGCCTCTGTCAGGGAAGTCCTACTCACTGCCTTCTCGTGGCGGGGGTGTTGTTTACGAAAATGAGAGGACGAAATCGAATGTCCGGCGCTTTAACTGAGTTGGTGGACACTTCCCGTGTCCACCTTGGGGAGTTGGAAGACCCTGATTCCACACCAATGGTGTACATGGGCTCCAGTATCCTGAGGGGACAAATGGCGTATGAACCAATCATTGGTCACCGGCTACCATGGAACTACATCTCCTTACGATGCTCCACTGCCTTGTGGGTTAGACCTTTAGGTCAAAGGCTCCAGATGTGGTCCCTTAATAAAACCACTTGCTTCGATCTGGACACCCAGGCAGTATCGCAGCCCTCGCACAAATAAATGAAATGACGCTCTCTACTGACAATGCTATTCCCGCTCTTCCTTGTACCAATATTTGTGTTTAACTAAACAAATACTCCAGTTTAAAGATCCGCGTAGTATCATTAGTCCTCACATTTAGATTGTGATTCCAAGCCGAATACTATGAATCTTTACGTGGGGAGTGGGTTTCTGTCGAAATTTATACTAGTGAAGTATATTTCAAATGAAGAATGTAGTTTTAATCAAGCTATCTTTTGTTTCCTTATAATGAATAGTATTACTGAAATAAATTTGTCTACTGACTCCTTTTCTCTCTCATTTTTCTTTTCAGTTACTTCGTCAATATCCAAATTCATTTGAATTTACTGATGAACTACTTTGTATTATTGCAAAACATGCTTATTTCTCTGAATATGGTGAGTAGTATTTACATTACTATTGTTGATGTAGTTTATCTACCTGTCGGCTCTCTTGTATCCGTGGTTCTGCTGTTTATGCTTGGAACCGGGAACTACTGAAATTTTGCAGAGTGGGAATGCAAATGAAGTTTTACTGGCTCTCAAAAAATATATCTCCAAAAGAAGTTGTCCAAAATCACCTTATTGTTAAACTGAATTATACTTATTTTACACATACTTGATTCATTCGATAAACACGAGATTGGTAGATCCTGGGTTCGAATCTGGCAATGCGGGATCGTGGATGCGCACTTTTGAGGAGTCCTACAATAGAACGAAATGGCCGTCCAGTGCTTCCAGGTTTTCCATGGTGGTCTAGCTTCAATTGATTCATGATTTTAGCTATATATAAAAAACATCATTTAGACGAAAAGATATACGAGGTTACTTTAAAACATATATAAATTTCAGACGGAATAATACAAATAATGTAATTATCACATTGGTCTATAGTTCACACGTATCACATTGGACAACATTCACACACAATTAATACAAAATATATTGGCCTGAAACAGTGTTGTAATGACTTTTACTCCTGTCAATTATCATGTGACAAAATCACTAATCAGAATACTGACTTATACGGCACTGTTCCTGCTATAAAATCAATGACACATCAACGAGCACTAACAGCTTTGTGTTGACTCTGAATCCTTATTGGTCCTCAACGCAGTAGCTTATCGCCTAGCCCTGTCGGTTGAGTCCAGAACACAAATATCAGCCTTCGCTATATAAATTGTATATTTCAGACATAAGTACTGTGTATATGAACAGACCAGACCTCATCACACCATAGAATAAAAAAATAATTATTATACAAGATCAAACCAAAAAGTGGCTGTGAGTGTAAGAGACTGTAACTAATAGATTGTGTCTAACTTAAGAATGGTAAATCGTATAATTGTAGTCAATAGGTGAAATGAAAGCTTATCATAAAAGGATTCTGAATATACATATAACCTAATAGGAATATATGTAATAATCGTCCACAAATATTTCTCAGCAGTTACTTTACCAACTACTTCTTTACGCTTATTGCCTCTTGTGGAGGAGCGTAGGTCACCAACCAATATTCTACATCCAACTCTGTTCTGAGCAATCCTTTTCAGTTGTTTCCAGTCTCTATTCATCTTTTTCATGTCTACTTCCAATTCCCGACTCAGTGTGTTCCTTAGTCGTCCTCTTTTTCGTTCCCCTTCACGATTCCAAGTTAGCACTTGCTTCGTGATGCAGTTTGCTGATTTCGTCAATGTGTATCCTATCCACTTCCTGAATGTTCTCCTGATTTCTTCTTTACCAGTTACCATTCATTTATTCTTTCTAATATATTTATTTTATTATATTTATTTAAACACATATATATTGGTACAAAGGGGCACCAGATATGTATCGCCACACAGATCTCATTTGATTTGTATGAGGGCTATGATACTGCCTGGGTTCCCAGACCGAAGCAGGTGGTTTTCTTTGGGGGCCACACCCCGATCCTTTGACCCAAAAGTCTAACTCACAAGGCAGTGGAGCATCGTGAGGAGATGTAGTTTCATGGTAGCCGGTGACCAACGATTGGTTCATACGCCATTTGTTCCCTCAGGATACTGGAGCCCACGTGCACCATTGGTTTGGAATGAGAGTTTTCCAACTCCTCTAGGTGGACTTTCCGTGTTCACCAACCCGGTGAAAGCGCCGGACATTGGCTTTTCGTCCTCTCACTTTCGTAAACATCAATATTGCCACGAGAAGGCAGTGAGTATGACTTCCCTGACAGAGGCTGTATACGCGTGACCGTGTAAGAGCACTTCGAGAGAGAGGGCGGGCCGTCCCTTCTCTCGGCCATATGTATTCGGTGCCTCTTTGTACCAATATATATGTGTTTAAATAAAATAATTAAATGTCTTCTTTCCAGTTTAATGTAACTCATTTCATGGATTGAATACAATTGTATGCTACAATTGTTTTTTCTTGGCTTTTTATTTTGAAGGTACATTTTTAGGCAATTCTTTACAAGAAAGAGAACAATTGGATATTTCATCTAAAACAGTTTCTTTATGGTAAGTTAGTTGGTTAGTGAATAGCTCATATTTTTTGATGAAAGTTGTTGATACTGTAGATCAAATCAAAATCAGCAAATGATAGAAGTATGTGATTGGTTGAGAAATGACTTTCCTTACTAAGGATTAAACCTAAACCGTTGATAGGCCTAAATTTTTCATGGAGTGTCCATACCATCTATTATTCGGCTTAGCCAGCTAAACTTTCTTCCTCGCTTGTGTTTTCTCTTAGGTAACCGGGCTTGTGTATATAAAGAGTACGTATCATTATCAGCTTTTGAACGTTGGGCGTCACAACAGTTTTCTTCATCACACACTACTTTTGCCTACAGACTATATGGTTGGTGTATCTAAATGACTGAATATTTTATTTTATTTATTTATTTAAACACATACATATTGGTACAAAGGGGCACCAGATACATATGCGCCACACAAAACAATGAGAATTGGAAGAGAAGGGGGGAAATGCGTATATATAAAAGAAAAAAAAATAGGATGAGAAAAAGGGAAGAGTAATTATGGGGGGAACTGAAATGTACAACCAGAGGACTCTTTCAGTTAAGAAAGTTATAACCACTCTTTATGAAGAAAGTAAAAGAAGGTTACATCAGGCTCGCCACTGGCTTCTATTATGAGCCATATCTGATAACGTCACTAGACACTGTGTTGCACCATCTCTCGGACCCCAGCCAGGGAGTCGTGAAGGACCAACAGAAGCTAGCCCTTTGCAGCTCTCTTTTATACCACGATACCATATCATACACTGACCACCTCTCCGCTTTTTCCAACCAGTCTCAGCGTCGGCAAATAATGCACGTCGTGGAATTCTCTGGGATGACATCCCGACCGAATATTGAACACCAGTATTGAATAGGTTTATTGATTCCATTTGATTCAGTCTATTACATTATGGCTATAGATCCTACTGTCTTTTACCTTGTAGTGGTTTTATTTGCAATATAGAAGAAAACCTTCCCGATGATCTTCCAGACATCGGCTATGTTTGTGTTACTACTATACCATACCTATTTCAGATTACAACTGTTCATTCTTGTCGAAATGTTTTTCTAATCTACAATTAACTTATGACTGTTGTCTGGACTCTCGTTAAAAATTTTTTTATTCTCAATCCGTAAAGGATATAGTTTGCGCAAAACGATTTTTAGCGTATAATAAGTATCTTACAGCATTGTTGAGTAGAAATTATTGGAATCTTGACTTTATTTCTACGCAAAATTAGATATTGGCTAGCAGTGGAGTATAGGACACACGCTCCTTCCTATTTAGAATCTATGGGTACTCCACTTTTCATGTGCATATAAGGACTCGGACCTAATGTTTATCATTTTGAACGCTTGTCTCATTATCCACTGAGCTACTGAGTTCCTACAACAATTGGCTTGTGCAGCAGGAATGAATTTTAATTCATTTGTTTAAATTTTCGTGCTGATTCTAATGACAAGGCAGTGACTATTTGAACTCAGTAGCTAAGTGGAGAACACGTTAGGCGTTTAAAGAGGAAGATGCTTGATTTGAGTTTCTATGTGAACATCAGTATTGGAATGGAGGTACATCCAGTTGACAAGTTTGGTCTTTATCTTTATAACTATTAGTGATTGAACTGGATTATGTTATATCATCCACTAATCTTTTCGCACTTATCAAAGTTCGAGTATAGTGAGCAGTAGTTTGTTCTGTTCTACTTTATGGTTGTGAAGTGTTCTTTAAAGAAATAAAAAATATTCGTAGGCTACTAGTATTCACTTATAGGTATCTTCAAAGAGTTTCTAGTGAATTTCGGGACCATCAAGTGAGCAATCTCGAGGTTAAACACATAGTAGTAAGTGAGGGTGGCGAATCGATTGATAATGTATGAAATCTTGACCAAGTGAGGTGGTCTAAACATGCATTACGTATACCTAATCGCCACTTACCTTGATGTGTGGTGTTTGTAAATATAGAATTAGGTTTAGAGGGAGATAGGGGTTACCAAGAGGTGACAACAGTAAATGTAGTCATTGATTATTGGACCGATGTGTTTAGGTAAATCCAGAGTACGTGTTTGAGATCCGGATGGCATTCGTAAGCAATGCTTGGGTATGTTGTGTTATATTGTTGAGACTCGGTCACAATACCATATATGTATTCACTCTGTTGTCCTTTAGATGTTGTATTTTTATTCCCTGAATTCTTCTTCCAGATGTAGACATATAATCACTGTCATTTCTATCGTCAGTTTTGTAATGTCAATATATATGTATATTATTCAAAATAAATTATTAGTGTATTTTTTAATCTTTTCCCAAGGTCATACATCAATCAACCAATTGTGACACATCGTTTGCAAAATCCATTTTATTCTGATCAAAAAAATGATGACAATTCTCAACCAACAACTACAGTTGATGGGGGTTATGCATGTTGGCCTTGTTTATCTGCCCAAGCATTAGTGAGTAAATTGACTGTTAAATTGATACAACTTCTACGCGTACATATTCAAGCGGAAACTCATAAGTTATGAGCTATTTGCCGCTTGAATTCACATTGTATATGTGTGTGTATATAAGTTGCGGTGTTGTTTTAAATCACTTATCATGTGAAAGTTTATATTCTAAGTTCGTTTGATTGAGTGGTAGGGATAATTAATCAGTCGAAAACAACATAGAACTGGCTTCATGTGTCCATCTGTCCAAGTTGCCCACACTAGCACACTGTGAGATCAACACCGCAGTAAAAGTGTTTATGTTGGGATGATTCTGAAAATTTCTCGCAATAGACATGGCAAGCTCAGGAAACATTAAGAAACATTTTATCCTATCAGCGTTTGATTAGAAGTGTTGCTAGAAACATCACGAATGTGAAAAGTCACATGTAGAGTTTTCTGATTGACTGATTACTACACTGCTACTTTGATTTGTAGTATTCTAGAATTTTCAGAAAAATCCAAGGACTTCTAAAATACTATAAAAACCCTATATTTTTCGTACATAAATGAACCTTTGGAGTAAAGTGCTTCTCGCATACTTTGCGCCTTTTCTTTTGTGTTCAATTCGCTGTGTAGTTCTAGCTTGTGGGTTACGAGACTTGCTGAGGATCCGAGTATAGCGTTCAATCAGCAAGACTTATCAGTTTAGAATCGATAAATTGTGATTATCACATTAACTTGTAATGTAGTGGCTGTATTGACTTAGTCCGCACAGGATATACATATGTCATCAAAGATCGATCAAAATCCAGTCCCTAATACTGTCAACAGAATAACTCATACCCTTACTAATGATAAATCAAAGTAGTAGTAATAGTCTCAAGGTTAGGCATAGACAATATGATTAAAGAAGAAAGAATTAATTTCCGGAATATAAGGTACAAAATAATTTTAAAACTCAAGATTTAATAGGAGACAAAAGATTTAATACACCTGGCCTGTTGTGAGCTATGCTGTCACCTAAGGTGTCTAACTATTGGACTATTGATACTACGTACTTGCCTAAACCTAAGTATGTGTTGAATTGGCGTTGAAATCTACAATTTACTGGTTTCAAAAACATTTTCATCAGTTCCATAGTCTCAGTAAAGTAACCTGTTGTTATATCTAGAGCTTTGACTCTTGCTATGCCGCGTACTATTAGACTACTTGAACGATCGAACCCGCAACGTCGCAAGATAGAAGACAGAAGACTAGTAAGTAGGAACTTTATTCTCCAAAACTGTCAAAATATAGTACAAAAATCTCTCGTATTTAAAGTTTTTTTGGCTGAAAGTAAATCATTTCGGACAGCCAATAGGCATATAAGGGGGGGCATTCTTATTCATCCAATAAAGAGGCTACACGTTGACATTCTAGAATGTTCCCCTAGTGGTGATTAAATGGAATGTCTCCGGCTCTTTCTGGGCTTCTTGAGTTTATCAACGAGCCATCCTTACATCTGTTAATCGATTTTTAATTATTTTCCATTGTGTAGACTATTAAGCAGTATATTTCTTCTTTGCAATTTTCTTTCTTTTTGTCAGAAAGGATTTTTAAATGACTATTTGACTTGTCTATTTTCCATTTCTTTGAAGGATATTTGGGAAGAACTATATCAGTATCAATTGCTTGGTGTTAATCCTAGTCTATGGGATATGCCTCGAATTATGTCACGTGTAATTAAGGATAGATTTGAAGCGGAACGGAATAGAACTATTGAATTACGCAAGTAATTTATTTGTCTATTTATTGTTATGAAAACTTATCATTCTAAACTTTGATATTATACGTCAAACAGGTTCAAATGTATGAAGAGTGTCAGTTCCTTCATGATTGTAGCTGTATTTATATCCAAAGTTTAACGCCGACTATTTCGAACCACCTAAGATCAAAATCTATTGAACTTCATCTATGTAATTAGTATGGGATAGTGTTAACTTACTATGTTATATCTACAAGCAAAACACACATATATTCTGGAACACTACTGGTCGAGTCAGAGCTTTTTGTCGAACTACCACTGGAATTGATAACTTCAAGTAGTGTTCGTCAGGGCTGTCAGCTTTCCATATTTTTATCTAACTTTGATCAGAAACACGTTCTAGAGATAAAAAAGTAGAAGTAGATGTATTAATTCTTGGTTTTTTCTTAGATCGTAAGTTTCCAAGTCACCTTATAAATTGTTTTTCATCCCACCTATACATATTTTCTTCTCACATTATGTCTTCAATGCCTAGTTTTTTCTATAAGTACTAATACTGTTACTACATCTGCTACTCTGGGATTCGACCTGACAATTTCATCTCACGATCTTAACGGGATGTGGAAACATTAACGAATATATGTGTGTTCCACGTTCTACGTTTTGTACGACTGACTAACTGAACTGCATCTGGAGCTTTTCTCAAGTTACTACCGGTCCTTAACCCAGGTGAAAGAGGGAGGATTAGGTATAAGGTTAGCAAACTTATCCCATAGACGAGAATTTCTCTAAAAATTGGCAACCAGGAAGGATCATTTAAAGCTTTTAGTCTCTACCCTTCAGAGTTGAAAGATCTTCATTTAAAAAAACTTATGACAATTCCTTCTTTGGGATTCATGAGGTTGATGCCTTTTCTGACAACTAGAGCAAAAATATGGAGTATCCGGACAATGTAGAAGATTAGCAGCACTATTCGTGGTTTCGTCAAATTGCTATATTAAATTTATTTATTTATTTAAACACATAAACATCGGCACAAGTAAACACCAAATACATAAAGGGAATTCATAAAGGGAACTAACTGCATGAAATACATATGTGTCACACTTCGTCATTCGATTTATGTTAGGGATGGAATACTTCCCGGGAGCCCAAATCGAAGCACGATAGTCGAGATAATAACAAAACACATTGTTCAGTTCCATCATAATCGTTTAAACTAATATTGTTTCAAACTGCTTAGAACAGGAAGTCCCTAAGCCCATCGCTAACATGATTAATTAGCGAAATTATAATTTATGAACTAAGCAATTAGATACAAGATGACAGGTCTTGGATTTTGGCGCGAAATGCGTTCATCCATTTGGCTAAATAGCATTTTGGCAATACAGCTGATATCAGTTCGTGATGAAAACCCTAAATCTAATTCCTAACCCTAACCATTAACTGTGAATCATAATTCTGATTCTTCACTCTGCTTTATAACTCTTATTTAGTCCTGGTTAGTATGTGAGCACTCTCAAGGTCACCTTAATGTCGCTGGAAGGTTGTCCATAAACTATAGTTTCACCGGTTAATTTTATAGAAACGATAACAATTTGATAAACAAGGCATGTTATTAAGATTTTCAATTAACAACCTCTTCCTCAAGATATACATATATCGTACATGTTCAAAGAAATATTTTCTTCAAACTTCAATTCACGTGTCAATCTAAGGTAGAAAACCATTGAAAAACCTGGAAGCACTGAATGATTGTTTCGTTCTAATATGAAAATCCTCGGGAGTTTACATCCATGATCCCACGCGCGGGACTCAAACCCAACACTCTTCGGTCACGCGCTCACTTCCAAAAAGTCCCTTACTAGGACAAAATGGCCGTTCAATACTTCCAGGTTTTCAATAGTTGCTTCAGTCAGTCAGTCACAACGTAGAACTTCGTACGTACATACATCAGTTTGAGTTGCCATACCACATCAACACAGAGATGCAGTTGTCATATCAAATCCTATAGTGGTAGAAGTAGTTACAGTATAATCAGTAATCATAAATATTAATGTTTGAAGACGTTATTCTAGGAGTATAGTCCAGTGAAATAAATTTGGAAAGAGAAAAAGATAGTGACATGAAGAATTAAGAAGATTGAAATTTGGTAGAAGACAAAGAGTGGATGCACCTACGCCATTGCAAACGATTTTGAGCCACGTCATTCAAGGTCTCTAACCATCGATTGCTATCATCTCGCGGATCCCAACCAGGTAGTCTACGCCTACAAACATGGCTCAGTCCAATTGTTAGTGACTTCATGGATTTGTGCCACGTTTTGGTCTGGTTGCCTCTCGCTTTCTCCCAACTTACTCTTACACCATAAAACATTGCACGTCGGGGCAGTCGATAGTTGGGCATACGTAACACGTGTCCCAACCATCTCAAATGATGAAGTTTCACTAATTCATCATTCAATTTGTCATCCTTACCTAGTACCTGTATCCTAACAACTGCATTACTTACTCGTTGGACCCAGGATATACGAGCAATGCGTCGAAGCTAAGAGTTGCTTAGATTAGATCGACTTATGAATTCAACTTTGAAAATACTACAATCTATCCAAAACGTCCTTTATATTGAAGATGTTTTTTCTTTTTTTTATTTTTAAACAATATAGAACACTTAATCAACTTATGAATGAAGCTATCGATGCAGGTATTCTTCATGTAAATGATTAAACTTATTTAAGTAGTATATTCATTTATTGATAATTTATTTCATTCCATACTTAGTTTGTTAACAAAAACAATATATATATTACTTATATTGTTATTCTAAGATAATTTTTTTAATATTTTCTATACTACTTATGAATTAGTAGTGATTATATTGTAAATGATTTTGAACAATCTGTTGATATTATACTTTGTTTGAACTCACTACTTGAACCCTTTCAGAAAAATAATAATGAACTGATAGACAAATGAGTTCCGAAACGGTTTATGTAGTATGATGATCGTGATATTATGACAAATTTTTTTCTTTTTGGATAGAGTTTTGTTCTCTGAGCTGGATGGTTTGGTCGTGGAGCTTTCATCATCCTTCTGACTGACATCATTATCACGAACTTCGGGAGAAATTTGGACATTTCACTTCTACCCGAAGTTTGTGCTGATAATGTCGTTTAGAAAGATGCTGAAAGCTCCACGATCAAACCATTCAGCTAATAGAACAAAATTCCATCAAAATCATCCATCTGAGCTATAAATTGTCTCCACTATTATGACAGAATGAATTGATACCTACCATTCTAATGATACTATTATCATATTGTGTTATATGAACATGTATGCCTTATGATTTGGTTTTTGGTTATATACTACTAACTATTTGTATTATTTTACTACTTAAATATGTGTAATCCATTTTCAACTTCTATTCATTGTAATATGTATATTTTGTAAATCTTTTTAATCGTAATTTACAATCTGCTATAAAAGTTGAGTGTATTGTATGTTTTAATGTTTTGTCAGAGTGATTGTGAAATGTTTAAATATCAGTCAATAACTGACGGGGGATAGTTTGGAGTATTGTTTAGTTTCACATTGCGGGTTGACTTTGAATAGACAACTATCAATAACTAGGAAGAATTACGTGACTGCTTAATAGTTCTTATCCACCACGAGATCGATGCATGTATAGTGAAAGCCAAAGCGGCTTATGCCAATCTGGGCCATCTTTGACGCCTTCATGATGTTAGTCTGGCTGTAAAAGGTCGGATGTACAACGGGTTGATGAGAGCAGTTTTACTCTATGCTTGTGAAACCTGGCCTCTCTGAGTTGAGGTTGTTGGACGACTCTCTGTGTTCGATCACTGTCGTCTCCGAAGGATTGCTGACATCCAGTGGCAACACCATGTTAGTAATGCAAAGGTTCAGAATCGTGTGTTCGGGCGCAGTGACGATAATCCAATTGGTGTCACCATCTCGAAACATCGACTTCGTTGGCTTGGACATGTTCTACGAATGTCGTCCCAGAGAAGATAATCTTCGTCTTCTTATTACACTATCGAAATTTATCAAAGGGACTAAGTGCTTTAAATTTCAATGATTATTCGTCTAGTCAGTATAGAAAAGTACAGGTTTGTTGACCGAGATTTCAGAGATTAGAGAAGTTCTTCGTTGAAAACCACAAACATGGTCCTTCAATCAAATGTAACATAGTGCTTCTCTCAATGTTCTGATATCACTGTATTTTGACGGGCAGTGATTAAAAGTGTCGACCTATATGTTAGAAAATAAACTCAGTTCAGAATGCAACAGACATCTACAGATGACGGATGAACGTGACACCATATCGTACAAATTCATTGAAGACAATCATTGGAGTTAAATGTGAACGTCAGTCATTGTAGAAATGAAGACTGTCACAATGTGATATGGTTAGCAAAGTAAGCTAAACAATTAGAAAGCATTACCTAACTTTGAGTAACATCGAGTTCGATAGGAATGAGGGAATTTTAAATCAATAATTTAGCTGGTTGGCTGATTAATTTGAAATTTTGATGTCTACTACTTTATGATTTGAATGATATTACTGAATAGTGTTTTGTATATTACTTACACCTGTTGCTCCTCCTGGAGGAGCATAGGCCTCTCACCAGCATTTTCCATCCAACACTGTCCTAGGCAATCCTACTTCATGATCTGAATGATATTAATGGATAGTGTTTTGTATAGGTCGATCGAAAATTCTGATGAATTTCCTATCCTTAACCAAAAGTCCCAATCACCACTTTTGACAATTTATATCCTTGTCAAACGTCACGTAACGAAATCCCGATCACAACATCGACTTCTTATTCTTATACCTGACCTAACCAATGACAGGCCAACCAATACCAGTAGCCTTGAGTTAATTCTTGTTCTTCATTGGCCCTCGATATAGTAACTTCTCGCCTCACCTTGGTTTATCTAATCTTTCAGTGCAGAACACGATATCAACCTCCGCTATATTAACAATATTTTTCAAAAAAACACAATTTATATACAAGTAGACCAGACTGATTCTCACCATAATATAAAAAAACGGAAGCCATACAAGATCAAGCCAAAAGTGACTATTAGTATGGGATTCTGTAACCAATAATTTGTGAATAAGTAAAGAATGGTTAGCAGTATAATGATAGTTAGTGGGTCTACTTACACTTATTTCCTGGATCTTTTCAATTTCCTTATCGAATTCGGTTAATATGTTTAGTAGTATAACCGACTTTATATTAAGTCTCCCATTCTTATCCAGTCGTCATTTCTCCGACTTCTACTTTATAAGTGACCTTCCTTTTCGGAGTATTACAGTTCCAGGTTTTCGTTAATCCATGGAAATCTCTTGTCATTACCATTATCCTTAGTCATTAAAGGTTGATTTAATGGGTGTCGTAATATATCCATATAAGATACCAATATACATTAATATCCAATGATTCCCAGAAATCAACTCAGCGTCGTAACATCTGTTAGTCTGGGTATGTCATTGATATCATTGATACTATCTAGATCTGGGTGATGACCATAATTAATTCTTGAGCAGTAGAACTAACAACTATATGTCATCCAGATAAACTTACATCTTTCAGGTTAGATATCAAAGTATCCATTACTTGCTAGAAATGAGATTCACATCTTGTCGAATGATTTTATATTCTCAATTTTACAATTTCCCAACTTGTTTTAGAACAGTTTTGTATATTTCCTCAAAATGTATTTTACCGTTATGGCCTTATTAGTTACATAAACATTACCACCAGCACCAACATCAACACTATGACAAATTATACACATACACTACTTTCAACAACTAACAATCCCCTTCATCATTAAATCGGTCAGTCAGTATAAAATAGGTGCATAGTGCTCTCTGCTTAACCAATACTATCTGTTTAGACTAATATGTGAGAATAGGAAAGAGAAAATGATTGCTAATGGTATTCGACAGATTGGTGACACAATTTTCTTATGTTTTTCGACAGACTATGCTAATTCAGGATTACAAATGTATCTATCTACCTGAATCTGTCAATAAACAGATACATGCGAATTGAAGTATTTGTTCAACAGGAACAAACAAAACACTCATTGTTTGTACGTACTTATACTTCCCAAACTAAACATTTACTACTGATCATTTTGTATACATACCTTAACAATTCAACGTATCCTTCATTTTCTAGTAATGGAAATGTTATGAGCGTCGTTTTGTAATCCACTAGACTGATCGGCTCTCTAATTACAAGTCAGATATAATATTGTTTCTCATTCAATCAAAAGTTACGAACCAACCCAAACCCGATCCGTGAAGTTATGTTGACGCTCGAGGCTCTCCAAACGATAGTTGTATAATCGACCAACAATTGACACCGTTACTCATTGTCACTAGCTTCTTAGTGATATTGAAAGATATATTTTATTCCATCATCTATGATGGATCCATAAACCCAACCCTGTCTCTCTAGGTCATCAGCAAGTGTTAGCGAGATATAAATCGAATTGAAGTATACTACTTGCAGGATTGTGTTTAGGCATACTGATTGGCTACTCCCTAACCAATCAGGGATAGTAGATACTTGGAGAATTTAATAGTTTCGACTTATCGTAGAGAATTCTAACTCGAGAGTTTGCAAGGAAATGGTTGAAATTATTAAACTTGAGACAAACACACTGGCAGGTTTACGAAGATATAGTTAGTCAAACAATTGGAACATTGTTTCACGCTATTTGTAGAGTCATGTTTCACCATTGGATGACTTGAAAGATCTGGTTGGTGACCAGTAGGTTACTTTCAGTGTTCAGTAGGTAGATTTTATCTAATTTTTTGAGATGTATTATTGCTTAGTATGTTGTAGTAATAGTTTGTTTAACGAATACAGGATGAGGTTTTTATGGTTTACCGCCCACCCGGAGGCGGTAACCACTTTGCATCCAAATGCCCTGGTATGGCCGAGAGTGGGGAGAGTCTGCTCTCCCTCTCCAAATAATAAGTAGACAGACATGAGAAGAATGAACGAAAATTGGATAGAAGTAGAAAGGAAGGCCCATGACAGAGTGGTTTGGAGAATGCTAGTCGGCGGCCTATGCTTCATTGGGAGTAATAGGAGTAAGTAAGTAAGTAACATTGGATATCTCTACATGTAAAATACATTACAATTGTGCAACAAACGATATCGACAAATGAAAATTTCCGTATTGATATTTAACTGAATATTTAAACAATCATTGTAAATCAATATTTTTGTTCCACTCCAACCAAGTAAAGGTCATATTACTCAACTTTTGCAATCAGTGGTCACTAGTATTAGGGTTTTCCTAATTAAGAAGTTTGGATGTTTACTCATGCTTCCGACAAACAGTCAGTCACAACGTAGAACTTCGTACGTATGTACATCAGTTTGAGTTGCCATACCACATTAGCACAGAGATGCAGTTATCGAGTCAAATCCCATAGTGGTAGAAGTAGTAAGATTATAAGCATTATGTGAAGGATTGGGGTTTGAAGATGTTATTCAAGGAGTATAATCCAGTGAAATAAATTTGGAAGGAGAAAATACATAGACATAAAGAATTCAGAATATTAGAATTTGGGAGAAGACAAAGAGTGGATGCACCTTCGTCATTGCAAACGGTTTTAAGCCATGTCATTCAAGGTCTCTAATCATCGATTGCTATCATCTCGCGAGTCCCAACCAGGTAGTCTACACCTACCAGCATGGCTCAGTCTAATTGATAAACACTCAAAAATATCATGAATTTCATTTCAGAGAACTTAAACATTAGTTTTTGTTACTTAGGCTATTTTCGGTTAGTGCTTTTTTATTAAGGTTCTCTTCCAGGGGATGAGGTTTCTAAACCTATGCACAACCCTCCTCATTTGCCCGGTCTCGTGATCGATAATAATTCTACAAGTGCTACATACGGAGTCATAATCTTCAATGCGAACGTCAAGACAGTCCTACTGTACGGAGCTGAAACCACAACCATCATCAAAAGTGTACAAGTATTTATGTATGATTGTCTACGTAAAAGTTTTTAGATAGATTAACCGGATATCATCAGTAACAACCTATAATGGAAGAGAACAAACCAACTTTCAGCTAAAGAGGAAATTAGGAAAAGGCGATGAAAATCGATAGTACATGCATTTTGGAAATCATCAAACTGCATCACGAGGCAAGTGCAAACTTGTATTCATGAAGGGAAACGGAAAAGAGGAAGGCCAAAGAACACAATACATTGAGAATTGGAAGCAGACAAGAAAAGGATGATTAGTAACTGGAAAGGATTGTTCAGGACAGAGTTCGATGATGAATCATGGTGGGCGGCTCATGCTCATCTACGAGGCATAACAAGCGTAAGTAAGTAAAGTATTTCTATTTATTCTTGATATACAAATGATTTTAATAAACAATTATTCATTAAATTGATTGAGTGTAATCAAGATTTTGATATGACAAAATAAAAAACAGTTGTAATAACCACTGACCACATTGTGATCCATTTTTTTGGACGACTACTTGATTCTAGGAAGGAAGAAAATTCAAAGAATGAAAGATTAATTTTTCAAGGGTTATCTTCAATTATTTCAGGAAAATAATGACTAAAAGAACATATACTATATCTGGGGTCTGTCCCACTACGTGGTAGTGCAGTAGAGTTATGGTTGTCGGTGGCTGGCTGCTGGATTGGGCGCGCCCACGTCGACTGGATGAGAGAGTTTATAAGACCTATTCATTCGACTACAATGACAGTGACTTGACATTAACTTGATAAATTCTTTTTTTCCTCCGCATTGCTCTCTCACTTACAAGCACAACACATTCGCTTTGACCTTAACTTTATTACACTCATTCCAATCACTATCCCAATACAACACTTACATCTAAATTATTTCCACTCTTGTCCATCAAGTTAGTCATTTAATCAGTCCACGCCATTTTCAATTCGGTTACGCACTCTACTCCACTGAATCAAACACTCGCTCGTTCGTTTCATGAAGTCGTCACATCCTGCTTATCCCTCCACTCTACGATGACTACTTTCTCAACCATATCACACAGAAGGTAAGGAGTTGATCGGTCAACTGGAAGCCGTGATATACCTTTTATATTATGTCTACCAAGTCTATCATATCATTATCACCAATAAGTTGACTTTGAATGGTTATTTTAGAAAAGGAATGAATATGCCCTGAAAAAGGTGTATCAGTCTATTGATTAGATTTGAACCACAGCCCTGGTACGGCCGAAAGTGGGGAGAGTCACCTCTCTCTCTCGAAATGCTCTCATATGGCCACGCGAATATATAGCCTCTAACAGGAAAGTCCTACTCACTGCCTTCTCGTTGCGGGTGTGTTGTTCATAAAAGTGAGAGGACGAAAAGCGAATGTCCGGCGCCTTAACCGGGACGGTGGATACGGAGGTCCCATATAGGGGATTTGGAAAACCCTGATTCCAAACCAATGGTGTAACATGGGCTCCAGTATCCTGAAGGAACGAATGGCGTATGAACCTGCTGTTGGTCACCGGCTACCATGGGACTGCATCTCTTTACGATGCTCCACTGTCTTGTGTACTAGACCTTTAGGTCAAAGGCTCGAGGTGTGGCCCCCTACGAAAACCACCTGCTTCAGTTTGGGCACCTGGTCAGTATGACAGCCCTCACACAAATTAAATGAGATTTGTGAGGCGCATATTTATCTGGTGCTTCCTTGTACCAATATTTATATGTTTAAATAAATAAATAAATAATAAACAGTTGTACAAGCTAGTCGACCTAAATGTGGAACGTGAAAGTTGCCTGTCGAGTGAATGGTTACTATAGTGGTGGATGGTGGTGATAAATCAGTAAATATTTGATAAACATATTTCATAGTTGAAAGCGTGAGTCACCAAGGAAACCTAGAAGCACTGGACGGCCGTTTCGTCGTATTGCGGGACTCCTCAGCAATGCGCATCCATGACCTCGCCCCGCGAGATTCGAACCCAAGACCTACCAGTCTCGTGCCAGAGCACTTGACTGATAGATCATCTAGCCGGCATCCGATGGTGTTTATTTCCAACACCAACCAACTATGAAAATACTGAATCTCATACTGAATCGACATAAATTTAGCTAATTAAGATATACTACTTATTATGAGTACGTAGTATAAGTCTGTTTCCGATAATACATATAAAGAAAATAATTCCATTATTCGAATCGATTACCCATAAGTAATAAATTGATTTTGTGAAGTCAAACTTTGATTCTCATGAGTTGTGTTTAGCTCTCGTTATTTCACAAATGCCCAACCTCACCTTTTCATGATATGGATACTTGTAAATATATTCACCAGACTTTGCTTACTTACTTACTTACTTCTGTTACTGCCAATGGAGCATAGGCCGCCGACTAGCATTCTCCAACCCACTCTGTCATGGGCCTTCCTTTCTACTTCTATCCAATTTTCGTTCATTCTTCTCATGTCTGTCTCTATTTCTCGGTGTGATTTGTTCTTTGGTCTTACTTTTCTCTTCTGGCATTCAGAACTCCATGTGAAAGCTTGTCTTGTGACTCAGTTGGGTGCTTTCCTCAATTTGTGTCTTATCCACTTCCAATACTTCCTCCTGATTTCTTCGTCCACTGTAATCTATTTTGTTCTCTCCCACAGCAGAATATTTCTGATAGTGTCTGACCAATGGATCCGAAGTATTTTACCTTCAGGATTCCATGTGAGGGTCTATTGAATTGTTTTACATGTCAACAGGACACTCGTGAGATGTTGAACAATCAAATGTTTGTATATTACCATCAACGTTTAAAAATACACTGTATCATAGGTTTGATTAAACAATCGGATAATAAACAATTGCTCATCAATCAACACTTTCAAATCATCCAATAATGAATGAAATGTTAATCAATTAATTATGCAATAATGATATACCATTTGTTGAGACCGATTATCATTAAATAGAAAGGAAAAGAGATTGGAAACTTCATTTAGTTGGTTATGGAACACTTACCAGAATCATTCCAGACTAAATATTAACATTATACAGTTTGTCATGATTACGATTATTTAAAATTAATAAACTGTCATGTTTTCAAATTTACATTATGGACTGATTTTAGTTAAACAGCGGTTGAAGTATGGGAACTGTAGTTGACAAGAACACTAGTGGGGAAAATCAGATGTATTCGACCCTGAATATCTCACTAAAATCTGACAACCATACAGTATAATAGTTAATTTGCAAACTATCAATCAATTGTTTCAATCTTGACTTTTCCTTCCACATATAGCAGTCTATCGTCTCTGATTATTATTGTTCATGCATTTTCATACCAATTACGTTTCATTTCCGTTCTTTCCCTGCCTGACCATTGTCATATACTACTTATGTGGGTATCAGCAACCCACCCCACAGAAGTACTGGATAACGTTTTTTTTTACCGTAATATAGGGTGCCTCGGATAGTTGCATCTCCACGCACCTTTGATCTGTTAGCAAACACTTTACGTCAAGACCATTGAACAAGTATATATTGCTGTATTATGAATAACTTCTGTCAATTTGTGATATCAGGCAACCACCTGCATCACAGTCGACAAGATTGAACATTCACTAGAACTCCAAGAATCACTTCATGTCGTTAATTTCTTATTTACATGTTAGATTAAGTAATTGATAAATGTTTAAATAGAGAATTCCTAAATTTTGCAATCAATATGTTTGTTAAGTTAGCAAATCTATTAGTAATTTGTTATTGCTCCCAAATGCTCTGGTACGGCCCGTAGTGGGGAGAGTCAACTCTCCCTCTCTAAATGCTCTCACATGACCATATGCATACAACTACTGATAAGGAGGTCCTACTCACTACCTTCTCATGGCATTACTGCTGTTGAATATCCATTGCCTTAACCGGGTCAGTGGATACGGAGGTCCCATATAGGGGAGTTGGAAAACCCTGATTCCAAACCAATGACGCATATGGGCTCTATGATCCTGAGAGAACAAATGACGTATGAACTTATTGTTGGTCAACGGCTATTATGAGAGTATATCTCCTTACGTTACTCCAGTGCTTTGTGGATTAGACCAATTAGTTGAACGCTCGGGATGTGGCTCACTAATAAAACTATCCGTTCGGTCTTGGCACCCGAGCAGTATCACCGCCTACACACAAATATTATTGTAGTATTATTATTCAGAAAAATGTTTTCGTTGAAACGTCTTTATCTTGTTTAAGTATATTTCATGATGGTACTATTTAGACTACGAATATTGATAACGAAAAAAGATATGACAGATTGTTTGTAATTAGTCGATGATAAAAATAAACAACTTACAAATCAAGATAGTTGGTGAATCTAAAAAAAGTAAATCAAATCACATCATGTTTCAATTATTGAAATGTACTAACTTTCTTGAAAGTGATTTTATCTACGTAACGTAAGGAGTGAAAATGTTTTTCACAATACCTTACCAGTCTATTCGATTGTTTTTAATGCTTGTGGGAACATTCAGTTATTAGTTGTATGAAAGAAATTGACAGAAAGACCTGTTCCATTCAGATCTTGAGTCATTTGGTACATATCATTATGGTGTGTCTGAACTATAAATGAAATAGATACTCTTATGACAGAATTATTGGTTAAATAGGTTAATTAACTTTGTTAGCTCTCATCTAATATAAATGAAGTAAGAACGATTAAGGTGATTGAAGGTAGTCGTCAGGGAATTCTAGGCGTAAGTTTCGTGCTTTTTGGTATTTGTCTGTGAGGGTATATCTAGATCTAATGTTTTTTGTTGGATACCTTCAACCACCTTATACTTCAGCATAGTGCACTTAATATTCAGTTACTTAGGTTAGTGATCAAATTACAACGTAATGGATACGATCCGAACAACACTAAGAAGATATTAACATACATAACACTCCTCAGTGACCGATCAATTAGGATAGTGATGTTTTCATATTCAGCCCTGTGTAATACTAACTTAAAGCTTTTATCAAGCACCTGTTTAACTACTAAGAAAATCAATGAAATCGGGATCGTAGTTGGATTTCTGTCTGAACTAGTTATGTCTCACTTTATTATTGTGGTACAATAAAATTTTTCAGAAGAGATTTTGTGGAGAATTTAGTATTTTCATAATTGAAATCATGAGTCAATTAAAGCTAGACTACCATGGAAAACCTGGAAGCACTGGACGGCCGTTTCGCCCTATTGTATTACTTCTCAGCAGTGTGCATCCACGATCCCGCACTCTCGAGTTTCGAACCCAGGACCTACCGGTCTCGTGCCAGAGCACTTGACCGATAGACCAAGTCTGTTGTAGAGATATCAACTCACTGAAGACAATTGGTGAACGGTTGCTCAAAATCGTGGATTGGTTGAAGTTAGACATTAACAAAGTTGAATGCCGGCCGGCTCAGTGGTCTATCGGTCAAATGCTCTGGCGCGAGACAGGTAGGTCCTGTGCTCGATTCTCGTGAGGCAGTATCGTGGATTCGCACTGCTGAGGAATCCCGTAATAGGACGAAACGGCCGTCCAGTGCTTCCAGACTTTCCATGGTGGTTCAGCTTCAATCGACTCATGATTTCAACTAGGAAAATAGAATTTTTTTCAAAAGTAATTCTTGATATTACTCACCAGTAGTCCTCATTTTTGTTTGTGTTGAAGTAACTAGAATGATTACATAATTTAGTAAAAACTATAACATAGCTTCATAATCATATTGATTAAGTATTATGGATAACTGGGGTCAACTAAGCTTATTAATAAACCTTTCAATGTTCTATAAGTATGTTGTATTAAACATTTCTGATCATTGTTCTATTAATTTATCTAGTTAACGTTATTTTAGGGAGTTAGTTTTCTACGGGATAGGGTCGCTAACCTCATGCCCAACCCTCATTCTTTATCTGAGCTTTGGACCGTCAGTAGCCCTCGGAGGAGCTACAGGTGGAGTTTTTCTATTAATTTAGTATGTGAATATTGTATCCAGCATGTTTGATTGTACTATACTAATTAGCTTGTAGTAGATAGTTGTGGACAATTCAAAGGGTTTGTGTTGCAAAGTTTGGTGAGAATTATACTGAAATATGAAGGATGATGTACTCACTAAATGAATAAAAAAATCTAGACTATCATGTTCTTAGGAGAATATATTATGTGAGTTTCTATATAGTCAATAAAATTTTATGCTACAGAACTTCAACACAACTCAAATCAAAAACACATGCTTAGCCTGACTAGAGCGTAAGTTTGTTTTCTTCTTCAATAACCGACAACAATCATACTAATAACAAAGGTAGGGATAGACATCATTCATCTAGTGCCCCCAAATGCCCTGGTACGGTCGAGAGTGGGGAAAGTCACCTCTCTCTCTCAAAATGCTCTCATATGGCCACGCGAATATATAGCCTCTGCTAGGGAAGTCCTACTCACTGCCTTTTCCTGGCGGGGTGTTGTTCACAAAAGTGAGAGGACGAAAAGCGAATGTCCGGCGCCTTAACCGGGTTGGTGGATGTGGAGGATCCACCTAGGGAATGTGGAAAATCCTGATTCCAAACCAATGGTGTAACATGGGCTCCAGTATCCTGAAGGAACGAATGGCGTATGAACCTGCTGTTGGTCACCGGCTACCATGGGACTGCATCTCTTTACGATGCTCCACTGTCTTGTGTACTAGACCTTTAGGTCAAAGGCTCGAGGTGTGGCCCCCTACGAAAACCACCTGCTTCAGTTTGGCACCTGGTCAGTATGGCAGCCCTCACACAAATTAAATGAGATTTGTGAGGCGCATATTTATCTGGTGCTTCCTTGTACCAATATTTATGTGTTTAAATAAAAAATAAAAAATGAATAAAATCTTTCATCCAGTATTAATCAGACTATCTACAAGTTTGATTAAACAAATGACCAATCATTATCTTTTTCGTTCACATATCACTAATGAAATGTGGTATGCTTCATCTTATTTCACGTCAAAGAAGAAGAGGAAGACTAAAGGAAAATTACGCCGAGAAATGGAGAGAGACATGAGAAGAATGAACGAAAGTTGGATAGAACTAGAAAAGAAGGCTCAGGACAGAGTGAATTAGAGAATGCTGGTCGGTGGCCTATGCTCCATTGGCAGTAACAGGCGTAAGTAAGTAAATAAGTCATCTTATTTCTAACTCGTTACTTGGATATACTTCTATCCCGATATTGATGTTCACTCTGTATTTCGAACTTAATACCTTTCCTTGAAAATAATATGTTATCCATTTATTTACTGGAGTTCAGATAGCCACTTACTAGGGCAATGAAAATGTCAATATGGTAAAATAAACTTACTTCGATCAGAAGTTGACGTAGGAGCTGAGAAAAAGACGTTATTTTGGATGATGAAGTTTAACCGAATTCATGTTTTGAAGGTTTCTCACTCGTCGATTATTTTCTTTGATTAAAATATGGTCTCGTTTTATGAATAACAATTTTATCTCATGATCAGAATGGGGTTTTTGTGGAGATTTAGTATTTTCATAGTTGAACGTGTGAGTCAATTGAAAGCTAGACCACCAGGTAAAACCTGGAAGACTGGTAGGTCCTGTGTTCGAATCTCGCTAGGCGAGGTCGTGGGTACGCACTGCTGAGGAGTCCCGAAATAGGACAAAGCGGCCGTCCAATGCTTCCAGGTTTTCCCTGGTTGTCTAGCTTCAATTGACTCACGCTTTTAACAATGAAAATTTTTATATCAGTCAAACTCCTAAGTACAGATAATCAATAACGTTGTGGTATGAGTTGCTTACATCCACATCAGTAGTATATACGATGGTCAGGCATTGAATGTACTTCGATAGAACATCGATAAGCAGAGAACAGGAACGGGACGTAATTGGTATGAAAATGCATGAACAATAATAATCGGAGACGACAGACTGATATTTGCGGAAGTAACAGTTAAGATTGAGACAATTGAATGTTATTTTGCAAATTAACTATTTACTGTATGGTCAGATTTTAATGAGATAGTCTGTAATTTTGTGCTCAAATACATTCGATTGTCCCCAGTCGTGTTCTTGTTCACTACAATGTTTCCAATGCACCTGAATATCTTATGCAGTGAACAAGTAAACTACTATCAATACAGCTTAGTAATAGGATTTTGTCAGGGTATATATTACAAACAGCATACTCAAATTAGGGTAGGATAGATGAAATATGACAAGGGGTGGAATCTAGAACGTACATTTCATCCTATTTGTGTGTCTTCAACTTATTCTACATGTATAACAGTATTGATAGTCACACTATGATTCAAACTAAATACCTTATTGCGTTTTCAATTTAGTCAATGATTCCAAATAGCCTTTCATTTAAGTAAACGGTTGGATTTTTATATTATTAGTTGGGTTTGATTTATCCTATTATTGATTTTAAGATGAGAAATGTTGACTGAAACAATTTATCAAATTATATTGATCAAGTTGGAATGTGACCACTAGTCTAAGTGACTCAACATCTAATAATCTATGTAAACATCTAACCTGGTTGGATGTACTCAACAGGAAACCTTAGATCTAGATTCCCTCAAGATTATAAGAACACCTTGATGAAGAGTACCAAATAACATGAAATCGAGGTCCAGGGTTTCCTGTCGACTACCTCTGACTATCACCACCAGCTTTGAGAGGTAACAGTGTGATGTGGTCTACTTATTTCCATATAAGTAGTATATGGTGTGGGTCAGACATAGAATGTATTTTGGCAGAAGACCGATGAGAAAAGAACTGAAACTGTTATATCCCCTGGTGAATCATGAATGGTAAATCTGAGGTCTATTATGGACAAAGGTAATATGCCTAATTCCTATTGTATAGTTGTTAAATAAGTGACCTAACTGTATTCGTGTTCCTCTTACCGTAACCTTATTTTGACCTTTGAACTATTATTATTGATTACTTTCCCCCTATCCATAGCCACATTGGCCAATTACTGTACAAATGTTATTTTTCTATTTTTTGGTATAATTGGGTCTGTTTGGTTAGTATATATAACCCAGTGTGCTTGTGAATAAGGATTCATATTGCTGAGGCTGTTATTTGTGTTCTGGACTTAACGGCTGGGCTAGGCAGATAGGAAGGACCGAATAGCACCCAAGACTGCTCGTACGTATTTTCGGTATCATTGCACGTCCATATCATTTACGAGTTTGTATAAATCATAACAGAAACGAAGCGCAATCGGTAGAAAATTGCATGAACAATGGAATTAGAGAAGAAACATTGAAGATCGAGACTATTGGTTGTTAATTTGCAAATTGACTGTCCATTGTATGGTTATCAGAATTTGCTGATATAGTCTGTAATTTTTGCTTAAGTACATTTGATTGTCCCCCAGTCGTGTTTTGTTCACTACAATAGCAATAACTAAACGGAAATAAGATATAAATTTTTTAGCTAATCAAGTAGTTTGTCTAATATCGTCGTCGTTCTGTATTTACAGCTGTTAGTAAACCGGTAAGTGAGTATAATAGAAGCTCAAAGAAATTCTAAAGTACAGAGAATGCTTAGTTGAATTCATAAAGGAAACTCCATTCATTTTCTTATTTGTTTCAGTGTAATAATATTAAATGGTTGAAATGATACTTACATGTAACGGGAGACGTAGCTATATAAGCAACAGTAAATATATATTTATATAGTTAAGATCATGAGTCAATTGAAGCTAGACCATCGTGGAAAACCTAGGAGCACTGGATGGCCGTTTCGTCCTATTGTGGGACTCCTCAGCAGTACGCATCCACGATCCCGCCTCGCGGGATATATATATATAACCAGAAGACTGTTTTATTGAAGAATGAAATACCATTGTAACAGTGAGCATTCACAATTTCACATCAAATCGAATCTAATACCTCCAGATCACATTGACTGAGTAACAGCTTTAGACTGCTGAGTTTAAACCTACAACTTCAATACCAGTCACTTCATGATATATCTCAATAAGTATGTAAACATATGGTTAGAAGCTTGTTAATCTAAAGCTTAAGTATTCACTGTGAGACTTGAAAGTAATGAGTTCTATCTATGGGGGTGTTGTGAATGGACCTTACTGATGAGTCTCACGCTAATACGAAACGGCTTTCCTATGGTCTTTAGTTTTCATCAATTATTTAACTAAGGTTAGCCTATGATGGTAAGCCAAATAGCTTTTGGAAACTTCTCCAACAACTCAAAAGTTCCCTATTTCATTAGAGTGTATTGTCAGTCACTATATTGAACCCATATAGCTTATTCTAGTTTCAGGACTGGCCAATTGACTATTATTATTATCGTCATTATTATTAGTGACTTAATAATAATCCTTCTCGAGTTACATTTTGACCTTGTTAATTATCGGCTTATTAACCTTTACTGTTTCTATATCATCATATGTACGTGTTTTGCTCACCCTATTCATCACATGCCCGTAACATATCGATTCATACTTGGTGAAATCGAGTTGGCTTACATGTATTATCCATCAGGTGTCATTTAGTTTCTCTCTCTTCTTCTCGCTTCCTTCGCTCCATCTCTCCGATTGTCTATTTTGATCAACGATTATATGAAATATACGTATTCGAACTACATTCTCATAGTTGACTTACATAATTCCCTTATACACTAATTCTAGTTAAGTGGATGTTGCTATGCGAGGATGGTTAGAATGTATGTTTCGACAGTAATCATTCGATAACAATCATTTATGCGATCTAATTGAAGTCAAATAAATGAAGCTTATTTTAGTGAACAAACTCACTTGATTTATTTTCATTGGGTTCTATAGATTAATAATAAAAATTATCAGCATGTGGTTGTGAGGATTGCTAAGTTTTTCTGACTGAGATTATGAATCGGTTGATGTAAGATCACCATTGAAGACCTGGAAACACTGGATAGGCGTTTCATCCCAGGGTGGGATTTCTCAGCGGTTGAGCGTTCGTGTGCGAGACCGTAGGCCTTGGGTTCGAATCCTCATTGAAGTGTTGTGGATACGCAGTGCTGAGGAGTTCCATACTAGGACGAAATGACCGTCTGATGCTTCCAGGTTTTTCAAGGTGGTCTAACAGTAGTTGATCATGATCTCAATAAAAAAAATAGGATTTATAATTTCATTTCTTATTTTAATCTGATTAAAAGTTCCAGTGGTAGTTCAACTGGAAAACAAGTTAGATTTCTCAAGAACGAACTGGAGGTTTTGTGGTTATTGGACGGAATTAATAATGCATCATTTCATCGTTAGTGAGATTATGATTGCACAATATATAATAGAAATGATAGGTTACGCTTTAAGTATTGTTACCGTGGTTATTAGAATCTTAGGTTTTGATAATGAGGGATCATCGCTCTTCTACATGGAAACTCTTTAACTACCAGAAATGAAGTCTAAATGGTTTAAATTATTTTCTTTCGCAAATGTTTTTGTAGAAGAATACTTTCTTGTGAGAAAGAGTTATTAACCCTACCAACAACTTTACCCATTTAATTGACCTTACGACCAATAGTATCCCTAGAGGAATGTACGCTGAGTTTTTTTAATTTATTAACATGTATTAGAATAAGCATATAGAAGCATTATTGATTTGTACGGTAATACAATACGCTATACATAATATATGGGAAACATTATTGAAATCAAACTAAATTTTCCTGTTTTTTGAGTCAGTATCAGTGTCTGCAGTAGGTATCAACATACACAAAGGAAAAAGTAAAACTCCCGGATACAACACAACGTGCATCAAACGAATCACACTTGAGGGAGAAGCTTTGGAGGATGTGAAAACCTTTACATATCTAGGCAGCATCATTGGTAGACACGGTGGATCTGATGCAGATGTCAGGGCGCGGATAGGCAAAACAAGAGCAGCATATTTACAAATGAAAAAAACAACTGGAACGCAAAATAACTGTCTGTCAATCAACATCAAAGTCGGAATTTTCCAAACAAATGTCAAGACTGTTCTACTGTATGGCGTGGAAACCTGGTGTTACGTCTGGCCGATTGTGAACGCTATATTCGCTTCCCTAAGCTAGTTCCGTACCCTCGAGCTAGAACTATACACCGACTTGAAGACCAGAGAAAAGGCACAAATTGTGTGGGAAGCAATTTACTACAGGGTTCCTTTATGTACAGAAAATATAGGGATTTTATAGTAACTTAGGAGTCCTTGAGTTTTACCGAAAATTCTAGAATACTGCTAAACATAGTAGCAGTGCATTAATCAGCCAATCAGGATCTCCACATGTGACTTCTCCATTTTCGTTATTTTGGTAATATAACTTCACATAACTTCTAATTAATCGCTGATTGGTTGAAATGCTCCTTGATGACCCCTGAGCTTGTCATGTCGCTTGCGAGAAAATTACAGGTTCATCCCAACACCTGGAGAACTACGAAACTGTTCATGCATAAGATACAAGTGTTTATTAACAGTTGTCTACGCAAAATACTTCGGATCTTTCGACCAGACACCATCAGCAACATTCTACTGTGGCAGTGAATAAACCAGATTCCGGTGAAGGAAGAAGCACTAGAAGTTGGTATGGTATACATGGAATCCTGAAGGTCAAAGGAGAAGAGGAAGACCAAAGAACACATTATACTGATAAATGGAGACAGACATGAGAAGAAAGAACAAAATTGGATAGAACTAGAAAAGAAGGCCTAGGACAAAGTGGGTTGGAGAATGCTGGTCGGCGGTCTATGCTCCATTGGGAGTAACAGGCGTAAGTAAGTAAGTAAATATTTTTAAAAAATATTTGAAGAAAATGATGTATAAATGTTTCTAAATGATATTGAAATATTAATATGATATTCAATCTGTTCAATAACAATAGGAGGGTATACCTTTAATAATATTATCGATTATTCTTAATACACTTGTAACATAATCATTTGAATCATCCATAAAAGTCTTTAACTGCCTCCATTAGTCACAGCTTCTCACTAAAATTCCATGATATCTGATATGTCTGAAGCGTTACGAATTCACTGGTAACGAACGGAACAAAGACACGTGACCAGAGACCGATAACTAGCTATACTGACGCGACCCAGACCCAGCTAACTAGAGTTAGAAGTCCAAGTTGGAGCGGGGAAGTTATATTCGGTAGCAGCCAGAAGCACAGTAATCAAATAAGGGAAAAAGTCAAGCGTATTTATACAGCAACAATTTGTCCTTGGGCATCATTAGTAAATAGCACACATAAAGAAACAATGGACCAATAGCGTTTAAGATAGTTTACAAGTGGGAAATATGACGTGAAGGTAAAAGAGCGCTTTCTGGCGCGAAAACAGCTAAATTCAAATTTTCAAAATAAAATTACAAGATTAAGCCATTTACCAAGCAAGTCCTAGGGATTTAACATCCCTAACAATATCTATCTTCAACTTAAATTCAACTTAGTATTGTTTGTTTGAATCTTCCCATCGATTTGTTAGGACTGCAACTGGTCAGTCTCTAATTGGCATATGTGCATACTGTGCGTATTGCCTCGATATAGCCTTAATTCACAAGCATGGTTAGCAGAGATGGATAGTGGCTAGCAGTGGAATCCAGGACGCGCGTTTCGTCCTATTTGGGACTCGTCAGCTGGATGTACCTGCATCTCAGAGTTGATGTTCACTCTGGGACTCGAACCCAGTACCCTCGCTTCAAACGCCATCACGTTATCCACTCGGCCACTGAGTCCTGATAGCCACTTGCTTGTGCGATGGGGTGAAGTTTAAATTCAACTTAGTATTGTTTGTTTGAATCTTCCCATCGATTTGTTAGAACTGCAACTGGTCAGTCTCTAATTGGCATATGTGCATACTGTGCGTATTGCCTCGATATAGCCTTAATTCACAAGCAGGTACATCCAGCTGACGAGTCCCAAATAGGACGAAACGCGCCTTGTCCTGGATTCCACTGCTAGCCACTATCCATCTCTGCTATCTTCAACTTAGTTATTAATGAGCACATAATAATTATCAGTATAGAATTGTGGAAATTGTTAAGTGTAGATTAATATCATGAATGAATCAATATTAGACCATCATTTAAAACCTGAGAACACTATATACAGTGGTCTAACATTGATCTGTTCATGATATTAATCTAAACTCAACAATCTTCATAATTCTATATTGAAAATAATCATATTTTTTTTATTTATTAAAGAAACATCATCTTACTGGTAACATTTTCTAGTAACCCTGAAATAGAATTTAAAAACAAAACAAAACCAGAAACCATAGAAACACTTATTTGACAAAGATTGAACTCAGATCTATACCCTATTTCAAAATATTTTTCATTTGTGGCAAAATGGTTTAAAGTTGATCATTCTTCCTATTCTATTTCCCATTTGTTATTTTCAACTGTAATAATAATAAAAGATTATTTTGGACTATTTTTTTAAAATGTACAGTTACTTTTATTGGAGCCCCCAAATACCCTGATACGGTCGAGAGTGGGGAGAGTCCGCTCTCCCTATAGAAATGCTCCCATATGCCACGCGAATATATAGCCTCTAACAGGAAAGTCCTACTAACTACCTTCTCGTGGCGGGGGTGTTGTTTATGAAATTGAGAGGACGAGAAGAGAATGTCCGGCGCTTTAACCGGGTTGGTGAACATTAAAAGTTCACCTAGGGGAGTTGGAAAACTCTGATTCCAAACCAATGGTGCACATGGGCTCCAGTATCCTGAGGGAACAAATGGCGTATGAATCAATCGTTGGTGACCGGCTACCATGAGACTGTATCTCCTTACGTTTCTCTACTATTTTGTGGATTTAGACCATTAGGTCAAACTCTCGGACTGTGACCCCTTAAAAAACCACCTGTTACATTTTGGGAACCCAAACAGTATCCCAGCCCTCATATAAATCGAATCACGAATTGTGATACATATCTATTTGGTGCCTCCTTTTACCAATATTTATATGTTCAACAATAAATAAAGAAAAATAATGTTATCTATTAACTGAATCGCTATTATACATAACAACAACTATCAGAAGGGGGGTTTTGTGGATATTATAGTAACTTTATTAGTTGAATTCTTGAGTCAATTATAGCCAGACCACCATAGAAAACCTGGAAGCAATAGATGACTGCTTTGTCCTAGTATGGGACTCATCAGCAGTTTACATCCATGATCCCGCCCCACGAGATTCGAATCCACGACCTATCAGTCTAGCTCGCGAGCGCTTAACTTCCAGACCACTGAACCAACCGGTATCCAACGATGTTAATGTCTAATTGCTGAGAAGTCCCACAGTAGGACGAAACGGCTGTCAACCATAACAATAATTCATCCGACAACATTCTTTTACATTTCATTATATAATATGAATTCAACTTACGTGTTTCAGCATTCAATTTGTTTAATATAATGAAAATTATAATAAAACAGAAGCCAACATTCAATGAAGTCATTTCTTAATCTTCTTTTTCTTTTCTTTTTTCTTCTTTTTTTCCTTCTTTACATAGAAATATATAATAACGTAATTAATCCTAACATAGATACAATGTATTTTGTAAATTTAATTTCATCCAATGAAGTTTATTTTATTTGAATTTTAGTTGCCATGGTAATGTTTTTTTAATATTTTTTTTTGTTTTTTTTTGTTTTTTCACTAATCAATAAAGTAAATAATATAAATTATAAAGTAAATAATGTGTAGTGGTCAGAAAAAAGAAAAATCTTTGATGTTATATGTAATATGTGACTTGATACAATGTAAGCAAAATTAAATTATGTAAATATGTAGTAAAGGAGAATATACAAGTAGGGGGTGGGTGGGAGGGATAATCGAATGTATTTGAATACAAAATTACAGAAAACATCTTAGTTAAATCTAAGATCCATATAGTAAACACATGCTAATAAGATACTGATCAATTACAGTCCTAAAGATCAATTGTAAGATTCAAACAAACATCACTAAGTGAATTTCAACTTCACCCTATTGCACAAGCAAGTGGCTATCAGGACTCAGTAACTGAGTGGATAATGCGATGGCGTTTGAAGCGAAAGATACTGGGTTCGAGGCACAGAGTGGACATAGACTCTAAGATGCAGGTACATCCAGCTGACGAATACCAATTAGGACGAAACGTGCGTTAAACTGGATTCCTTTGCAAATCACTATTCATCTTTGCATATAATGCTTGTGAATTAAGGCTATATCGAGGCAATACGCACAGTATGCACATATGGCCAATAAGAGACTGATCAGTTGCAGTCTTAAACATCAATGGAAAGATTCAAACAAACAATAATAAATGCATGTAGTAAATACCTCATTTGCTAAATATCTATTGATTGTTCCTGACTTGATTGTTCTTTTGTATGCGCACTAATCATTCTTTGTTTTTATTGTTTTCTTTGATCTTCTTAACCCTCTGTTGCCAGACATTTCAATTTGAAAATGTCAACCAAATTACTTACTTGCGCCTGTTACTCCCAATGGAGCATAGGCCGCCGACCAGCATTCTCCAACCCACTCTGTCTTAAGCCTTCTTTTCTAGTTCTATCCAATTTTGCTCTTTCTTTTCATGTCTGTCTCCATTTATCAGTTTAATGTGTTCTTTGGTATTCTTCTTCTCGTTCGACTTTCAGGATTCTATGTGAGGGCTTGTCCAACGTGTTTCACTGATTCCAAGCCCCTCTAGGTTGTATTTTTTCATTACTGCAGCAATTTGGAAGACTCTTCCTGTCTCCCACATAGTCCGAACATTCCGTGTACCTATAAAAATTGTCGCTCTGGTTGTAGGAATGTGCATCGGCCTCATGACCTCCGAAGGAACTCGGCTTTCATCATGAGACGTCATAATTATTCCTTCTACTCCCAGGGTAGAGTTTAAATGGTTTGAATAGTTTTTTCTTGTTAACGTTCTTTTAGCGAGTTGGTTTTCTACGGGATGAGGTCGCTAACCCCATGCCCAACCCTCCTCCTTTATTCGGGTTTGGGATCGGCACTAGCCCGCGGAAGAGATACAGGCAGAGTTGTCAACCAAATTACTAGAGCTAAATGTGATTAGATTTAGGGTTTTCATTACAAACTCATATCAGCTAAAATCTTAAAACGCTTTATAGTCAAATGGATGCCGAAATCCAAGATCTGTTATCTTAATACTGATTGGTTCGTCCATAAATTATAGTCTCACTGAAACACTCATCATCTAACATAACAACAACATGATTGATTTCGGACATATTATAGTGAGGGAAACTTTAGAGATATGAGGGATGAAGTGTTATTTCATTGTTATGTTTATTGTCTAGAAGGACTGATCAGAAGTAATTCTTTCGTTTCCTAATCTAAGTTTAAAATATGCAAAATTGGTATTTGTAACGTAGTAGACTATATAAACTCCAGTAATCAGTTAAACGATGACCATGTCTACTTGTACTGTTGAATCCATGATGACTAAAAAATGAACTTCAAAGTCTCCGCTTATCGGTAGAAATAAAAGTTCAGTGTATCGTCTATTTCATGAATAATTTCAGTATGGAAAGCATAGCTAGTACATTACAACGTATCGTATTCTTCAGAATAATGATAATTTGTAATTATGTACATGTAGTAGTTCCAAAAAGTACTGAATAAGGTTACTCTGAGTTATACTATGAGTTCGTAAAATGAAGTTGCCCTCTGGTTCCATAAGGCAATTAGAATAGATTACGTTACTCGTAATGGAATGGATAATAGTGTTAAGTCGGCTTCCAGAGAACTCCAACAGAGTCTTCAGAGGCTCAAAAAGAGCCCCAACCAATCAGAGTACGACAGAACATTCTGGAGTTCCAACGTGGCATACTACCATTGGTCAGTAGCAATTTGTGTCGTTAATTGGATTGGCTGAATTGGGATGTTGATTTAACTTAAGTAAACATCTATAAATACCTACGATTTTCTGTACAAAAATGATCCTTGCAGTAAAGTGTTTCTCTGATACTCGTGTCTTCTCTCTGGTCTTCAAGTTGCTGAGTAGTGCTAGCCCTGGGGTTATCGGAATAGCTTAGGATCTGAATAAAGCGTTCAACCTACAAGACATATCAAATAGATCTTCAAAAAATCCCTGTGCCGGCTTTGTTAAGTACATGAAAAATGTGTGAAGTAAATCGGTTATTACAGTTATACAGTCAGAATAATCTCTAGGCTGTAAAGTAAGAGATAATGAAATAGAAGTCACGATTGAATTCACTTGGTGTTGTTTGTTTGAATCTTTTTATTGATGTTTAGGACTGCAATTGATAAGTCTCTTATTGGCCGTATGTGCATACTGTGCGTATTGCCTCGAGATAACCTTAATTCAAGTACTTGAAGCGAAAGGTACTGGGTTCGAATCCCGGAGTGACACATCAACTTTAAGACGCAGTACATCCAGCTGACGAGTCCCAAATAGGATGAAACGCGCATCAAACTGAATTCCACTGCTAGCCACTACCCATCCTTGCTTAAGATGTCACGGTTGTTTGTAAAATTACAAATTTAAAGGCAGTAAATGCCTTTTCGATTCCTGTATGCATTATTTTAAGCTATTCATTGAATACTAACTATTCTACGCCTTGGTTAAAATTAGTGGAAAGTCTATAAGAATCATTTCAGCAGTGGCTTTCACAGATGTAATTGGACTGTATTCCTATGTTCATGTTCTTTTTAATCCGAAAAAGGGTAAATACTGTTCAAGGTTATCATAACATTCATTTGATATTGTTGTTTCATTTAGGCTTCACATTTTTGTTATTGTTGTTGTTACAAGGAGAATTGCTTAATCATTTTAAGGGTAATTAAGAATAATGAGGGGAGAGTGATTTGTTGGTGAAAAAAAAGAAGAAAAGAAAGAAAAACCTGTAGATGGTAACAACAACTGGTCATGAAGTATGAAGAATGAGAAAAGGATTTAAGATCACCGTAAGAGAAGAAGCTGGATTAGGTGAGATGTTTATTGAGATTTCAGTTTTGTTACTTTGAACTGTACAAGTCTCTGTGGTGTACATGTTACTGATAAGTGCTTTATTTGAACTAATTTATTTGATCATACAAATGAATATAAATGATAGTTCAGGCTTTGGAGTGGGATTGTAATTAAATCATTAATTGATTTGAATTTCCTCTTTAATGAATATTCACCAAGCTGATTAGAGAATTCACTTAGTATTACTTATTTGAATTTTCCCATTGATATTTAGGACTGCAACTGGTCAGTCTCTTATTGGCCATATGTGCATACTGTGCGTATTGCCTCGATATAGCCTTAATTTACAAGCATTATAAGCAAAGATGAATAGTGGTTTGCAGTGGAATCCAGTTTGACGCACGTTTCGTCCTAATTGGTATTCGTCAGCTGGATGTACTTGCATCTCATAGTTGATGTTCACTCTGGGACTGGATTCCACTGCTAGCCGCTATCCATCTTTGATCAAAGAATTGCTTGAAAATAGGTTCTATATGTTCATTCAATGAAAATTGTTCCAGGTGAGCAAATAAGCTTGATTTGATCTGAGTTTTAAACTCTATTCACTTCCCTTAATATATACTGTAGATAATATATAGTAGTCAAACTTCCAGGAAGAAATAATCTCGTATTTTGTGTTGGATCTGTGATAAGTCTTGTTAATTGAACGATATACTCCTAAGCTAGTCTCGTAAACCCCAAGCTAAGTATACACAGCGACTTAAACATGAGAGTAAAGACTTCTTATAGTATTTTAGAAATTTTTGAATTTTCCTGAAAATTCTGAAATGCTACTAAACATAGTAGCAGAGTAGTAGTCAGCCAATCAGAACCTATGCATGTGACTTTTCATTTTCGTGATGCTTCTAGCAAAACTTCGAATCAATCGCTGATTGGATAAAATGCTTCTTAATGTTTCCTGAGCCTTTCTTGTCTATTGCGAGGAATTTTCAGGATCGCGCCAATAGAATGGAACCACTCTATGACTAAGTATTTGTTATTTTATGCGGTTTTTTCTAAGGCTGCAATGTAAACTGAGTCTACTACTTTATTCATCATTTGAGCTATATTTGCTTCTCATGTCTATCCTTTCGTTGAGGATATGTAATTTGGTTTAGCGTAGTGTTTTTACAGTTACTTTCATTCAGTTGATAGATTTGATATACTGTATGCTTTCGAAGATATTAGAGAATCTTTTCGATAAGTAAAATTCTTCACAAATTCATTATTAGGGAGCTTTTTTGTGGAGATTTGTGGTGATTTTTATATATAGTTGAAATCATAAGTCAATTCAAGCTAGACCATCATGGAAAACCTGGAAGCATTGGATGGCCGTTTCATCTTACTGTGGGACTCCTCACCTGTGCGCATCCACGATCCCGCCTAGTAACATTCTAACCTAGGACCTATCAGTCTCGCGCGAGCGCTTAATCTTTAGATTTTGCTTAAAAATTTATCTAAATACTGATATTTATCTGTCGAATATTAAATCATCTCAGTTACTACATTTCAGATAACAGCGACGACATTATAATTTATGGACGAACCAATCAGATATAAGATAACAGGTTTTGAGTTCATCGATTTGGTTAAATAGCATTTTGGGATTTTAGCTTATGTCAGTTCGTAATGAAAACCCTAAATCTAATTCCTAACCTTAAACATCTACTGTAAATCACATTTCCAATTCATAATCCTCATTTATTCCTAGTCAGTAGGTGAACATTCTTAAAGTCACTTTAGTATCGCTCAATGGTAGTCTCAATGTTAACAGCCACCGTAAAGTAATCTTATTTAATCTAAGTATTATGGATTATAGCTTTTGACAAGATAAAGTATCTCTCATCTTGATTAAGTTAATACTTGCCTTCAGATTCAAATCTGTATCATACAGCATTACAATCACTATTCAACTATTCCCTATTGTATTATTTATATTGATGATCAAATTTTATATTGATCAACTAACACAACTGTTATGTAGTAGCGAAGACATAAGTACGGGTAACTTGCAGGACCTACTATTGAACTATCATTCTTATTGTATAACTATTCGGTAACTAGATTATTTAAGCTTTATTTTAACCTATTGATTATTACTGTGTGATTTACTATCCCTATGTTATGCTCAGTTTTATTGATTATTGTCTCCCACGCTTACAGCCTCATTTGGCCTGGTTTTGTACAAATATTATTTTCTATTTTATGGTGTGGATGTGGTCTGCCTGTCTGGTATATAGATAAAGTATGCTTGAAATAAACGATTCGCATTACAGCAGCTGCTGTTGGTGTTTTTGGACTCAAGTGGACGGGTTAGGCGGATAAGGACCAATAAGGGCGCTAGATTACTCATACTAATCGAACGTCATTGTCACAGTGTGAAGGCCGCAGAAGGCGTATTCTATTGGTGGTGAATTACGTCCTTTTTAAATTCGTAAGGTCATAACGAATCAGCGACGACCTTGATCAAGTCATAACAACAACTATTGTACTAGTTACTAATTGCTGATCCGTTGGTAAAAAAAAAAACAAACTTCGACGTAAAACAAATGGGAACCTAAAATCGATAATTTTTCTTTTTTTTTTCAATTTAAGGTTAAATGAACTTCACCAACTTTTATTCATCAATATTTTAAGATTAGTAAATATAGAAAATTCAATATTAAAAGTAACCACAATAATTTCTTTCCATTGGAACGTTGAATACTAGTACCTAAAATGATTTTTTAAATAGTATAAACAAAATAAATAAGTAGTAAGTACATTAGTCAATGACTTGTATTTAATTGCTTACTTACCTACTTACACCTGTTGCCCCTCTTAGAGAAGCATAGACCACCCATCAATATCAAAGTCAGAATCTTTAATACGAATGTTAAGACAGTCCTATTGTACGGAACTGATACTTGGAGAACTACTACAACCATCTTCAACAAGGTACAAGTGTTTAAAAACAGTCGTCTACGAAAAATACTCAGTATTTACTGACGGGATATCATCAGTAATAGCATTCTGTGTGAAAGGATAAACTAGCTTCCCAGATCATTACATGGTACTACTTATATTATGTTATTACCATATTCTTCACTATGATGTAAAAATTTGACAGATATAAATATGTACTTAAGATCATGAGTCAATTGAAGCTAGAACAACACGGAGAATCTGGAAGGACTAGCCGGCCATTTGTGGGACTCCTCAGCAGTGGGCATCCTCGATCCCGCCTTGCGGGATTCGATAATGATCATATGCTCAATAGTGACTGGCTGCATCAGATAATTCCTGGAGTTCTAGTGAGAAGTCGTGATCAGTGGAGCTAACCCATGTCAGGTAGAGACAGGTATCTACCTCAGTACAATGAAAGTTGATCGCGCAATTTCGTGGATTGGTTGATGTTAGACATTAACACCGTTGGATGACGGTCAGCTCAGTAGTCTATAGGTTAAGTGTTCACGCGTGCTACCGAATGTCCTGAATTTGAATCCTGTGTGTGGAATTATAATAGGACGAAGCGGATGTTTAATTCTCTCAAGTTTTCAGTGATGGCCTAATATAGACCGACTCATGATCTCAAACAAATACTTAACGATCCCCACAAGCCAATACATATATATCTATATCAAGACCTTGATCTAGGCTCTGTAATTTGTGTGGATATATAAATTGAAAAGATTATTGTCGATTGATCTCATCAGTTATCGTTCGACCTATATACAACTAGATTTCATAACTTCTCAATGATTTATGCTTCATCAAACTATATCAATCTAATCATAAACACTGATATTGATATCGTGAAAATAATGTAAGTGTTGAAAATTGATTCACATGTCAACATAATTGAGTAACAATGTAACAATTATTGCACACCAAAAAAAATTGGAATCTATTTTGGCAAACATACCAGCTACTATGATATAATAACTTGTAGAGTCCATTTATATGAAGGTGAATGATGACAGTTTTTAACTCATTAGAATTTTCGAGAGATTGGAATTTGTTGAGAAGTCACGTGTTTAAACATCACGAAAAAAGTGTACTGTTTAAGCTCATTAGGAATTAATATTGTATATATATAATGAATTTAATACTGTTAGATTGTGGTGTGTGCTACTGATATTGACAGATATAAGTAGTATGTGTCATCATTAGAAAGTGAAGTTTTATATAGTTGAGTCAATTGAAGCTAGACCAACATGGAAAACTTGGAAGCACTGGATGGACGTTTCGTCCTATTATGGTTGCGGTTAGACATCAACACTGTTGGATATCAGCCGGTTAAATGGTCAGACGCGAGACTGGTAGGTACTGGGTTCGAATGTCGTACGGCTGGATCGTGAATGCGCACTGCTGAGGAGTCCCACAATAGGGCGAAACGGCAGTCTAGTGCTTTCAGATTGGCTTCAATTGACTCATGATTTTAACTATATAAGGTTACTAAAATCTCCACAAAACCCCCTTCTGAGAAAGTGAAATGCTTGGAGGCACAATGTTAAGAATATCAAAGAAAAGAGACTGAGAACAGAGGGTGATTGGTGTGGAGATAAATGAACAATGAAGTCTGAAACGATTGATTGACACGTTGCAGATGAAGTATTCACTATAAGATTTTGTTATTTTGTACTCTAATACATTCGATTGTCCCAAGTTGTGTTCTCGCTCACTACAAGTCACGGTTGAAATCCACTTGTTATGGCTTCTTACTAAGACCTTAGGAAATACCTCATGAAGCCAGTTGCTAGTGAGCACATGGGTTCGCCTAGACACATCACAAGTTGAAAACTGTTAAGTCTATCTAAGCATCCAAGTGACCTGAGTGAGATACGCGCAAAATCGAAGTTCCAAAACAACGATTTGTCTACAAAAGCTTTTTTATCCGTGAAAGTTGTTTATAAAGCGTCATAATATACAAGTCTAAGAGTAACCATATTGTTTAAGAATCGCTTGGTATGGGGCAATCGCTTCTTTATCTCATCCTCTAGCAGCCTCACTTGGTTTTTTCAAAAGCTTTTTCCTTTTATACCAAACAGCAACCTTAGCTTTTCGACGATTCTCCACTTTTTCGATTACATTCTTATACTTCCAACTGAGGGGTTTTGTGGATATTGTGATATTTTCTTAATGGTTGAATTCATGAGGTATCTCTTGAAGTTCTATTAAGAAGCTTTGACCAGTGAAGTTCGACCAAGTCTATTGTAAAGGCAGTGACATCTAAAATCTGAGTAAGGATCAAACCTATGATCCACAAGTCTCTTATTGAATATTTTTTCGTTTGGATTCATGAGTTATGACGTCGTAGATAAAACAGTACTTCCATATTATCTATCCTTTATTATATACTACCGAATTGGATAATCACTGAGGAACTCTCATTTTTAATACTGGTATTAAGTTTTAACTTTGAATAGGACAAAACTAACATTATGAATTCAGCGGTCAATTATCATTATCTCTAAAGATTATCATCTTATCACTACGACCAACATCATTACCTCCATTCAAAGATCATATATATAAACAAAGATGGTTCAAATGAAGTCATGTGCATGAATAACGGAAAGGTATCTAGGGCCTAACTACTACTACTAATAATAATAACTCTATTGAATTAATCGTTCAATTTACCTTTATTTACATAATCTGTAATGTAGAATGTAAAAGAAATGAGTGTGATTATTATGACTGTTCATGATATGGTTCGGTTGAATCTCCAATATAAGGATGACAAAAGAAACCAATTCTTATGTAATTATTGTTTTGAATAGAATGTACATCATAATGAATAAGCCTTATGTGTAAATTTCATGTTATTTGAGCTTCAAATGAAAGCTAATTGTATAGTTGAGATCATGAGTCAATTGAAGTTAGACCACCATGGAAAACCTGAAAGCACTGAACGGCCGTTTCATCCTAGTGTGGAACTTATCAGCAGCGGGCATTCACGATTCTGCCTAGCGAGAATCGAACTCAGGACCTATTAATCTCGCGTGCAAACGCTTAACCTCTACACCAATGAGCCGGCTGGCATCCGACAATGTTAATGTATAACTTTAACCGATCAACCAAATTGGGCAACCGTCTACCATTGTCTTCACTGAGTTACTATCTCACAACAGACCCGGTTGAACTCCAATGGTCACTGCTTCTCACTAGAACTACATAAAATATCTCTTGAAGCTAGTCACTAGTGAGCATATGTTGATTAATATCAGGAGTTTTTTTTGGATATTTTAGTAATTCTATAATTGTATTCGTTAGTCAATTTAGCTAGGCCACATTGCACACCGCTGAAGAATCCTACACTAGGATGAAATGACTGTCCAGTGTTTCCACGTTTTCCAAGGTGGTCTAGCTTCAACTGAATCATGATCTCAACTATTTAAAAAATATTGTGTTTTCTTACAGTTAATCAGCCTATAAACAGTATACATCGAAACTATTGTTAGTATAGAATTGTGAATTGCTTAATTTTGATTGAGATCATGAATGGATCAATGTTACACCATCATTCGAAACCTGGAAGCACTGGTTTGTGTTCGTGAAAAAAAACCGAAGGTCTTGGGTTCGAATTCCGTGTGTGGGATCGTGAATGAATACTGATGAGAGGTTCCATATCAGGAAGAAACGGTCATTCAGTGCTTCCAGGTCTTCAATGATAGTCTAACACTGATCCATTCATGATCTCGATCATGGATAAATTTTATAATGGTTTTGTAATTACATGTTAGTAAAATATAATAAACAGTAATTATATTGTGTAATGAACTTACAACATTTGATGATTCCATCGTCTATAACAAATATTACAAATAGTATGAATATGAGAAATGTTAACTCATAGGCAGTACTGTAGTAAACGAGAACTTAGGTGAAAAAGACGGTAAAATCTCGCATTCTGCCACAAAATAACAACATTTATTCATTGAGATCGTGGACTGATCAGTTATAGACCATTAGTGGAAACTTGAGAGCAATGATGGTCCAATATTGATTGGTTCATGATATTGATGAAACTCAACAGTCTTCAAAACACTATACTGATAACTGTAATCAGATGTATAATGGAGTGCTTATGAAATTTACAGTCTAAGCAATAAGTTGTAATACTTACGATCATATTCACATCATCTTATATATATTTCGGCCTTGGTACGGCTGAGAATGGGGAGAATCAGCTCTCAACCTCGAAATGTTCTCACATGAACAGGTATATACAGCCACTGAAAAGAAAGTCCTAATCACTGCGTTCTCGCAGCAAGAGCGTTGATTACGAAATTGAGAGAACAAAAAGCGAATATCCAGAGTTGGTGGATACGGAGGATCCATCTAGGAGAGTTGGAAAATCCTGACGGTGCACATGGACTCCAGGATACTAAGGAAACAAATGGCGTATGAATCAATTTTTGGTCACCGGCTACCATGAGACTGCGTCTTCCTAGGTTTCCAAACTGTCTTGTGGATTAGACATTTAGGTAAAACACTCGAGAGATGCTTCTCTAAGAAAACCACCTGCTTCTGTCTGGGCACTCGGGCAGCATTACAGCTCTCACACAAATAGAATGAGTTATGGGGTGCCTATAAATTTGGTTCCCTCTTTGTACTAATGTTTACGTTTGTAAATAAATCTTCAATCATATCATAATTTGAGATAGTCATCAGAAAATTAATGAAATTTTATACCAAATACCAAATATGTTATCACCGTGAAGGTTAGCTCTTCCAAATATTTGACTTGGAATAATGAAGATGGGTTTTTACCTGTAGATATTAGTCTTTAGTTCACTCTTGACTGGTGGAGGAGTTTCAAGTGACAAGAAGTTGGTCTATGAATGATAAGCATGAATTCTTGCCTATTTTTTGTGGAGGTTGAAGGGAAGATAAAGAGTGTATACACCTACGCCATTGTGACCGATTTTGAGCCATGTCACCTAGAGTATCCAACCATTGGTTACGATAGTCGCGCGGACCCCAACCAAGTAGTCTGCATCTACCAACATGGCTCAGACTAGAAGTTAGTGATTTCGTGGACAGATGCCACGTTTTGGTTTGGCCGCCCCTAACTTTCTTCCAACCATCCCCAATATTAGTCACCATAGCGCGTCGTGGTAATCGGTGTTCAGGCATACGTAACACGTGGTCCAACCATCTCAGTCGATGATGATTCAGAACCTCAACTGGTTTTTCATCATTCCTTAATACTCTGTGTCTAACCTTACTATTACTTACTTAGTGATCCCAGCAGATGCGAACAATATTTCTAAGGTATCTGTGGTCAAATATAATCATCACACTCATTTATCTAATTCAGTTGTTGTGATTAAAATGCATTTACACTAGTTCCCTTTCACTATTTCTGATGTAATTCATGTCATTTTATACAGTACATATTGTCTAACTGAATATGTGATTTGAGAAATAATTTTATTGTATTAGCTCCCTCATTTATCATCCACATTTATAACAGAAATGGGGATTTGTGGAGATTGTAGTAATTTTAATAGTTGAATTCGTGAGTTCATCTCAGCTAGACCACCATTGAAGTTAGGGAGTAACAACGCTGAATTTCGGCGTCTAGATATTAAGTGTTTGCTCGTGAGACTCAAGGTCCTGCGTTTGAGTCACTCTTGTGAGATCTTGGATGCACTTTTCTGAAAAGTTCTATACTAGAACGATACGGCTGTCCAGTACTTCCAGGTTTTTAGTCATGATCTAGCTTAGATCGACTCATGATCTCAACTACTAGAATTTATGTTTATTCTGAAATCACATATTGAAAATTTAACTGACTTACAGACCGATTCAAGTATACTTAACATTGATAGTTATTTCGACATTTACAAATGCAAGCCAATAAGCTGTTACTTGTGAACTATAAAATCTTTTTTTATATTCAAGATTTAACAAAGATTATATGGCCGATATCCATTGGGTCCAACGGTGTTAAATATTATGCTTTTGTCATAAAATTTATTAATAGTTGAATTCATGAGTCGATTAAAGCTAGACCACAATTCAAAACCTGGAAGCACTGCATGGCCGTTTCTTCCTAGTATACGACTCCTCAGCAGTGCACTTCTACGATTCCGCACGCAGAACTCTAACCCAGAATCTTCGGTCTCGCACGCTGACACTTGACATCTAGATTACTGAGCCGGCAACAAACGGTGTTAATGTCTAACTTTAACCAAACTACCATATTACGCGTCTGTATACCATCTCCTCCACATTAACCGTTGGATGTCTGCTCAGTAGTCTAGAGTTTAAGCGTTATCCCGCCATATCGAAGGTAATCGGTCCAAGTCCCACGTGTGGGGCCATGGATGCGCACTGCTGAGGAGTCTCATACTGAGAAGAAACAGCCATTCAGTTCATTCAAACTTTCCATTGCATTGAATAATAGATTATTTATTCATTATGACATAAATATTGTTTGATTTGTATTGTGAATAGTGTATCATCATCTATTTATTCATAAACTGTTAATGAGTGAAATGTGAAACTTACTTTGTGTACAAATTAGTTTAGCTAGTAAATAATAATAATAATAATAATAATAAGATTTATAAACAAGAAACTAGATATATGCTTAGTGTTTCTATTAGTTATGATCTCACTTAGAGATCTAACTGTATTCTTATAGTTGAAATCATCAGTCGATTGAAGCTAGACCATCATCAAAAACTGGACGGCCGTTTCGTCTAATGGTGGGACTCCTCAGTAGTGAGATCTAGCTTCAATTGACTTATGATTTAAACTATAAAATTACTAAAATCTCCACAGAGAATCCCTTCTGAGATCTAACTGTCTTGGTTTTGATCCACAGTGAGGTCATGATTAGATAGTCCTGAGAAACTTCAAGCTATGATCAAACCACTGTCCAGCTCACTGTGATTTCTAGTAGTGCCCAAATGAAACTCATTATAGTAAGTAGAGTAGATTACTCACGTTCATTTACGGGATTATCTAAAATGCATAGATGATGTGATCATCAATTCGATTTCGGTTATTTATAAGTATTCAATAAAGGTATTTGTAAATTTAAAGCAATTAGTCCCTTTGATAAATTTAGATAGTGTAATACGAAGACGAAGATTATCAGAACTATGTGATGATACAGCCGCGTAATACATTTCGAACAATCTGGTCACACATACGCTTGTTAAGAACATTTATATACATTCATAGACATTAACACCGTTGGATGTCGGCCGGCTCAATGGTCTATCGGCTAAGTGCTCTCACTCGAGGCTGTTAGGCACTAGGTTCGAATCTCGCGATGCGGGATCGTGGATGCTCAATGTCGAGGAGTCTCACAATAGGACAAAACGGTCGTCCAGTACTTCCAGGTTCCCCATAGTGGTCTAGCTTCAATTGACTCATTATCTCAACTATATAAAAATAGAATTGAATAACCCAATAAGAGTACAGGATAAACATCCATCATCCTCTATTGCTTAACATATAATCGAAACAGGCCATAAGATTTATCTTAACTCGGCTTTTGTGGTGTTGTATAAAAGTGTGAAATGGCGTATACTAAGGTTTATTGAAGCCTTAGCCATACGAAAATTCAAACTCCCTTTGTGTATTCGAAAACAGTTTGTTCTCACCTTAAACTTACCCATCTTATTATCCAGAGTGATTAAGCGTCAAATTGTTTTCACATTACTATTATTATTATTATTATTATTATCCTTGTCCCCTCTTACCCTCCATTTCCAGTCTAGCTGACCTTTTATTTTTATATATAAATGTTCTTAACAAGTATATTATGTGTGATCAGATTGTTCGAAATGCATTGCACAAATATATCAGGGTTCAGTAGCTGAGTGGATAACGCGATGGTGTTTGAAGCAAAAGGTACTGGGTTCGAGTCCCAGAGTGAACACGAAGTCTGAGATGCAGGTACATCCAGCGGACGAGTCCCAAATAGGATGAAAGGCGCGTCCAAGCCATAATCCATGTTTGTTCATAATGCTTGTGATCAATATACTTGAAATCAATCCAATTTATCAATCAATCAGGAAAATTATGCAGAAACAAAGGAACAAAAATTAAACCAATGGGAGATACAACCAAAACAAAGAAATAAACGGTGAGACTAAACTATATGGACGAGCCAATCGGAAGATTTTGCGGGTTTTCAAGGTCACAGCGCTTACGTACGGTCAGTTTACAATGGATTTTAGAGAAAACATGATAATTCAGCGTCTACAAGGGAAGTGATAATAAGATTTTGGCGCGAAATTCAATTATCCATTTAGATAAATAGAGTTTTGGCATCATAGCTGATGTCAGTTCGTGATGAAAACACTAAGTATAATTTCTAACCTTAACCATGAACTGTAAATCATAATTTGAATTCTTCACACTGGTTTATAACCCTCATTTTTTCTTAGTTATTATGTTGACACTCTCAGGGTCACTCTAGCGTCGCTCAAAGGTCCTCCATAAATTATAGTCTCACCTTTAACCTTAAACCCTAACCCTTAACTCTTTCTCAAAACCTTAAACAATACCAACATACCAACAACATTGAAGCTATGTGGTCGAGGCTAAAAGAAATTTTGAGACCTTATCATGGTTTCAGAGGTCGACTACTATGATGTCATATGGATGAGTTCCTGTACCGTCTGCGCTATGATTTTAGAACTTCTGAACCTATATCTGACCTTGAGAAATTTTCGAACCATTTAAAAGAATAGTATCCGCTTTAATTTTTTAGTTTTATATAATATATTTTTACTGTATACTAACTGTCTTCTGATTGGCTCATAATTCTCAGGGTCATTTAAGATTCGTTCAAAGGTCATCCGTATAGTTTAGTCTCGCCAAATAAACATTGACAGATTTAAGGTTATCAAGAACCAATCAACATCGAGGTGCACAGGACGAGCTATAAATCACATGTGAAGAAATTCAAACACTTCACTTATACCCGAAGTTTGTGCTGATGATGTTGTCCAGAAGGATGATGAAAGCTCCACGTTCAAACCATCCAGCTCAGAGAACAAAACTCCATCAAAATCATCATCCTGAGCTACAAATCTTGTCCACCATCTCGAAGTTTACGAATGTTTTCACATATCACTCAGATTATCCTGTTGACATTAATTTTGATTGATTATTTTTTATCTTTAGCCTACTTCATTTCTATCTGAAGTTTGTATTGATGATATTGTTCAGAAGACCAGCAACAACAAAAAATCTCCACGACCTAAACATCCAGCTCTGAGAATGAAATTGTATGTTTTTGAACACATGCTAGTACTTCCATGTTTTCAATGGTGGTCTAACATCAATCAGTGTATATGTCGAGTGAATAGCCGCGTTAATAGCATGAAACAGAGTTGTTTTGTTACATTATTCTAAATATCTAACAGTTTTCTAAAGGTTACTTTTATCATTCGGATGTTACTTTACTACTTAAACTTCCCAAACTTTAATTCAAGAAATGTAGCATTAAATCAAAAATTTTGTCATAGATTATAAGTAATAAACTTGATAGACAGCATTCAATCAGCACTAAGAAGGACTTGACACGTATGACATTGATCACCACTCAATGATCAATCAATTTTGATTACATCTCAGACCTACAGGAGGTCGGTCGCCAGCCTGATAGCTCAGTGGTAACGTCTCTGACTGTGAAGCTGGGTGACATGGAATCGAATCCGTCAGTGAGCACCAGTTCCCTCAAGATTACAGGTACACCTTGCTGACAAGTGCCAAGTAGCACGAAACCCGTGTTCAAAGTTTCCTGTTGACCACCTCCAACCACCATCTTATCTCAGTAATAAACATTGTTAGCAACTATCCATTTTTGCTCATAAAGCTTGTGACTTCAGGCAATATTGAAGTACCAATGAGAGACTGATCAATTGCAGTCCTGAATAACAATTGGGAAGATATAAGTAAACAACAACAAGTGAATCAATACATACTGTTTAACTTACAACGCATACGTCCCCTCATACCTACTAAATATTAGGATTGATTATTTACTCCGAAATAGGTATCCATACAAAAGTTGAACTTGATAGTTTCAAATACATTGAACACTGGATAGAAAGTTATGATAATATTTTTGTTATATCCTAATAAGTAGAAAAATTGCATTCCTGAGGGGAGGGTCCGCCCTCCCTCTCGAAATGCTCTCACACGGCCACGCGTATATAGCCTCTTCCAAGGAAGTCCTACTCACTGCATTCCTGCGGCTTTACTGTTGTTTACGAAATTGAGAGGACGAAAAGCGAATGTCCGGCGCATTACTCCGGGTTGGAATTATTAACCGGTTGAAATTATAATTATCATATATGTAACTAATAAACTTGGAGACCTACAACAATCATCATCAAAAATGTACAAGTATTTAGAAACAATTGTCTGCACAAGATACTCAATGTTCGTTGGTTGAATAACATCGGCAACAGCCTACTGTGAGAGAAGACAAACCAATTTCCAGCTGAAGAATAAATCAAGAAAAGACTTTGGAAGTATATAGGACATACATTGAAGAAATCATCAAACAATATCACTGTGCAAGGCCTAAGTTTAAATTCTGAATGGAAACGGAAAAGAGGAAAATCAAAGAACCCACTTTGTTGAGAATTGGAATCCAACATGAAAAGGATGAATAGTAACTGAAAAGAACTGTTGAGGATTGTCCAGGACAGAGTTGGATGGAGAATACTAGTGAGCCGTCTATACTCTTCTATGAGGGGTAACACGAGTAATTAGATAATTAAGTAAATAATAAACACATCAAAAAGATGTAAAAATGAATTGTATGCATAGAAATTTCTTTACGAATGATCTCACTTAGAATATCACTTGGATCTTTTGTGATGCTGGACAGTTGCTCCCTATCAATATGAGATTCCTAGACATTGAATAATCACGACCTCACCATAGATTGAACCTATGACTTACATTAGTTTTTCATTTACACTAACCATGATATGAGATTAGTATATCAATGAGTGTAGTTTACTTTAATGATGTCACGTTTCAAAAAGTCAATAAATCTCCAGTTCACATTGTTATGATTACCATGGTTCTTGATAGTCATGTATTAAGCGAGTGAATATTCTCATAGAACTTACTATCATAATTATTAATGAAAACTAAAATACAAATCATTTTATTAAAAGGTAAGTATACATTTATTACATCATAATGTAATAGAACTGTGACATGATAATAATTACTTCAGTCTATAAATATGTAGATGCTTTCTTCTCCCCCAAATGCCCTGGTACGGTGGAGAGTGGGGAGGTCCTCTCTCTCTCTCGAAATGCTTTCACATGAACATGCGTATACAGCCTTTGCCAGGGAAGTTCTACCCACTGCCTTCTCGTGGCATCACTGTTGTTTACGAAACTGAGAGGACGAAAAGCGAATGTCCAAAGATTTAACCGGGTTGGTGGACACGGAAAGTCCATCTATGGAGGTTGGAAAACCTTGATTTCAAACGAATGGTGCACATGGGCTCCAGTATCCTGAAGGAACAAATGGTGTATGAATCAATCGTTGGTCACCGGCTACCATGATACTGCATCTCCTTACTATGCCCCACTACCTTGTGGATCAGATTTTTAGGTCGAAGGCTCCGGGTATGGCCACTTAAGAAAACCACCTGCTTCGGTCTGGGCACCCGGACAGTATCGTAACCCTCACACAATTAAACGAAATGAATTTTTTTTGTTTGGTGCATATATATCTGATACTAATATTTATGTGTTAAAATAAAGAAATTTCTTTGTTTTATTGCCTAATTAGTGGGAATATTACTATCAATCAAATAGACTTCTCTGTGGAAACGCGAGACTATTATTTATAGACGACCTTGAAAAGATCATATACGACCTTGAGAAATATTAACCAATCAGAAGACAGTAACTAAAGAGTAGAAACACCAAAGAATTAGAATGAGTACACTTCTTTTACATGGCCCAAAAACTTGTCAAGATTAGAAAGAGGTTCAAAGGTTTTAAAATCGTAATGCATACGGTAGATGAACTCATCCATATGGCACCATAATACTAGGTCTCTTGAGCCATGATAAGGTCACAAAAGTTCTCTCAGCTTCAACCACATAGCTTCAATATTGTTTGTATGTATTCCGGTTGTGTAAGTTTGTCATTTTAATTACGCATATATCCTTACAATACACATACCTCTGAACAGCCGAAGCTTCAGTAACATCTGCGAATATTGCAGTCAATAATACTAGTGCTTTTATTATACAGTTCACAGCAATTATTATAACTTGCCTTAGTCTTAATCTGGATTAAGAGGAAAAAGTTTCTATTCTAGCAGACTTCCTCGAACATATATTACATCTAAAGATAACATCAACAGGGTAGTCTGTGCAAGGTTTACAAGTCAAATAATTACCGCAATTACAAATAAAGGAACTTCTTGGTAGTCCCATTTATTGTAGCCGCTTAATTGTCATGTTTTCTCTGCAACCCTCTGTGAACCGATTGTACATGACATGAAACTGTACAGGTATTGAAATTAGCGCTGTGACCTTGAAATCCATTAGACGCTACTGATTGTCTCGTCCATAAATTATAGTCTCGCCAAACTTGTAAAAGTTAGTGGGTATCTGGATTTAGTAACTGAGTGAATGAAATGTTGGCTTTACCGATGAAAGGTATTACGTTGGACTAAGAGTATGGAGATTAACATTTGAATGCAGATATATTCAGTTGATAAGTGTCAAATAAAATAGGACATGCATTCTATATTGTGAATATAGTTATGTAACGATTGTAACATAAGTATACGTCATATGGCATACAGCTTATTTTAGTAAGTTCATATATTGAATGAGATAGTCTAATTCCACTATTTACTTTTCTCTAGGATCTGGTAAATTTTGTTCACTTGTAGAAAGTATTATTTGGAGTTCCTGGAGTAAACTGCTTAAGGGTTCGGTGTAATGGTTCATTTTCTATTTTATTTATTCTTTGTGTGTTTATTAAACACCTATTCATTTGACTAATTAACAGTCCTCTTGATAATTTCAAAGACTGAACGAGTGATCAAAGTAAGCGACGACGGTCAGTTCATCATTTTGTTGATGAAAACACCAAGCTGTATAGTTTTCCGAACTTTTCAAACAATTATGAATAAAATCAGAAGGGGTTTTGTTTATATTATAGTATTTTTATAGTTTAGATCATTAATCAATTGAAGCCAGACCACCATGAAAAACCTGGAAGCACTGGATGGACGTTTCGTCCTATTGTGGGACGCCTCAGCAGTGCGCATCAACAGTCATGGGTTCAAATCTCGCGAGGCGGCATCGTGTGTGCGCACTGCTGAGGAGCTCCACAACAGGACGAAATGGCCGTCAAGTATTTCCAGATTTCCGATGGTGATCTAGCTTCAAATGTATCATGGTCTCAATTATTAAAACTATGAATAAACAGAATTTCGGGAATTCATCTGTGTCCACTATTTCGCGAAAGCATTCCAGGCTGTGACAATCGTGAATATAACAAGGTATCTGGTTGATTTAACTTCGGTGAGCTTCAAAAAATATTTTTGGATAATACAAATGGAAATAGGGAGTATGAAATTTTCAAAACCTTAATCTACATGTTCACTAAAGAGATTTATATATAAATAGTTTTACCCTAAAGCATAAAGGTTCACTTACATGGTCCTTGTTTTTCAGTAACTAGGGAATGAAAACTATTTTAATTAATAATGTAGTCAAAAAACAAATGATGCATTTTCATGGTTGAAAGCATGAGTCAATTGAAGCCCTCAAATATACTGATACGACCGAGAGTGGGGAGAGTCCACTCTCTCTCTCCGAATGCTCTCACATGGACACGCGTATATAGCCTCTGCCATAGAAGTCCTACTCACTACCTTCTCGTGGCGGGGGTGTTGCTTACGAAATTGAGAGGACGAAAAGCGAGTGTCTTTTACGTTAACCGGGTTGTTGGATACGAGAAGTCCACCTAGGGGAATTGAAAAGCCCTCATTCCAAACCAATGGTGTACATGAGCTCCAGTATCCTGAGTGAACAAATGGAGTATGAATCAATCGTTTTTTACCGGCTACCATGTGACTACATCTCCTTACGATGCTCCACTACCTTATGGATCAGATCTTTAAGTCAAAAGCTGATAATGTGGTCCCTTAAGAAAACTACTTGCTTCGGTTTGGGCACCAGGGCAGTATCACACCCATCACACAAATCCAATGAGAATTGTGTGCCGCATATGTATGTATGTATTTTTAGATCACCAATGGAAACCTGGAAGCACTGGACGGCCGTTTCATCTTATTGTGGGACACCCTAGCAGTTCGCATCCTCGATCTCGCCCTGCAAGATTCGAATCCAGGACCTATCAGTCTCGCACCGGAGCACTTAACCGATTGACCACTGAGCTGCATCCGATGTTATATCTTCAAGAGAATTATTAATGGTAACTTTTGAGAACTATTTATGGGCCAATAGAATGTGCATATTTTTATAGTATAATTGTTAACTAATGAAACTATTCATACTCATGTTCCTCTGATTATAAGCTCTGTTTTGACCCATGAACTATTACTATACAATTTACCATTCTTGAGTTATCCCCAGACTTTTAATCATTATTCTCCTTATTCACAGTCACTTTGGGCCGAGTCTTATACAAATGTTATTTTCTATTTTATGGTACGACGTGATCTGTCTGGTCGATATATAAACTCAGTATGTTTGAGAATTATGATTCATATTGCAGAGGCTATTATTGGTGTTCTTGACTTAACTGGCTAGGCTAAGCAGATAGCAGGACCAACAAGTACTTTAGACTGATCGTACAGTTTCCGTGTGTCATTGGTCCGAACAATAAATCACTGCTCTCTAATTGGTGGTATTACCACGTCATATATTAATAGGGCAGGCAGGCCACAAGTTATGACAACTTTAAAAGTACTTTTGAGCTCATTCAATTTCTACGAATCATTCTGTCAAGTGTGGATATGTTAAATGTAGACATATTTTGGCTGAAATCGAAAAACATTTTTAACCTAATAACCAAGTTTTCACCCCACAGTAAACTAGAGAACGCCATAGTCTGAAACTTTAATAACGAAAACTAAGGATTATTTCAATTCATTTCAATGAGATTGATAATGAATCATTCACAGAACTGGAAAATAAACATCAATTAAGTAGTAATTTTCATTGGTGGAAAGTGGTTAGTTTACAATAGTATGCTTGGTAACTGCAGTTCGGGATTCTACAGTCAGTTTAGTTCCGGCATCTAGTTAAAATCAATAACCTTCAGGCATAAAAATGTAGTTCAAAGCCTAGTACATAAATCAGTACTTGGTAAATGAGAAATGAGTGATTGAATACTGTTCTTTTTTTTTGGGGGGGGAGGGGGACGAACAATTTCAACCTGTGTTCAACCTGGCACACTATGAAAAAAATGTATTTGTAAATCATTTATCCTATCATGAATAGAAATTATGGACTATTACTCACTTGGTCTTGACGCTTTAGCTACAAAATAAAAAACAGTAATTTTTCATAGTTGAAATCATAAGTCGATTGAAGCTAGACGACCATGGGAAACCTGGGAGTACTGGATGACCATTTCATCTTATTGTGAAACTCTTCAGCAGTGCTCATCCATGATTCCGCCTCGCGAGATTGCAACCTAGGACCTATCAGTCTTGCGCGAGCTCTTAACCTCTAGAACCACTGAGTCGGCATCCCATTTTTCAATCAGAAAGCAGTTTACACTTTTTCATTGTTCAAAGAGAAAAAAACTATTTCCGATCAATCCGGTGTTATATTTGACCATTACAATGATTATGCATATGAATAGTAGCAGTAGTCTGTAATACTAATTCTATCCATACCAATACTAATTTGAATTACAGAACTAATTGTATCCGTTTGTGATTCCACTTTATGGGTTAAAAATTTTCGAAATGATGCACACATACGTACATATAAACCTAGTATGCAGTTAATTCAAAGTATATATATGTATAAAGTGATCAGAACAAAAGTTTCTCCGGATAAGTTGTGAATGAAACTGATGTGTTTCGTATTGTTTGCTACCCCTAGCCCTACATACAAAACACAAGCCATCATAAATTACATGGTTAGGATCATGGAGATTGTTCAGTTTATTGATGGTTTATATCATGAATTGATAAACTTTAAGACCTTACAGTTTAAATGTTTTGTTTATAGACCAATTTAATTGGATGCCGAATAATCTAAATTCTTGTTTCTAGTCTATCCACGATATAATGAGACCATATTCATCATAATCAGTGATAACTTCTAAGGAAAAATTCGATAATCCACACTAAATTTAGTAACTAGTCAGCGTACTGTTATCTTTTTTAGTCAATCACCTTTTGAAAATGTCCCTTTCTCCTAATTGATGTCCATTCGTAATGTGGATGAATTTTATATATAGAATGGTGATTTTAGTAATTTTATATAGTTAAAATCATGAGTTAATTGAAGCCAGACCACCATAGAAGCACTGGACAGCCGTTTCGTCCTATATTGGGACTCCTCAGCAGTGCGCATTCACGATCCCATCTCGCGAGATTCGAACCCAGGATCTATCACTCTCGCGCGCTTAACCACTAGACTACTGAGTAGGTGTCCAGTGTTTCCAGGTTTTCCATGGTGGTCTAGCTTCAATTGACTAATGATTTCAACTATATAAAATGGAATGGTGTATTAACTTATCATAACGTCGAAAACGAGCATGTTAGCATAATTTACGATAATTTAGAATCTGGTGACTTCCTCTCATTTTTCATATTCATACACAAACTAATTGTCTACATAAAAGAATGGCATTTTATCGTTACTTCTGAACTGTTTCGGAAAATACATACATTATTAGCGAAGATGAATAGTGGCTAGTAGTGGAATCCAGGACGCGCGTTCCGTCTTATTTGAGAATCGTCAACTAGATGAACCTGCATCCTAAAATTGATGTTCACTCTGGCACTCGAACCTTGTACCTTTCACTTCAAACGCCATCGCGTTATCCACTCGGTCACTGAGTCCTGATAGCCATTTGCTTGTGTAATGGGGTGAAATTTAAATTCAATTAGTATTGTTTGTTTGAATCTTCCCATTGATGTACTAAAAAACCAACTAAGATGATAGAACAACTTGTTAGATAATAAGTCGATCTTCCCATAAAAAAATCAGTGTATATAATTCTAAAATATTCTTGTGAATCCTGATTATAACTCTATTCCCATATCACATTTAAAAGCTCACAGAAATAGTTGTTCGTCGAAGTGTATCTGTAGAGATTTGGTCATATTATCGGCGAATAATCGATTACCCTGTTAGTAAGTGAAGCTTTGATGTTTGAGTTCAGTAAGATATAAATGAAAAATCATAGTTTCACATTAAATTTGTTTTTAAATATCTGTAGTGTCAAATCATTTATACTATTCCTTGGTTCAAGAGAACGATTGAACTATTCAACCGAAATGATTTAACATCATAGGAAACATTCATTTCAACTGGTGTGTGCTACTTATACAGACGGATATAAGTAGTAGGTATTAGCAACTGGAAGTAAGTTTCTTACTGATAGAAGATGAAAATGAAAAGAGAGAAAAGAAGACAGAAGGAGACTGGGTAGAATTAGGAATGAAAGAACGATGCAGCTTGTAAGAGTTAATTCAAGGAAGACGTGCAAATGATGTATCTAGTGAATTATTTTCAATATTTCGCACTATAGAATAAATCGGATTGCACTAACCAAGTCTTCGTTGAATATATAAATTTTGTTTTACTCTTCGAAAATAGTTTGAAGATTACCACAAACTGTATAAAAGTATTAATATCTGGATTCAGTCACTGAATGGATAACACAATGGCGTTTGAAGCGAATGGTACTAGGTTCGAGTCCAGGAGTGAACATCAACTCTGGGATTTAGGCATACCCAGATGACGAGTCTTAAAGTGGGACTAAACGCCCATCCTGAATTCCAATGCTAGCCACCATCTGTTTCTGCTCATAATGCTTGTGATTTAAGGCAATATTGAGGCAAACCACATTGGATTCACATATGAGTCGTAAACATCAATGGGAAGATTCAAACAACCAACAGTCTAATATGAACTAAAAAACAAAGTGAATTCAGTCAAAATAATGTAAATCTTACTTGTCGTTCTTATATCTAAAAAAGATACATACAATAAGATATAATTATGATATTTCTAAAATCTTAGTAAATATACCTTAAGTTTCAAGATGATGGGGGAGGATTTGTAGCTTAGGTGGATGATTTTGATGGGATTATCTTCTCTAAGTTCGATGGTATGGTCGTTGAGCTTTTATTGTTCTTTTAAACAACGTCATCAATACAAACTTCAGGTAGAAGTGAAGTGTTTGACTTTCACCACATATAACTCACAGCTTGTCCTGTCGACCTCGATCTTGATGGGTTATTGTTGACCTTTAATCTAATATTATCTGCCTCTTTATTTTGACTGTCGATGATCTTTCTTATTTGATTGATAGACTGGATCGATCTTGATTTATTTATTGATTGCTAATTGATATGAATGCCAAGCTTTAGAAAGTCCTCTTTTGTTTTTAGTATTCTTTCCAAGATTAAAACATTTTTTCCAGTCGAATGTTTGTCCACAGTCGTCTACGTTTGAACGCTAATTGATGTCTATGTATGCAAAGATGAAGGGGGAGTTCATTTTATCAGATGTAGTCTTTTTCGCGATTGGAATTTGTAGATGATGTCCGGTTTTTTATCAAGATTAAATCAGATGAGTACGATGGAGATGTCTTTAATTAATGTTTCTACAAGAAGAGGTTTGTATGGATTATTGAATATCATAGTTCACTGGTAAGAAGTTTCTCAACAATAGACACTTCGGATCACACCAAAGATTAAACCTTGAACCTCCATATTTCGTGATGAACATATAAACGTTAGAAACATTGATATATTACAGTTTATCTTTGTGGTCAACGATAGCTGGTGTAAGAATAGGTTGAGAGAAAACTTTTCTTAATGAAGTATGTCTACTTGAGGCATTGAATATATATGACAGGCTCTAGGTTGCATGTGACCGATGACTGACTGATAGTCGTTTAGATTCTCAGCTTCAAGTCCAATGCTTACTGATTTATTATGGCTGCACTACCAGTATTAATCCATTAATAATATTGTTTCCATATTGAACCAGCCTCCACAACATCCACTTCAAGATGTTGCTGAATATAAAGTTGGAATTTATGGCTGATGGAAATTAAACATATGGGAAATAAAACAGCCATCACCAATGACATTGAATATTCCTCGCTTAATCTAGTAAACTAGGATGTGTTTCATTAGGCACCAACCCAGTAGTTCTCAGTGAACTTTGTGAGACTTGAAGGTCTTGAGTTCAATCCTTGATGAGGCTGTTGATGTGAACTGTCTATGAATTTCATACTAAAAATAAACGATTACTAACTTCGTAAGTGTCAGGATGGTCCACAGGTGTTAAGTCGGCTTCAAGAGAACTCTCACAGAGCCTCCAGAGGCTCATAAAGAGCCCCAAACAATCAGCGATTAGTTAGAAGTTGTGTGAAGTTATGTTACTAAAATAACGAGATCCTGATTGGCTGATTAACACACTGCTACTATGTTTAGCAGTATTCTAGAACATTCGGTAAAACTCAAGGTCTCTTAAATTACTATAAAATCCCTGTATTTTCTGTACATAAATGAACCCAGTAGTGAAGTGCTTCCCACACACTTTGTGTTTTTTCTCTTGTCTTCAAGTCGGTGTATAGTTCTAGCTCTGGGGTACGGAACTAGCTTTGGAAGCGAATATAGCGTTCATAACCGGCCAGACGTAACTGTAAGCATAGATGGAAAGTGGCTAGCAGTGGAATCCAGTTTGACGCGCGTTTCGTTCTATTTGGGACTCGTCAACTGGATGAACCTGCATCTTAAAGTTGATGTTCACTCTGGCAATCGAACCCAGTACCTTACGCTTCAAATGCCATCGCGTTATCCACTAGGCCACTGAGTCCTGATTATTAACTTCTCTCAATTTTTATTATTACAATAACTCAGATAAATCCTTAACAGATATCACCTAAATGGTAATGATTTTACTAACAATCTTTAAGATGATGCCTTGATAAATCAACCAAATGCTGTTCACAGTGAAAAATTAAATAAAAAATACTTAGATTGGATGACTAAGTACGGGTAACTCACAGGACCTATTATTGGACCATTATTCTATAAATATTCTTATTGTATAACCATTCAGTGATTAGATGGTATGTATCCACCAGGGTGTTTGGCACCTGAGTGGTTGCGTCACAGGATTGGGCTGTGCTGTTCGGATTGTAGCGTTGAAGCCTATATAGTGTCTGGTTCTCCTATAGGGCGGGATTGAGCTGTACTGCTTGGGTTAAGCCTGGGCAGTGTCTGGCTCTACTGTTAAACGGGATTGAGCTGTACTGTTTGGGTTGCCGCGTGAAAGTCTGGATGATGTATGGTTCTCCTGAAAACCATTGCAAGATTACCCTGGCTCATAAGGGTATATTATATAACTGAATATCCATATTCATCTTATTATAAGCTTCATTTTGACCTATGGATTATTATTATAATACGAATTACTGTCCATAAATTATATTCAGTTAATTGACTACTGTCTCTCACGTTCACAGCCACATTTGTCTTAGTATTGTACAAATATTATTTTCTATTTTATGATGTGATGCGGTCTGTCTGTCTGGTACATAAACCGAGTGTGTTAGCAGAAGCTGTAATTGTTGTTTTGAACTCAACCGTGAAGGGCTAGGCGGATAAGGGGCCAATAGAGATGCTAGGCTGCTCATACAAGATCGAACGTCATTGTTTTGGAACAGAGCTAAAACTGGATAAGTCGTATTTCGATTGGTGAATAAATCACGTGATAAAAACCGGGCATAAGATCATAAAAAATTGGAGACGACCATTTTAAATTCACAACATAACCACTATTCGGACGTCTAAAGGTCGTATTCAGAGAATTGATTTATATTTGTATGATTGCCAACAAATTTTCATGTCACTATACTATGTTATTGACAGGCAGCTTAGTTTAACTGTTGGTATGAGGTTGTGGAGACTGTTGAATTTCATTGAGAACACGAAACAGACATAAATTAGACTATCATTGAAAACATAGAATCTCTGAAAGATCATTTAATCCTAGTATGGGGTTTCGAAGTAGTGCGCATCCACGACCTCGCACGCGGGAACCGACCTCCGGTCCCATACGCGGAAATTTAAATTCCGGACCCCTGAGCCCCCAATACCTCATCGACCAGAACCACTGTCAAAAGCCGGGTTGAATTAGACTAATTTTATATTGATTTGATCAAATTTAGGTGCGAACAAAACTGTACTCTTGATCAGTGACCTTGTGATTAAGCGTTTGTTTGCGAGACCACAGATCCTGTGTTCTGTTCCTGCTTGCAGGTTAGTGGACGCACACTGTTGAGGAGTCCCATGCTAGGAAAATTCAGCTGTCTAGTGCTCCCAGGTTTTCATCAATTGTTCGACACATATCGATTCATGGCTCCAATGAAATTCAACTGTTCGAAGTGGGAAGTTTAATGCTTTTAAAGACAATAGTTAGAATTTTATATTATACAGAAAAGTTGGTAAATTTCTGTCGTTGATATTGAAGACCACAGTTGATCAGCCTCTCTTGGTATGAGTGGATCCTGAGAAAACTGTTTCAATATAAGGATGAAGATCCAAGGTTTCCTGAAGTCTAATTATGACCAGAAGGGGAATCTAGGGTGTGCATCCTATTTAGGAATCATAGATTGGATGCACTGGATACCGATATTTGTACTCAGCTTATTTCGAACAAACTACCGACTACCTAAACTAATATCTCTTTATTTATTCAATTCTTGAATTCAAATATTTACCGACTTGTTTATGCAGTCTGTTGAATACTTTTCTTGGTACTGACTGTAGTAGTTCTCACATTTGCTCAGATCTTCTTTCTTTGATATATTGATGAGGTGTTCTTCTTTCTAGTCCATCGGCACTTGATCTTTCCCCTAAATCTTCCTTAGTAGAATGTGGAGCATGTTTGCTGTTTCTTATCAGGATGGTGAGATCCTTTCTCGGACACTTCTACATGATTGATTGCAGGCTCTCATGAAATCGATCTTTATTGTCGTCGTTGCTATCATTGGTGAGTGCATAACATTGAATAACATTCATTGTGATCCTCTCCTTCTCTGTTTTGATGATCCTGGATCCATGAGATTTTTATTCTATAAGTGCTTTTCGTGCTTCTTTGGATAGCATCGGGGTGCAACTTCTTGTATGGGAGGTATTTCGTTTTTCATGACTAAAGCTTATTGAAAATAATTGGAGAAAAAAATTGATTTATTTAATGAGAAAGAACTCACCTTTCGTTGTTGTGGTGGGTGCTAAGGTAACCAAACAGTGTTAAAAGTGAGATTAGTCATTATTTGATACCTTTTTCACTAAATGCATGTTGATAAACTGTATCTACAAATTTTAATCTATACGCTGATGAGTGTCAGATGTGATGAAGTGTATTACATCACATTATAAAAACCATATCTACAGATAATAGAGAAGCACCTGCTTGGGGTGGAAATATGTCAGTATCCACTATTCTAAATTCAGATTTGAAAGTCGAAAATGGGGTGATAGGGACTTTTATAAACATTAATTGTCATATATACTAAGTAAGCTTGTGTCTATCTTGACTCATTAGCATAGTGAAGGGAGCGTTAGAATTCAAAGTGATAAGTATTGAGATCGATTCTCAGTGTGGTGATTATAAACCATCACACTTATATGGTGGTACATACACCAGATGATGAATCCTAAACAAGAATCTTGGATAGAATTATAAGCTAGCAGTACTGGATATCTCTTCTGTCGTTGTATAAAACTCCTGAACATTGTACAACTAGGAATTATCCAAGAATCCAACTCACGAATTACAGGTCCCTCTGGGAACTAGTAATCATTAGAATCATTGATTCACCATCCTCTGGTATGATTCTAACTTCAGTCAATTAGTAATATGATGCAATAATCATCAAATTTCATTGACGGCAACTAGTTCACCAATATCTAGTACATCCAGGATTTTATCAGCATATCAGCATAAAAACTGATATAACTCAATACAAGAAAGAAGAAAGCAAAGACAACAGTTGGGAATTCGTCCGTCATAAGAAATAAATCAAAACGTTTTATATAAACATACTGATTTTAACTCAATTTGTTCATACTGTTTAATAGTCAAATTTGAATATGCTAAATTAGTCATTAACTTCACCTGAAGGTCTTCTAGGCCTTCTTACAGGTAAAGGAAGAGAGTTGGGCATGGAGTCAGAAACTCCATCCTCTAGAAAATAACCTTTCGAAAAAGACTCTAACAATAGTCTAGTGTGGGAGAAAACAGGTCAACTTCCAACTGAAGAGGTGATTAAAAAAGATGCTTTAAGTGGATTATCAAACTTCATCGCGAAGTAACCTCTAACTTGAAATGCTGAAGGGAAATAAAAAAGAGAAAGACCAAAGGAACATATTATGTCAGGAATTGGAAGTTGATATCAAAAGAGCTGATAACAACTAGAAAGAACTGAAATGAACGGTCCAGGATAAAATTCGATAGAGAATCCTGTTAAGAAGTCTATATTCCTCAATGAGGGGTAACTGGTATAACTATGTAAATCACTTGGAATCCTGAAGGGCAAATGAGAAGAGGAAGACCAAAGAACATATTAGACCGAGAAATGGAGACAGACATGAGAAGAATGAACAACAATTGGATAGAAGTAGAAAGGTAGGCCCATGACAGAGTGGGTTGGAGAATACTGGTCGGCGGCCTTTGCTCCATTAGGAGTGACAGACGTAAGTTATAAGTTACAACCTATCCGTTATGGAGTTCAAGAGACTTTTGAGAACGTTCAAGAGTTTCTGTCACAAATCTTTCTTTTTAATTCGAGATTGTCGTCCAAGTTTAATTTGACCGATTATACAGTTAAGTTTTAATTCAATTTCTTAAATTTTCAACATACTTTTTTTACTAATCATTCATATACAATTTCATAAACTTACCATTACCATTCCATAGTATACCAGCTAAAACAATTGCCATGGCAACAATGTTAGTTATTTAACGTTTGTTAATTTAGAAACCAATAACATAATAATGTATCCAAACGAACAGAAAATGAATAGTAACTTATTCCCAAATTATTAGTTAAAGTATCCTATACCCGCAACCATCTTTAGCTTGATATTGTATGATTATCACTTTTTATTCTGTGCTATAATGCAATCTGGTCTGTTTGTATAAAAACTATGTATGTTTGAAATATATGATTCATACAGCAAAGGCTAATATTTGTGTTCTGGACTCAATAGGCAGGGCTAGGCGAGAAGATACTATATCGAGGACTAATAAAAAAGCTGTTCGTGCTGACTAATGCATCATTGGTTTACGATAGTGGCTATGTTGACATAAGTCGGTATTGTGATTAATGATCTTGCCCCCAAATGCCCTGGTACGGCCGAGAGTGGGGAGAGTCACCTCTCCCTCTCGAAATACTTTCATATGGCCAGCGAATATATAGCCTCTGCCAGGGAAGTCCTACTCACTGCCTTCTCGTGGCGGGGGTGTTGTGTACGAAAATGAGAGAACGAAAAGCTAATGTCCAAAGATTTAACCGGGTTGGTGGACATGGAAAGTTCACCTAGGGGAGTTGAAAAACCCTGATTCCAAACCAGTGGTGCACATGGGCTCCAGTATCCTGAGGGAACAAATGGCGTACGAATCAACCGTTGATCACCGGCTACCATGGGACTGCATCTCCTCACGATGCTCCACTGCCTTGTGGATCAGACATTCAGGTCAAAGGCTCCGGGTGTGGTCCCCTAAGAAAACTACGTGCTTCAGTTCGGGCACCTGGGCAGTATCACAGCCCTCACACAAATCGGATGAGATTTGTGCGGCGCATATTTATCTGGTGCTTCCTTGTACCTATATTTATGTGTTTAAATAAATAATAAATAATCTCGTGATAATTGATAAGGAAATAAGACAATAGATTCATTGAAGGTGATATAAAAGTACAAAGCTTTGGTGAATAATTACAATGGATAGCATCATGTATTTCTAATCATATGGATGAAACTCTTTCGTTCGACTTTCAGTACGGTCACGGATCTAAGCGACTCAAAATTGCATGCTATATGTTTCAATGTAAGGTCGATAGTGATTCTTAAATCGAACTTACAAAAATGAATGAATTAGATGTTCAATTCCAATGTTACATTAAGTAATAGCTTTATATCTATTCAACTTTTGTCAATAAATTCTGTCACATAAACTCATATGACATACATCAGTTCCATATCGAATTCTACCAATGTCTTGAAGGTATATACTAAGAAGATTAGTAAAGAACAGTATGAAGATCTGATTAGATTACTCTAACTAGTAATTCCACAAATTGAGCTATAAAGATTGTTAGTTATGGATATAAATAAACTCTCAGGAGACTAATGAAAATATTAAAGACTGTTTACAGAGATCATATACTGGTTAGAAGGAAAACTCTATATCAAGTGAACCATTAAAGCCCATGAAGACGCTGAAGATAGTTAAAAGTCAGTAGAATTTTGAACTCCCCCATATGCCCTGGTACGGGCGAGAGTGAGGAGAGTCCGCTCCTCCTCTCCAAATGCTCTCACATGGTCACGCGTATATAGCCTCTGCAAGGGAAGTCCTACACACTGCCTTCTCGTCGTATTACTGTTGTTTACGAAATTGAGAAGACGAAAAGCGAATGTCCCATGCTTTAACCAGGTTGGTGGACACTGTGAGTCCACCTAGGGGAGTTGGAAAACTCTGATTCCAAACCAACTGTGCACATGGGCTACAGTACCCTGAGGGAACAAATGGTGTATGAACCAATCGTTGGTCACCGCCTACCATGGGACTGAATCCCCTTACGATGCTCTACTGTCTTGTGGATCAGACCTTAAGGTTGGAGGCTCTGTTTGTGGCCCCCTAAGAAAACCACGTTCTTCAGTTTGGGAACCTGGGCAGCATCAAAGCCCTAACACAAATGAAATGAGATTTGTGTGGCGCATATATATCTGGTGCCACTTAGTACCAAAATTTATGTGTTTAAATAATAAATAAAGAATTTTGAATTCTCTGTGTTGATGAAAACATATCACTTATATTATCCACTTATATTCTCCAAACGAGGATTTTCTGTATAAGTGATTACTGATGGTAAGTATAAGGCTTACATATTACAGATATTGTAAAATAATGGTTCTAGAATCCCGGTTTATGTATTCATCATGACGTTGTGGGATCGTTCTGTTAAAAAACTCAAATACCTTTTAATATTACTCACTGATATCAAACGTATGGTCTTTCAAAAGTGTAGTTTAGCCAAAGGTCTCAAATCACTTTGGTACGACAAGATGAATATTAAAGGATTTCAGAAGTCAGTAATATCGATTATAGTAAAAAAAGAAAAAAAAACAGAAACCGAAGAATACTGTTTGCAATAAGGGATGAATGCTAGGAATAACATATACGAGATAGAATTAAAGTACATGAATGAAGTTGATATAATGAACGGATATATCTGTTCTACTTCGACTAATACTATTAACCAGTAATCGCAGTTATCACACATGTACCTCAACCAAATGGTCTAGTTTTTTCAACTAATAGACAGTTTTCATAGTTGAAAAAGTGAGTCGATGGTGATGAGCTAGACCACCATGGAAAACCTGGAAGCACTGGACTCAAGCTTTCAACTATGAAAAATACTAAATCTCCACAAAACCCCTTCTGATAATAATAATAGACAATTATTTTAGGTACTAAACTTCATTTTGTTCTAGTGAACAATTGTAATTGTCCTATACCTAATACGTAGGTGTTCCATCTAATCAATATGCCCTAAAAAAATGATCCCTTTAACGTTTGTTCTAACCAATCTTATCTATATTACCTATATATTAAACAGATAATATATATTGGATATATGATTTAAGAATATAAAAATTCCCCCATAATACAATTGAACTTACCACAATCTATATAAGGTATAGATAGTAACCATGTAGTAACAATGGTATAGATTGCTAAATTATAATTCATTTGGATACAAGATGATATGATGAAAGATTTATTTGTTTAAATTGTTTATAAAGAATGATTTTTTTTTTCAAATTTTGGATTACATACCTTTATTTATTTAAGCTTATACAAACATTTATAAAGTGTTGAAGGGGGGTTTTGTAGAAATTTTACTAATTTTATGTAGTTGAGATCATGAGTCGAGTGAAGCTAGACCAATATTGAAAACGTGGAAGCATTTGATGGCTGTTTGGTCCTAGTGTGGAATTCCTCAGTAGTGTGCAGTGTGGTCTAGTTTTAATTAACTCATGAATTCAACTATAAAATTACTCAAATCTCCACAAAACCCCTGCTGATAATAATCATCGTATTCTCACTAGTGACTGGCTTCAAGTGATATTTCCTGGAGTTCTAATGAGAAGCAGTGACCAGTGGAGTTGATGTGAACCGCAAAACAAAAAGCCTTCACAAACTACGGAAACTATTTTGGGGACTTTATTTCATTTGATTCAAAAACTTGTAAAACTGTAACATTTACTTTTGTCCCTAGTCTATTCTACAGATCATAAGCTTTCGTTTGATGTATGATTCACTGCCATAGCCTTTTGTGTTCCAAAGCTATTGTAATTTAGACGTAACCTATTGTACTCTATTTTCTACTCTAATCCCTCACTTTTAGACATCATTGTATTTTCCTAATTATTGATGGGTTGTGGTCAGATTAATCATCTATTTATTCATGTGCTTTTTACACTAATTCGAATTCGGGTGCCAGATCGAAATTGGAATAAAGCGGTTAGTGTTTCAGGTGTCTTGTCTTCTCTCTCACGCGCGCGCTTGTCAGCCAATCAGGGATATAATAGTTTTCGTCTCTCTACCACCGCTTCTAACTCACATACACTGGCCTCAAGGTTAAGCCGGTCAGCCTTAATCCACATTAGACAAGTTATACTCAGCACGAAAGTGGGTAGACAGATTTTAGGACGTAACAGGAGTTCAACCAGACCTGTTGTACGATAGTGACTCACTGAATACAGTGGTGAAGGGTTGCTCAATTTCGTGGACTGGTTGAAGTTATACATTAACACCATTGGATGCAGGCCGACTTAGTGGTTTAGAGGTTAAGCGCTCATGTGCGAGACCGATAGGTTTTGGGTTTGAATCTCGCTAGGCGGAATCGTGAATGCACAAGAATTGTAACCTCAAACTTATTTCTACCATTACTAAGAATAAACAATCGCTTCCATCTGGTATTGTTTGTTTAAATCTTCCCATTGAAATTGAAGACTACAATTGATTATGTTATAAACGTAAAAGAGAAAGGATGCTGGTTATAACAGTAGGGGTTCTTGTTATAACAGTTCTTTTACTTCTTACACGTATTTGGAACGTTAATTTATCTTAGACGAATATCTACACTAGATTCCCACCCAGTGTCTATTCTACAGGACTTCAACAGAACTCAGATCAAGAACACAAGATTAGCCTGACTATAACGTCAATATATTTCACACCAAAATCCGACACAAGGAACAGTCAATCAATAAGTGTCCATCAACAAGAAACAGTCCATACATAATAAGGATAGGGGAATATATATAACACATAACACCTGTCATCCTATCTAATGTCTAACTCATCGAGACAACCAATCATTGTCATTCTCGCCCACACATCAGATTAGTAGCTGGGATGCAAATACATCCAGTTGACTAGTCCCAAATAGGATGAAACGTTTGTCGTAGATTCTATTACTAGCCACTGTGCTTACTTACTTACACATGTTATCCCTAGCTTTCTCCAACCCATTCTGTCCTGAGACTTCTTTACTAGTGCTATCCAGCTTTTGTTCATTCTTCTATTGTTTGTCTCTATTTCTCGGCGTAATGTGTTATTTGGTCTTCCTCTTCTTTGGCCTTAAGGATTGCATGTGAGAGTTTGCCTTGTGACTCAGTTGGGTGATTTCCTAAATGTGTGTCCTATCCACCTCTATCTCTTCTTTCTGATTTCTTCCTCCACTGGATGAAATCTGGTTTGTTTTCTCCCACAATAACTTGTTGCTGATAGTGTCTCGCCATCGGATGCGAAGTATCTTGCGTAGACAACTGTTAATAAACACTTGTATCTTTTGAATGATGGCTTTCGTAGTTATCCACGTCTCCGCCCCATACAGTAAAACTGTCTTGACATTTGTATTTGAAAATTCTGATCTTGGTGTTGGTTGACAAACAATTGTTTTAAGTTCCAGATGTTTTTTTTCAATTTTAAATATGCTGCTTTTGCTTTGCCGATCGTCGCCCTCACATATGCATCTGATCCACCTTACTAGTCACTATGCTTATAAAACAAACACCTTTCTATCATCATAAATTATTCAATTTATCATTACTCTTATTGTTCTTAACAAGCAAACAAACAAATAAGTGAACAGAAACTTCACATAGTTTATCGATCAATTCAGTTAAACAATGGTGAATCAGTTTTCTTTTTTAATGAACAAGTCACTGCATGGATTTAATTAATGCGCGTGAAAAAGAGTAACAAAACATTATTGACATGTTAACGTTTAGAATCAATAAGGAGAGTAATTTTATATGAGAATAGGTATTAGCATATTGTAAACAAGGCTTCAAGGCATCTCATCAGCTAAAAAAAAACGGAACAAATTTACAATTTTTTTTTACTTAATTACTTAGTTACTAAGTTACTCTTGTTACCCCTCGTGAAGGAACATATGACACCCACTCACCCCTCCTGAGAAATACTTCTCAGTTGTTTCTAGTTGCTATTCATCTTTTTCATATCTACTACTAATTCTCTGCCTGTAACTCTTCGAATGTTACTAACGGTCTTATATTAAGGTAAAGGTCAAGAGTTTGGCATAGGGTCAGAAACCCTATTCTGTAGCAAAACAACCTTACTAAAAAAAATAGCAGCTAAATTCACAGTAGAACAATATTACCATGAAAAAAAAACGTCATTACATTCCGTAATCAATGAAGTTTAATTAGAAACAACTCAAGGAACAAAAGGGAATAACATATTTGATTAGTATTTCATATGTTAAGAATGAAATCACTAAAATTGGGAGAAGGGGGACTGCCCATGTTGTAAGTGATAATAAATAGGCGATGAATAGAAACAAACTGTTAATAAATTAGTAATAAACATAGCAACCACTTAACAATAAAATCAAAATTAACGCTTTGGGTGAATGTCGATGTATTTTTTTACTTTTATGTTATAGACCATAATGGAAGAGATTATGTAACTGACATGCTTTCAGTCAGTCAGTCAGCTACAATGTAGGACCAGGCACATTTATGCATTCGTCCAAGTTGACATACCTTGTTAGCACAATAATATGAACACAGGATTCATAGAAGTAGTTAATTTAGTGGTGCTAGTATATAAAGGAAAGGTTCTAGATAAGGATATAGTATAGGAAGGAAGACAAATATAAAGCAATTTTAATCTAAAGGTTTAAGGGAAGATAGAGAGTGTATACACCTACGCCATTGTGATCAATTCTGAGCCATGTCACATAGAATCTCCAACTATTGGTTACGATAGTCGCGCAGACCCCAACCAAGTAGTCTGTATCTATCAATATGGCTCAGACAAGAAGTTAGTGACTTCAAGCACATGCGTTAAAATAATATATTTATCATACCATGGCAATGATGGGTGTACCAGTTGTTTTTGTATGTTAAGTCGAAAGTATTTGATGGCATGAGCCTCTGAACTTTATTGGTTATGGTATGCAATAATATTTTTTAATTATAATATTTCACAGTATAGGGTTATGGAGATTGTTGAGTTCTGATTGAGATCATGAGTCGATCAATGTTAAACCACCATTGAAAACGTCGTTTCGAGTCACGCATGCAGAGGTCGCGAGTGTGCAATGTTGAATGGTCCCTTACTATAATGAAGCGGCCATACAGTGCTTTCAGCTTTTCAATGGTACTCTAACATTGATCGATTCATGATCTTAAATGATATTTCTATTATGAATTCAGGACGTTTGTAGCTGATGAGAAGCCTTGAAATATAATGAATTCATTTTATTCCGTAAATATTTTTCTTCTAGCTTTAAAGTTTTCTATCTAATTTTTGGATTCATTCAAAAGGTGAAGTACAGATAGTCTCTAAAAATCGATCAGTCGCATGGAGATAAAATATGATGGAAATTAATTATAAAATGGACGACATGTGGTTAACAGTAAAATCCAGGGCATGGATCCTATTCAAATGTACCTCGATCCTGATATCAATTTTCAAAGACGGAATTCTAACTCTCTCACTTCAAACACCCAGTGTGTTATTGATATGTGGGCGATATTGACAATGATTGGTTGTTTTGCTGAGTCAGACGTGGAGATAGTGTGACATATGTTATCTATGTTATATATCCCCTATCCTTATTATTATTGATTAACTGTTCTTGTTGCTGGATTGTGTCGGATTTTGGTGTGGAGATATATTGAAGTTCTAGTAAGGCTAATCTCGTGTTCTTGATCTGAGTTGTGTTGAAGCCCTGTAGAATAGACACTGGATGGAAATCTAGTGTAGATATTCGTCTAAGGTAAATCAACGTCCCGCATACGTGTAAAAAGTGAAAGGACTGTTATAACAAGAAACCCTAGTGTTATAACAAGTATCCTACCGTTTATAACAGTTATCCACATAGGTACTAAATCCAAATAACAATCCACTTATCCAGTGAGTATGGATTTTAGATAAGTGCTTGATGAGTTGGATATCTGAAGCAAAAGGTGCTGGGTTCGGATCATGGAGTGAATATCAATATTGAGATGCAGGCGAATCCCTCCGGTTAGTCCCAAATAGGATGAATTGCTTGTCATGGATTCCACTAATGATCAAATTCCATCCATACCATACAATCTTTTGAAATAACGGGTATATCAAGTCTGTTTACACGGGATACACATATGCTAAGGTTGATAGATAGTATAATCTAAATCATTAAAAGTTAAATTAGAAGTCAATCGGTTCAT